ATTCTTTTGCTAATCATATAAGGAGGATGCAGAATTTTATGATACATGATTTATAATTTCCGTTTTCTAATTCGAAATTATTGGAAAAAAATCAAAAAAATGAAATTTCGTGCAGCTCAAAATTTTCTAAAAAAACCAAGGGTCCCCCCTGTGATTTGCTCGCGATAGAAACTTTTTTAATCGAACATTTCTCGAAAACTTGGTGATCAGGATAAAAATTGAGAAAAGTGATTTTTAATCAACCCAATTACTATAATTAGACGAAATGACTTTGAAAAATTTTTCATCGGTAACAACGCTATAAAGCCACAAAGTTCGAAATTTACAAAATTGCCATTTTTCGATTTTTATCTAATTACTTTCGAATTACCAATGTCTAAAGGGTTTAAGATGTGTCAAAAAAATTCTGAATCTTTACTTAAATAATTTTTAAAAAAATTGACTGAATTGATTCAGGTATAAATGAAATATTAAAAATAAAAGTTCCCCCACTTTGCGCCGGGCAACCTAATATTTAGATCTGTCTATTACAAGACAATTGAAGCTGTATATTGATGGTCAATTAACTATGAAATATTATTGTTAATAATTTATCTTATTGATTCAATCGTGTATTCTGTTGGAATGATTGCTTTTCCAATAATGATTGACCTTAATGAATTGTCTACTAATGAACAAATTGAATGGTACGTTGTATTAAAATAGATATTACCTTGAAATTATCCTGCTAATGAAATTTTAAGTCATTTTAATATTAATCTAAAATCTATATTCTCATGTAGACAGTGAGAGTAAATCAATAATTATTCAAGGTTAATTGTTGATATATTTCACAAGTTCAAAGTTAATAGCACAGGATAAGAAGGTAATTATTTCAATTATATTTTCACTCGACTGGGTCAAAATTCAGATTAGATTGGGTTAGTAGTGGTTTACAATCAAATATTATTAACCCACTGAATAGTGAAAACTTTCATGATCAATTAATTGAGATTTATTAATAGTTATGGAAATAAATTTTTTTAATATTAAACTTTATGACCAAACAACATTTACAAGATTAACAATAACATACAATAACATGTAATGCATAAAATATTAAGCGATTAACGAGGAGAAAAGGCTTTAAACTTTGATTAACAAAAATTGATTAAAGTGATTAGCTGTTGAAATGGCACAGTAAGATAAGTTTGAAGAAGCTAATTTAATCCAATAAATGAAATTGCGGCGAAAGAGATCAAGAATCACAAATACCTGGCGATTCTAGGTAGTTGTTGACAATGTTCAAATTATTTGAAAATGACTGAGAAGCTATCGTTGATGTTGCTGGCGTTGTTATTGGTGTTGATGAAGATGGCCAGGTTAATGGGGATGATCGACCTCTAACAATATAATCTGGATCGGTAACATCGAGTGGAATGAAATTGAATGATTTAAAATTAACAATTACTGGTTTACCATTAGTATCTGGTGGTTTGCCGGCCCAAAGCCAAAGATTAATGTGAACCTTTTCTTTTCCATTGGACATGCGATATTTGGTGTCCGTATGATTAAGATGTTGACCAAAACAGATACCCTGCTTGATTAATCTGAAAGTTACTCCACAAGGTGACCAAGTAAACTCTGCTCTTGTTTGACCAGATGAAGGGAAAACAGTTAACCTCTTAATGTTTCCTTTAACACGATGAGGTTGTATGGTAAACTGAGCATTAGTTGGATCTGAAGGTTTACCCCATTTAGCAAATTCAATGTCAATCTCGCGATTATGAACTTCTTTGGCCCAATCTTCCCATGTAAACATTCCCAGTGTTACCTGAGCTGGTAAATTACCAGTCTCTGTACTGATTACCCACTGATAGGTACCATAGCCGAGTGAACGAACCGTGTAAATCTCTGCTGAACTCCAGTTTCCATCGGGTAAAGGTTTGATCATCATTGAAAGGGTTCCATTTGTTAAACTAACACTATCATTGGTAAAATAATTTGGACCGGGACGACGATAACCCTCTTTGATACGCCAACTGTAGCCACTCCAGTAGATTGTTGATGAATCGTAACTCCATTTTGAAACAATTGAATTGGTAAATAAAACAATTAACAGAAAAATTGACCAGATTAAACGTTGACTTGATACAATGTAACTTGTTGTTGCTGATGTAAGGTTCATATTGGCTCGCTCTTCAATCATTGGTTAATCCTGTGATTGGTTAATTTTTATTCGCACATTTTTTAAAATGAAAATTACAATTAATCAAATTCATTTTTCCATTCTTTTCAAGTTCTCATCCAATTCAATGAATGATTGTACCAAAAGTGTACATATATATATATTATGTATATTTATATTAATACTTGATCACTATGATAATACTTGGTAACTGTGTTGGTTAAAATGTCTTGATGGCCTTTTGTTTTGTATAACAGTTAAACTTAATTGTATTTAGGTCAATCCCTTGTTTCTTGGTAACCTTGATTAACATGGATTCTGATTGAGAATGAAAATTCAAATAAGTATCATTAGAATTGGCAGGTAAATTCAATGTAATCATCAATCGATTTTTGCATACTTATTTATAGCCTCTTCTGCTGATTCAATACAAATCAACCCATAAATTGAACAGACAATCATCAACAATTGCACATCAGATTTCATTATGACTATCATGTTTAACCTGTCTACCAAATGATCAATTAACAGCTATTAACTTTCCTTTCGTTAATACATTTGTTAGTAAATTCAGTTGAATCAAGTGTTGCCCAAATGTCAACAGAAACATCAAACAATTAAACAAATACTTTGTTGTCAGATAAACAAAATTAAAAGCACAAATTAACCACTAATTTAGGCAAAAAGTTGAAGGAAGGAAGTAAATTAATTTAGATTTAATGATAATCATCTTGATGATTGGATAATTAACTTACTTTGTAACAAGAAAATAACAAAAAAGTGAAACTGTGAACTCGGCAAGTAACAATTATCCCTTGATTTGTATTGTTCAATGAACTTAAGTCAACACTTTCTATTATTAATTATCAAACAATTGAATTGACGATTTGAAACAATTGATTAGTTACAACAAAAGCTTGAAAGGTGAACACACACGAAAACACTCAAAAAATTGTTCAAAAACTGATATTGGTTGCAAGTTGAAAGGTTATGTTGAATGTATCACTGAAGTGTATTGATGAAGACGAGCTGAGATGAGAAGGACTAAATGATGACTGAATGACGATTAGATGACGATTGGATGTTTAAAAATGATGAAGGGTTAGGTTGACTTAAGGCCATTTAAATGATCAAATGTTACCGTTAAAAAAAACGGTTTCATTCCCTAATCAAGAGTTACGACCGAAAGCTTTCCATAAACATTTTCACTTGAATTCATTTCTTTTTTACTTCATTTTCTTTTCAACACTTTCATTCCAAAACAACATGTATTTAGATATAAATATACATTTTGATTTAATCAATTCACATCATTAACTGATATTGGGTCAATGGCCGTTAGTTAATAGCGTTAAAATGTAAACTTAACTGTATACCAAAATTGTAAACTCAGGTCACATTGAATTGACTCTTCACTTTTAACTGCTTCCAGCCCAATCTATTTGTTAATTTTTTGTAATTACTTTATTTTTAATCATTTCATCAATTCAAGGTTAACAATGAATATTCATTAGTTTATTGGCGCTGATTTAGAAATATTCATTTCATAATCAATTTCAATTTCTCGCTGATTAAGCCCAATTTGACCATTTTAAGGTAAAACTCGGGCAACTCTTTGAATTGGAAATGTTGCTGGTTAACATTTCTTTTACCAGTGATTCATCGGTGTCAATGTAAATCTTTGGCTTATCGCGATGGTTGACAACCATTGGTTACCATTTAGCTGACTATTAGTCAAGAGGTTAATGTAACTTGCTAGGTTGTTCATCATATGATTTCAAAAGATAGATTGTTATGATTCAAATATTTTCTATTTTCAGAATCTCTTTACTTTTTGAAATTTCAACCTTGTCTCCATGCTCTTGACCATTAAATTTACAGTGAAAATCTAGTTTTAACCATCATCATCTGTTCAGAGTTTATCTTACTTTTTCTTGGTCCTTTTTTCCTTCTATTTGATGTGATAATCTTAATTTTACATTGCCTGTCTCTGGTCAGGATTTTTAACTAGAAAACTTGTTTCCATCTACAGGTTTGATAAGAAAAAGGCTTGAAAATGGTTTTGGGTTAGCCACTGAGGAGCCGAACTGGTACCTGGTATTGGCCAGGGGAAAAATATTAAAAAGCAAGATAACCCTAAACATTAATCCTTTGTCAAGGTTGCCAGAGATGAACTGATAATCAGGTTGCTTCATCTCGCAAACTCTTCTTCTCATTCGGATCGTCTTTACCACAGAGTCATCATCTCAAAGTGGTTACATCAAATAAAGAGAACACTTGAGATCAGCTTTATGTTTGGCTATGGATTTTATCAGTTTATCCTTTGTTTATTCAACTCTTTGTTTGGCCATCATTTGTGTCATTTTGAAGAAATTGTTTCAACAGGAACCTCCCAAGTTTGGTAAATATGGTGAGTTGATAAAATTTTTCATTAATCAATATTAAAATATTGAAAGTTAAAAATGATAGTGAAGATAATGTTGGAATCAAATTACTCAATAATAATTCTATCTTTGGTTTTGATTATTCTACTTTTTAGCTCCTTCACCAAGTAAACTTCCGATTATTGGCCATCTTCATTTATTAGCCAAATTTCCTGATAATCCATGGAAAGGATTTGATCTAATCCGTGAACAGTACGGTGATGTTGTTTCCCTTCAACTTGGATCATACAATGCATTACTGGTTTCATCATTGGATAAAATGAAAGAAGTTTTAATTACTAAAGGTAAAATATTTTCTGATCGACCAGACTTCCATCGATATCGAATAATTTTCGGAGGTGATCGGGAAAATGGTAAGTAATTTATGCTCTTTTCTTTTGATACAGGATTAATGTTTACTATTTTATCTTTTTAGCATTGGCTTTGTGTGACTGGTCTGAACTTCAAAAGACTCGACGAGTTCTCTGTTCAATATCTACAACACCTAAATTTGCTTCGGCTTCTTATGAGATGCTTGACAAAGCAATTGTTTCAGAATTGAAATTGTTTTTTGATTTCATTGAAGCCAGCCCTGAACGAATACTGACTAAATGTTGGCTTAGACAGTTTTCTAGTAATGTTTTTACAGAGTACTTATGTGCCTCAAGGTAAGATAATATTAATTTTTTGCCATGAAATTGAATAAATTGCTCATATTTTTTATCTCTTTTCAGAATGGAATACAATGATCCAATACTGGTCAAACTAAGCTACTTTTTTGACTTCATTTTCAATGACATTAGTCAATGCGGTCCTGTGGACTTTTTACCTTTCATCAGACATTTAGGTTTTTATCGTGGTTATTTGAAAAAAGTAGACGAGATTGCTGTGGATCTAAGGTGAATCATAAACTTCTTTCATTTTTTATCATTGTTTTCATAAAATTCTGGTATTTATTGTAATTTTTTCCTTTTTATTTCTTTCAGAGTATTCATGGAAAAATACTTTGTTGAGCCCAGAATTGCCAAAATACAAAAATCTATGGAATTGGATGGAGAGATTGATTTAGAATCTTTCGATTCAATGATTTCTTTGGATCTAATGTACAAATATCATTTGAAAAACCCAGATGAATTCAGCTATGAACATTTCCTCTTTGCTATCGGTGATTTGGTTGGTGGTTCATCTGCAATCGTAAATATGATTATGAGATTAGTGGGACATCTATCTATTGATAAAGAAGTCCAAGAAGATATGTATCAAGAAGTTGCTGCTGTTGCCAAACAACACGATACTGATATGATTAGCCTTAAGCAACGTCCAGACTTACCACTTATCGAAGCAGCAATTCTCGAAGCTCTGAGAATCTCTTCGTCCCCTTTGGTACCTCATGTACCTACCGAAGATTCAACTATCGGAGGTAAGTCTACCTACTTTATAACCAATTTCACATTTATCTTGTTTATTACCCAAAAAATTAACATTCTACTTTAAATTTACCTCTTTCTAGGTTATTTTGTTCCCAAAGGAACCATTGTTTTGTTCAACAATTATAATATGAACTTTTCAACAGAATTTTATACCGATCCAGAAGAGTTCCAACCATCTCGATTCCTAAGCCATTCATCTAATAACAACTCCCAAAGTAAATGGCAAATTAAAAAACCAGAAGTATTTTTACCTTTCTCAGTGGGCCAACGTTCATGTCTCGGATTCAAGTTAACCCAATACATTACATTTGTTGCTTTATGTAATATTTTATTGCGATACAAAATTGAACCAGTGGATTCAATTGAAACAATCAAAAATCATATTAGAGGAGGAGTGTTGGCATTAAGAGTAGATGACGTTTTCCGAGTCAAGTTGATTCCAAGAGACTGAAGTGTTGTGTTGGGAAAGAAATTTTAATTTAGCTAAATAATGAATATTTTTATCAATTTATAGTTATTTATATAATTGTATTTTAAGGAAATCATATTTTTACGAACTATTAACATCTGTAACTCCATCTATTTGAAAGTTAACGACTGAGAAAATTATGAACATACTCAGAGTCATTTGTAATCATTTATATTCGTATTTTTAAACACAAAAAATATATTCTAAAATATGAAAAAGGTTATAATTTATTTATTGAATGCGACATTTTCCAGTCGCGAAAAGATCTAAAAAATAAATTTACGAAAGGTAACTCTTATAATTGATTGTTTCAGTCTTAATTTTAATAATCATGTTGCAACTTTTCGGTAATCGTGAATTGTATTTCATCAACTGTAGACTTATTGGTTTAATTAACGACTTATCAATTGCTGAGTTGAGTGGTAAAAATATCAAAATTGTCACAATTTGTGTAGTTCTTTATGAAACTAAATCATTCATCTTAAGTTCATAAAGATTGATGATATATGATAGTTGATGACTGGGCAATACTTTTTTATTCAAGCCGTTGAATCATCAAAAAACATTCAGGGTTAATATTTAGATAACACGATGCTTACGTGTTGATTCATAAAAAATCATCTTTTTGCCATATTCCAACAATAGGAAATTAAAACTCAAAACTCCAGATTTATCGGTAAATACGGATTTATCGAAAGGATAACAAATATGGAAAAATTTCTGAGCTTTGAGAACAGTTGAAACAGTTCAATGGGAATAATGGAGGTCAAAGTAAAGATTGAAAGTGATGATGAATAAAGTAAGGGAAAGGATATTTAAATAATAATAATTCAATTTAACGTGGCACTTAGATTATCACAGGCTTGATGTAATTGAAATTCATGTAAGGTACGGTATAATTGTTGAATTGCGTTCACTTTATCAGCTATAGGAAGTTTGAGATATTTGGTAATGATCAGTGAAGCCAAGTAAAGATATATTATTATCCTTAATTTTAGGCAGCAAGCTTGTTTTGCTTTGTTTCACCTCATTAACCAAGTGACATTAAATTGAAAAGCGTAAGTGTTTTGAACAATGTTAACTGTATTACATCCAATTATAACTGTTATTTAATTAAATCTTTCAGATTGCTCTTTCAGGTATTTCAGATCAAAGCCATTCAAGCCTCCGAAGCAACTGAAACTCGATCAGCTCCATCGTCTTCATCTTTGTCTTCATCAATTGTGGTAATCTCTCCGTATTGATCACTTGATTCACTTTTGCTCGATTGATTTGATGATGATTTCCCATCGACTATACTGCTATAAATGTGGTTTGCAGCTTCATCAGTAGACTCTGATTCTGTAAAATTAACAAAGTCATTAGTAAATCATTTTACAAGTTGTACTATTGATTAACTAACCTGGAGATGTTTCAGATGCATTTGATACACTTGATTCCGATGAGTCGCCTGTATTTTCAGTTTCATCCTTTTGATTGCTATTTGGATCAACAACTGGAGCATCGAGTGGAAACGCTCGGAAAACACTGTTCAAAGGTCCACTTAGACGTGTTTGAGGATAAAATGAAGGTTTATTGGGGACTGGAGTGCTTGACCAGTCATCAAACTCGTCCTTTGATTCATTGGAAGCTGTTGAGATGAAAATAAATAATAAGTCTAAATTTATATTTCATTTTGCATAAAGCTTACATTGTCGAGTGTCTTTGTAAATGGTTGAGATTGATGAACAACTTGTGGTATCGTAATCAGGCGGTGGTTCATTTTTCGGTCTATGAAAGTCAATTGTTGAACTCTTGATGTGACTCTCCATTGGTGATATCCTGAACTGATTAAATTGCGAATAAGTTAATCTTGGTGAAGGTTCTTTAGTTCTAATTGCTCCATAACCAACCAGCGAGTTGATATCATGATAAGAGACGGTTGAAGTAATAGATGAATAGGGATTTTCATCAATCAACTTGGATCCTCCAGATCGGTCAAACATGTTTGATAATGAGTTTCGTTGTGATGAACGAGAAGCTGAATTGAAAAAATTAGAAGAAACTAGAGACATTAAACATTGTAAAGATGATTATTATAAAAATCATAATTTAAATATAAAGAAACAAATGTAATTAAAATTCAAGTTTATGCTGAAAATTAACCTTGATCCTATTAGTCTAACAGATGCTTTACAGTTGAACAAGAACTCAATTGATTTCAATTTACATTTTTTACCTTCACATCTACCAGAACGCATTATTGATCTAAATGTTTCAAGTTTACATTATTTGCTTTGAACTCAGAGTTGATTGTTTTTGATGGTAAAACAGATAAGACTTTACTGTCCAAAAAAATGAGGACAAGATGGCAATTTGAGGTTCTTAAGCTGACCAGTTCGTTTCTTCAAATAGGTGATCGTTAATTTTATTAGTAAACAATTGTCTGTTCTTTGTTGACCCAAAGAAATCAGTGTTTCCTATGGTCATTACCTTAATTTTTGTTCCCTTCAAGGCCAAGAAACCAACAAAAGGAAGAAACAAAAATGCTAAAAAAGCTACAGAAATGATGCGAATTGGAAGACATTTCAGAGTGAAACGCACTCTTGAGTTTCTCTTAAATCCCCTTAAGGTGGAGCGAAAATTTAGCTAAAATATTTACAGCCTGCCTGAAGGGTTTGAGTAACTGATGAAACTGTAGTGACCAGCAAAGGGACAACAGTGAGAAGAGCCGGAAAAAGGAAACAAAAGATGCATTCGGAAACAATACTGGTAAATGTTTGGATAAGGTTGACAATATTGAACTTTATGTGAACTGTCTTTTGTCATGTTCACTGGTAATTGACAACATTGATTGCTAAAAATATTGATTAAGATGAATTAATCAAAGTAAAGAGAAGGGATTCTCTAAGGTCATAAATCAAGTGAATTGCGAAAACCGTTAAAAGGTATTTAGCCAAGATTTTGGGTTTACCTATTGTTACATGGATTGGTTTTTGGTATCTTTTTGTAGCATCTTTTTTGGCATACATTTTTCATCTTTTGTTTAGCTTAAGGCTAGCTTATGTACAATAGCATAAAATAATTAACTTGAACAAGGTAAAGTGAGTCAAAAAATTTTCCAATCGAATAGGTAAATTCATTTTTAGCCCTTTCGGAACAAAGAAAGGTTTCTCTGACTTTTTGGTTGTTTTTGAACACCTAATAATAACCAGAGTTTGCTGGGTTAACCTATTATTATTGTTAGCTATAACTCAATTGCTGAGAGTGTTGATAGACATTTGTTACCCATTAGATGAGCAGACATATAATTAAAGTGTTAACAAACGTGATTGAAGATGGAACAGTTTCTCATTTTGCAACTGACCAACTGACCGATGGTTCTTCCAACATGGCAACAAGTTTGACCTTAACCTTGAAAGGTAAATAAGACATTTGGACAAAAACAAACTTGACTTTCTTGAACAACCAACTAGGTAATGCAATTTGCTAATACAACTCAATTTACAATTTGCTGATTGCTAACTAGATATAACTAACGATATTGTTTAAGTTTTGCTAAAATCTTTTGGTCTTCAATCATTGCCAAAAATGTTTGAATTGTAAAAACAAATTTAAAGGAATATCATTAGTGAAAGTTTATTATTATTTTAATTTCTTGGGCCGGTAAAGTACGATTTAAGCTAAAGATTAGAGTAATTAAGAGTTGATTTGCAAATATATGATCATGTTAATTGTAAATTAGCGTTAAAATTTACATGCTTCTGCTAGTTATCCATTCAGGTACAATAAAGATGCACTTTGAAAACAATTGTTGATGAAGTGAATCTGGTAAATTTGATTGAAATTGTTACATTGTAATAAACAAACAAAAAGCATATTAGAGGTCTTAATTAACAATTATGATTTAGCATCAGTCACACTTTGCACTTTACGATGAAAAAGGTTAATTATATTTAATAGACGATTGTTACAATGCAAGATTGATTGAATGCTGAAATGACCCGCTGACTGAAATACACACACTTTTGTGCTCTTTACAAGTTATCAAATTGCCTGCACCCAACCATGATTTGAATTTGTTTCTTATTCAAACTTAATTCTGGTTCACCTCCAAGATTTTTTTACAAAAGCGACCTTCTTTCAGTGAGACTGTTGTCCTTTTCAATCCCAAACATTCATGCTTTCACTTTCTCGAACACCTTTTTTGAATCAGTAACTCTTGCTTTTACCACGTTTATGACGGACAAGCTAACTAAAGACTGAGGAATGGTAAAAATAGAAACTCAAACTCACGAAGAAAATGCTAAAAAATTGCTGAAAACTTGGCCAAGAAAACAATGCGAGCTACTCAAAAGGTATAAAGTGATCCGCTGAGACCAAAAATGTGTGAAAATGGTAAGAAATGCATTCTTGTTTAAAAGTTTTTAACAGTTTTTTCTTGTTGACAAAATGATCTTTTTTGAAATCTCTTTTCTCTCTTCATAAGTGCCACTCAACCTTTAGCCCTTTGCGTTACAATTGAATTGACACATTAATTGTTTGAGGAAATGTTGAATGCAAATTATTTCCAATCAATTAATGACAATCTAAATCTCAATCTAAATTGAGTTGTTTTGCAATAGAAAGGTGCAAAGGATATAATCGAGTTGAGATGAACGAGTCTTACAAGTGTTGTTGGAAAAAAGTTGATTAAGATAAAAATCCCTGTAAAGTACATTGCTTAAGGTGATTAATAAATTATCTGGTGCCTAACATTAAATCAAATTGTGTTACCAAATAATCATAATTGAAATTGATCGCCTGCAAAGTTGAGATAACAATATTTAAGCAACAAACATATTGAGTCAATGAAATGTTATTGTCCTCTTGAGTTGTTGGTTAAAACTAATCATCGATGGATCAGACATTTGCAAATTCAAGGCAAACGCATTGATTAAACTAATTACAAGTTTTGAATGGAAATGATTAAATGAGTTGGCCGTAAAGCCATCAAAAGAGTTGATTTGATTACTAAATTTGTGAATAAACTTTATTCGTGCAAACTCGTGTAAGGTTTACATTTTGTTAACACAATTCATGTCACGAAGTTAATAATGAAATAATTGTTCGTCTTGAATCTAATTGTTTACGCTCTTGAGAAGAGTCGCTTTCACTATTGAATCATCGTCATGTAATCATCGAGAAAAGTGAAAATTATTTAAATCTTGAGCGCTGATATAATTGCACTTTTTCATAACGACTTGAGCTTGAAATTGAAGCAAACTGCACTTGAGACTTTCATGATTAAGTTTGCAGATTTAATTGAGTCGGGTAAACACTGGCCACAATTGAACAGCTATTGAGACAGTTGAGAGTATTTTCAGTTATTTGGATTGGAATGAAGATATTGAAGGATTGTATCAATTCAGATGGATTACAATTAGATGAGCATGGAAGGTTATCTTCAAAAGTCGGGTTAATTGGAATAATTAAATTATGTAAGAAAATATTTGGATAATTGATTTGAGGAAAGAAAGTTAACAATGATTGATTGGTAAGGTTGAGTTCATTCAATTTACATCTGAAAATGTAAATAATTTAATTCACAATTGATTTAACCTGAAGATGAAAGTGCCAACTGCAGTATTTTATTGAAATATTAATCAACAGTTGACATTATTTTGAATAACATGTCAAATGATGTTAAATTATTGCAAACACAATTTACATTAAAAGTCGAGAAAAGTTGACGTAATGATAATCATGTTAATTTGATTATAAATAACGTGAAAGTAATGGATTAAGGCAATATTTTGATGCAACAAACTTAAATTGTCTGAATAACAATTGAATAATGATTGTGCTGATTCAAGTATGATAAATGTTGAAGCAAAGAGCGTATAAAAGCTGTGAAAGGCAAAAAAGGTAAACAGAATCAACAGGTTGTTTCTGTTTGATAATTTGTTTGGATAAAAGTGGTTTAATTAGCAAAGATGTTTGGAAAAAACAGAAGAAAATTTAGATTATCTGTTCTTCATCACTGAGGAATCTTATACAAACATTATCATCATCATAACGATGATCATCAGAGAGACTGAGAGTTCTGAAAGTGAGAGCAGTTTGCCTTAAGGGAATGGATTGAACTTGAATTGATGTCGACCCAATTAGTGAATTTCAGGGTATCTTCAAGATGAAAGTGAAGTGGGGATCAAGATGAAGGGAGGGATCAACTTGTTTCAAGGAGATTTTCTCAGTTGAAATGTAAGAACTTCCCTTAAATCGTTCCTGGTGACCTAAAGTAGGAGACTCTTGCAGGCTCAGAAAACATTTCAAGAGTTACTATGAACATCTCAGTTACTGTACAGATTAACTTTAATCACTTACCCTTGGGCAAATTTAAAATGCATATACCTGTGATGGAAGCTATTCTGAATTCAATTATCCCTGTTTTTTCTTCTTCTTGCTACTTGTTTTTTTCTTACAAATGGCTTGCAAGGAGAAAGAAAAAATTACATGTTCTAAGTTCACATTGAATCTGGACGAGACACAAGCAAACGAGTTATCATGATTTAATTTGGAAGGTTTGATTATTATCCTGGTTATTTACCAACGCCCATGGAGTTAAATGGCTAACTATTAACTAAATCAAGTTGTGATGGGTGGATAATCATTATAATTGGTAGTGATGGTTGCGAAAAGTTAGAAAAACCAAAAATTAAATTTTTTGAATCAAGGATTTTTCACTTTCTAATTATCCTTTGCAATGGTAAATTTTTCAAACAAAACTGTTCGAGATTATAAATTAATTTTAAATATGAAAAATGACTTGAAATATCAATTATTTTGGTATCAATTTTTCATTGTTCAGATAAGGTCATTTCTCATATTCAAGGATCTTCAAGTTCATACAAAATAATATGTTTAGTAATAAGTTATTGAGAATAATTTTTTATACAAATCTTTGTATGTTAGCCTTTTTTTGTTCAAAATAAAAGGGCAAGTCTGGTATTTTTGCGATAAATTCTGGTTTACGAGCGGAATAATTAAGTGTATTTAGCAGAGGAGAGCCATTATATAAGTGTTGAGAGTTTGAAATTGCGATTAGAAAAGTCAACTCACCTAATCTTCGGACAGATTGCCAGACTGATCCAGCAACCGTTTTGAAACTTTCCTTGATTGGTTTGTTAACTGGACACAGTCTACTTCTAAGAATGTCAAGGGCATAGATGTTGATGACCAAAATGGATAATGGTGATTCTAATATATTTAAACAATTAGATCCAAATGAAATAACAGAGATACACTGGAGTTGCAGGGAGGCCATATCGGGATAAGTTGATGACATTTCTTTTGTAACATTTTCACGAAACCGAGCCATGTCAAACAATTTGAATGGCTTTCCTTTTGAAAGGTGACCTCTTCGAGTCTCTAACTCTCTTCCAATGGCAGTTAAATGGTTATTCCGTGAGAGTGATTGTTGATGACATTCTGGGGTATAAACTGAACAATCGCAGTGTCGTTCAATCCAAATGTTGCCTTTACTATCAATTTGAATGTCCAAACCCTCATTTCCAATAGTTTTCAGGACATTCTCTGTACATTCAGCTCGATATGGATTATCAAAACCCTCTAATCCAATAGTGTAACCATCAAAACAAACGTCAGATCCATTGATGTTTAATTTGCCAAACCTGGCATAGGCTTTAGCAACACGCCGATTGCGTTCAAGACAAATAATCTTGCCCCAAATGCCACAGTCTAGATTCTTCCATTTGCTCAAAACCTCGTGAAGATTGTCCTGAGAAGGTAAAGTGGCGGGAGTCAAAAGATTTGCTAGGCAACAGGTGCACAAGGAAGGAAAAAGCTTACCTTGTAGAGAAGATCGTCTCTGGACCACGTGTCTTCATCGGAATCTAGAAGATCATATTTTCTGGAAACACTTTTATCACGCTGTTGATTTGATTGATTGTAATCAATAAACCAATGTGGTTCAGTTGGATGTTTACGCTTTGAAGGCATACCGAACAGGTTAGGACATCAAGTGAATCAACAATTTCACTCAAATGGAGACTGAGATCGGTTAATATTTGCTGCTAGCGAAGCAAATGAGAGTAGTTAACTGAATAAATACTGTTAATTTAATTGAATTAATTGAAAAAAAGACTAACAAAAAAGTTTCAACACCAACACGAGCATGATCATTGCTGAAGTACAGTAAAATGGTGAAAATGAAGTGAAAAACTCCCCGAAACGAAACTTTACAACTCGTTAATAGTGCCATCTTTTAGTACAGACACAACTTACTTGAAATATTCACATCCGAGCTAATCGTGATTTATTAAATAACGAAATTTTCTAAGTTAATGAAGATAATTGAATTACATAGAGCCAATAATGAAGTACAAAGTTTTACAATTTACAGAAGTGAAAAAGCGAAACTGGCTAAACTGATATTAAGATGATCGCTTGGAGTTTTATCCTTATCTTGATTTAAAAAATTGATGCTCTCTGAATGGTACTGTAAACATTCCGAGAACAATTGTTTTCCAGTCGATAACTTCAATTTAACACGGGAATTACCTTCTCTCTCGATCTTTAATTTTTTTTGACACAATCTTGACTTCAATCAAAGAACTCTATCGATCTATTAGACAATAAAGAGATATTTACAGGGACGTTACCAAATGTTAGAGCTTATTTGACATGGAACCATCAATAGCGATGGTTTTTGAAAGAGATTTACTATTGAAAATCGATGAATATGAGTACGGACGTCAAAAGAAAGATGTCGATTTTTTCAAAATTTACTCTTTTTTATTCCTATTTTTTGATTTTTATGATTCTCTCAGACAGTTTTACGTCTAACTTTTGCCTACTTTAGCAATACTTACTTTTCAAGTCTACAATTTTCTAGGCGTTTCGTCTGAATATAATTTCTCTTTCTTTACTTGCATATTGTATAATGCCTTATATTTTCATTCACATCCAATAAATGTTTATTAATTTGTTTGTTTTGAAAATGCCTAAAACTGGCCCGAAAATTGGAATTTTAAGCGCCGAAATCAATACATTTTATCCGCCGATTTCGGCCCCGAAATTGAATAAGTCTAACCGTCGATTTTGACGTCCCTAAATATGAGTATTAATAATATTGAACGGAGATTGAGGCCATTCTTAAATTCGAGGTTTTGTCGAATTGATTTGTTTTTATGAAAACATTCAAATGCATTTTTACCAAATTTTGAGCTGTCCCAGCAAATCTGAAGCTCGCCTCAGATCTAGCTAAATAGCTGTACTGTTTTGAGCAATTGCAATTAATTAGAATAAAGAGTGTAAATAAATTAAAGGGAGTAATAAAATAAATATTTTAATATATTTAGCATGTCATGCAACATTTCATGCAGTCCTTATAAATATAATCAATGATACATTATTACTAAATTATACAATGGTACAATGTGATATAAAAAGGTCGAATATAGATAGATCATTAAAATTATCCTCATCAGCGGATATAAAATTGAATGATGAGGTAAATGAATAGTATTAATATAGATAAACCGATTATGATCAGTTTCAGCATTAATAATTATCTGTTAGATCGGTATTTTATGTACTTTCCAGTATGATAAAATAGTCTATCGATTTCGATTAGTCATTCCAATCGAAAACAATGTAAATCTTTAAAAATAGATGATATGAATATGATTATCTTGGTATTTTGATTATCTTTTAAAAAAATGACGGATTAGAATCTTGTGAGTTGAATCGAAAAAATGAACCAACTTTCTGCAATAATGAATTTCTCGGTTGTTCTTGATAAATTTCTGCAAAAACATCTTCGTTGCACTCACTAATGAAATGCTGTGAAATAAAACAAAAGAGATAAATTAGTAAATCATTCATTGGTTGAAAAAACAGAAAAAATTCAAGCTTACCTGCATTTCAGTCTGTATTTGCGAATTATAGTTTTTTATGATATCCCAAGCATCCATAACGATTGATATGAAGAGGTTGAGGACAACATAAGTAAATAGAGAAATGAAAGAGTATATGAAGATTCTACTAAACCACCAAATGGCTGGATCGGCGGAATCAAGAGTGGCAAAAGTTGCATATAGATCATCACCGTTGAGTAATGCAAAAAGACATTCAGAGGTTGAACTCAAAGTTCGAAATTTTAGATGATGTGGTCCAAGGACAATCCACCCACAGAGACAATATCCACTGAAGATTAAAAAAGGATGAAAAGAGATGAAAAAGAATTAGTAAAACCAAATTCAATTAATTAAAAGATAAATAGGCTTACATATAAAGTAAAATGGCACAAAAAGCAAATTTGCTAATATCCGGGAATGCTTTCTTCATTGTCAATATGACAATATTGAATTTGTCGAAGAAACTGATGTAACGAAGTACACCAAACCAAGTTAAAAGTATACCAATACCAAAGAGAATCGAGTAAATATTTGCCAAAGATTGACTGTGATCCATTGGGCCTCCGCAAAGTTTGATACTTGAACCAGTTAGTAGAAGTAAATCGTTGATGAAAATCAAATAAATCCAGGGATCAATGAATTCCATTTTGTCATGAAATTTTAATTCTATGTTATAATGTTTGGCGAAGAACACGATGGCTTTTCGCTGTAAAGCCAATCCTTTACCCATCGATCGAAGGCACAATAATGCAGATAAGGAAGTAAGAAACATTACAATTACGGTGGAAACTTCCATGACGGAGTATGTCGATACTGATTTTCCTTCCAAGTTACCAAAGCATTGTTTTTGAATACTTTTAGTATTCAATTTCATCAATACTTGCCCGGCATGTAATGAGTTGTCTAAAACAAATGATATTTGAATAATGTAACATTCTGGAAAATTGTAAAAATCCAATGAGTTACGGTAGATGATTTTTAAATTCGTAATCAGTTTCATCTTGATCAAGCTATCAAAATTGAATTGATATTGTTGGGATGAAAGAAAATTTTGGATAGAAAAAGAGTCCCATCGAACATCACCGGCAGGGTAATCACTTTTAATGGTAAAATTTGTTGTATGAATTTCGTTATTAAAATTAAACGTAAAGTTAAATGCGTTTTCTTCACCCTTGGTAAATTCAATGATTTCGAGATAAATCGGTGAAACGATGTCTGGGGCCGAAGAATCATAAGCAAAGGTTTTCAGACTAGAGTTGGTGACGTTGGCAAAAGCTTTAACAAAATTGTTTATGTTTCTATCGAGATCGTCTCTGGTGTAACAAGCATAAGGACCCGTTCCTGGTGGATAGACCAGCACTTCTCGGACTGGATCCCAATCAGCGAGTAATAACTCTTTGAGTGTTATGTCGACGTTTGACTGATGTGTTTTGTAACGAGAAATTTCAAGACCGAAGGAATATATTTGAAGCGTTACAACCAAAAGCTTAATGATTTGAAGCAATAACTTCCAAGGAAACTTTCTTTTGCTTTTCCACTTATCTATAGGATTCATGAAATTATATTTCAACTGTCTCCTGAATGAATTTATTTCATTCATGTCGCAGTCACTCTTTATAGGCCTTCCTTCAATTTCATCAGCTTTTTTGAAAACTTTACCTCCATAATCAACATAATCGCCATTAGGGTTGTTCAATTGTACATTCGTCGAAGTTGAGGCAATCGTCTCAATCAACACTTCGTCATCCATTTTGGAGTAATGGTTAATTTACCGATTGAGCATACTGGAAAATAAACAAAGTCGTTAAATTAAACTAGTGCTACCACAATAATGTTGTAAATCTTGTATTTAAACATTTATGTCGTCAGTAGTCACAGGATAGATTACATCTTTGAGTTTATTATCCTTCTAACCATTCACAAAGTGATATCTTGATTAAGCTTCAAAGTTTTGATTATAACTTGGAAGATGAGTAATTAATTACATCTATCCATAAACTAAAGGAATTTAAACTTTAAATCATTATTGAGTTTGGTAGCAAACTCAAATAGAAAGTCTTTATCAGCTTACCTTTTATGGAGATTCAATGTAACAAGCCATATCGGAAATGAGAACGGGACAACAAAATCTGTTAATTAAAATAGGAAAGAGTTGTTTCAGAATTGCGGCGCTATATGAACGTTATTAACCCATACACTTTTTTTTACTGACATTACTCTTGTCTCCTTCAGGTACCCAAAAGAATACAATTTTTAATCAAAGGGAGTTTTAAGGAGACAAATTGCATGCTTCCACCAATTAACATTCAAAAATAACCAAGGTCAAACATTTTACCTTATAATCATTACCAAATTATATCTATTGTCAAATATTTACATTATTTTTAAAATAAACAGATAGAAAGGAACATTTAACATTGAGATTGTTAAAAGGGGAAACACGCTGACTAAAAATGTAAAAAAAATAGTTAAACTTACTTTTAACGTTAGTCAAGAGATTCCTATGTTGAATATCTATTTACCAGTCACAGAGTCATTCTACAAGTAATTTGTTCAGACTGATAAACACAGTCAAATCGTATAATATTAATTAATTGATAAAGAATACTTGAGAATAACTTTTAACTAAACAACATGTAACACCAAAAGAAAGACATATTTTCTGTAGTTGAGTTTGTCTTTAAATACACAGGAAGTTGTATCCATCTACAGTTGAATTTGAGTTGAGAAGCGCCAAAATTGAAATTTCATAAAGAAATGAAATTGTTAGAATGCTAAGTTTCAAGGTTATCATAGTATCAGAAAATGGGAAAATTAATAAAGATTAAGGTAAACTTGATCAACTGATCTAAATGTTTTGCAATCATTGAACTAGATTAGATATTATAACTGATCAGCAAAAGATGGAGCCCGGAATGACTAGTGAAGAGCGCCATATTTACTTTGTTGTTGGCATTTTTTTAGGTTCAATTGTATGTAAAACCACTTACTCTCCATGAAATTGACTTGTCCCTACCTATAGTAAGGGTTTAAAATTTGAGGATTACTGAAGGTAAAAAATTTAATCAAAAATACTGATTGAATTGCGAAAATGATTCAAATTGAATGATAAAAATGGAGAACAAAGGAAAGAGCTGAAGACATCATATGGCAACTCAAAGGAGCTACCTATTTACACGTTTTTTGACTCACTCAAAAATGCCTTTTGTTTTTCTTACCTTCTAAAATGGCTTGTAACCGGCTTTTTAGATGATTTGATGATCATCACATTCACTCTATGGCTATAAATAAAGCCATGTTCAATCGAATGGACAATTTATTTAGAAAGTGGTTCAAGGCCTCTTGAAATTCATGTCTCTTTAGTACAAAAAAGAAAACAAAATATCATCTTCGGTGTAAAAAGGAAAAGGTTTTTTTTTACTTGCTTGTGGTTTTACAACTTATAACTTAAAGTGTAAATGAAATTGTCATGTCAAATAAAGTACCATTAGAGGATCTGCAAAGAACGGAATCAACTTCAACCTCATTTATAACCTGTGGTGTTAATAATATGCCAACATTCAATCAAACTGCTTCAAGATTTCCAATATGTGAAGATGTACATAAATATAAATATGAGAGTCGAGTTAAAATTGGTCAAGGAACTTATGGTGAAGTGTTTAAAGTCAAACACCGTCATAACAATCAATATGTTGCTATAAAAAGGATTTTACTGGAGAAAGAGAAGGAAGGTTTCCCGCTCACAGCTATAAGAGAGATTAAAATTCTTCAGCTTTTAAAGAATATAAATATTGTTAATTTAATTGAGATTTGCAAGTAAAGTATAACTTTTATTTATCCTAATCTTTCACTTTTACCATTCATTTTCCTTGTTAAATCTCTATTTAATTTTATTGATGTCATCTTTTCCCGTGTCATATTAACTTGCTATACCTAACACCTTAATTAATTTGATAAAGTTCTTTGTTGTGTTGCGATTCTTTTGTTCTAACATTTTGGTTGTTCTGGTTCCTTTGTTTTCCCCTTTTCTCTGTTCTTTCTCTCTATACCTCTGTATATAATTTGAAATTTTTCTTTTACTAACGCTTATGCCTTTCTTTAACTCTTTAGAGGTGAAACAGAACCCAATCATTCCAGGAGAATTGCAGGACCAACATCTTTTTATTTGGTTCTTGATTTCTGTGATCATGATTTGGCTGGTTTACTGGCTAATGATAATGTCCAGTTTAACCTTGCTGAGATTAAAAGTGTCATCAGTCAGCTTTTCAATGGGCTGTCTTATATTCATAGTAAGAAGATACTCCATCGAGACATGAAATCTGCAAATGTTCTCATCACTCGTCTCGGTGTTTTAAAACTGGCCGACTTTGGCCTCGGTCGAATGGTAGGCGATGCAGAAGATGGTTTCACCAATAGAGTAGTTACTCTTTGGTATAGACCACCTGAATTGCTATTAGGTGCTCGTAAATATGGGCCATCCGTTGACCTTTGGGGTGCTGGGTGTATTATGGCTGAAATGTGGACACGATCCGCTTTATTGCCAGGAAATTCAGAGTCAGAACAGTTGGATTTAATTAGTAAATTGTGTGGCTCAATCACACCAGAAGTGTGGCCTAGTGTTAAGCAATTAGAATTATTCAATAAATTGCAATTGATGCAAGGTCAAAAAAGACGGGTAAAGGATCGTCTTAGTACCTATATGATGGATTCAAATGCTCATGATCTTCTTGACCGTCTACTTACCTTGGATCCTTCACAAAGGATTAATGCGGCCGATGCCTTGCATCATGATTTTCTTTGGTCAGAACCACTGCCCGGAGATTTGAGTCGAGTATTATCTCAATTTAACCAATCAATGTTTGAATATTACAAAAACTCTCGTCGACGAAGAAATCCTAGACCAAAGATCCTCAAGCAGAATCGTACTAAAGTATTTTGATGAAAAGCGTTTAGGGCCATCTTTTTATTTAAATGTAATTTTTTACCTCAACTCTAAATATTAATTAACAAGTAACTTACCTCATCCACTCAATTTAGGCTCATTTGTTTCAAAGTGTTCCTTATCAATGTTGAAATTCATGTGATTACCTAAATTTTACTCTTTCTATAATGTTCATCACTAACTTAAATTTAAACGACTACGAGCTTCCATACTCGCCAGTTAATTGTGAGATTTAAACAAACAAATTTTTTTACAATTGCATTTTTTATACCTTTAAACTGTCGTATTTTGACTAAACTTTTTTGTACAAAACTAATTATTTTTTTCCCACTTCGGTTGTTACCTCAAACGCATCAATTTTTGTAAGCCCTTTCAACCTTTTAATAAACTAGACGATTTACATTCTTACATGAAACTCAATTGATTTCAAATTTCTTATTTAACCCATCTGACTCTTTAATTTGGTTTATAAAAATGATCATATTCAATAGGAATTGTGTCGGTAAAATAGTTTTTAATGATAAGTCAAATAAAACAAGATTGACATCAATTAAAAAAACTTTAATGAATTCAGGAATAGAGAAAATTTAATTGAATAAGTGCATTTATCTCTTTATCCTTCAAAGTGAGTTGATTGCTGGTTCATTAATATCAAAGCTAATAAGGAATAAAACTTCAGTAAATAAAGATTGTTAGGCCACTCAAAAAGAAAATCTTTAATCTGTAGTTTCAGTCAACATACTTGATATAATTGATTATGATGTGTCTGATTGAAATTATGGAATATTGGCTCTATGATTTGGTATTTGTCAATATAATTAAAAAAAAGGTTTCTTCGTTAGGTCAAAAGGTCAAAAGAACCTTTTACCATGAAAACTTGTACACACAATGATATTCTGACATCATATAAGGCATTATGCTGATGCCACTTCGTCTTATCCTTAATCGTGTTCGACAGGTGATAGTGTTGGTATTATTGTCCATCATTACATTTGCCTGGGAGTTGCTTTTAATTATCACTTCAACTGATTTCGTTCCATAAGACAGCCTCACGATAAGCTGTGTAAATTTATCACCGGTTGCTGCGTAAATACTGTCATAACTATTGCTTTGAAGATCAGCACAGCCTTCTAAACTTCTTGGTTCGGGTCCCATTATATCAACAAACTGTTCAGTGACAGGGCTTAACCAAGGTGTTTGTTCAGATTCTGGATCAGCTGAAACAGCTTTTACATGGAGGAGGTGTCCATCAATACAGTCAGAGTCAGAGTTCTGTCAAATATAAAAAAACAGTTATTAATTAATTTGAGTCATTTTATAGAGAAAGGTGAAAAAAACAAAGACAACTCACAAGATTGAAATAAAATGGAGCCACAATGTCTGCCTGTTGTTGAGCGGTTCGAAATTTACCAATAGTAATCAATTCATTTTCAGTGGTGAGTTGATACATTAGCGAATTGGAATTAGAGTTAAGCAAAAGAGTATCTAAGCCCAATACATGAGGATTCCAGTCAATCAAATTATTATTTCCGAAAAGTCTCACAATTTCATTTTTTTCACCTAATTGTATGTTACGGACAGCAGCACCAGTGTTCACAATGGACACTTTGAGACCGTTAATCCGATTGTTCAAGGTAAATCTTCGCAACATAAAACCTGGCTGGAGGATCATATCCTCCTCGATGTTAATCAATTCATTCTCATGGAGCATCGTCATTTAAACTGGTGTGTAAATGAATTTAGGGTAAAAACAAGAAACTTTAAAGAGATGACCTGAAATGATAACATACAAACACATCAAACCTTTACTGAATGCATTTATTATGCATTTATGTTCCTCAACTGTTATATCGATGTTCTTTCCAATACTATCGAAATCTCTGTAACTACAAATCAACGGTTGTAACGAGAAATGATACGCTATTCACCTTTTGCAACGTTTACAATGTAAACTCAGAAAGGTAATTGGACAGTTGTGTTTAAAAAAGGTAATCACAATCATTCTTAAACCTTAAAAGCACCAAAGGATAGTTTTGATGCGTGTGTCAATCTTGAGCTTTAACCAGATTCTTGGTGAGATCTTCGATGTAAGCTAACAGCAGATAGTTTTTCACTTTAACCTTTGAAATCACTATGTTATAAACTTTATTAATTCATTTATTCAACGATTTTATAGATGAAACCAATTAAAATAATTATCTCTTTATCTTTATGCAAATGAATGAATAATAATTTATCTTCAAACAATACTTTATTTTAAATACTAGCCGTTAGGTGGAACCATCAAGGATCCAGTTGACGTTTTTTGAGTCCCGGGGCGGGCTTTGATTTACGCGCCATTTTGTTTGCTATAGACAACATTTTTTGCTATCTTACAACTTTACCTTATTATTATAGATTAGTTGATCAAATTGGATTAATTTAATTGTATTTTTATTTATATTTTTATTTATTTTAGTTTTTCGACTTGTTTGGTGTCCCATCATATTTATTATACTCCCCAATCTACCAGTATAACGATAAAGAAAATAGTTTTCTTGCATTTAAAATTATTCAAGTTTACCCAATCTTTTTCCCTTTCTTTCTCTTTCTTTTTATAACACATTCAACATAGTGTAAACATGTCTCGAAGTGAGATTGACTCACTTAAATCCCGCTTTGCAGATGGTGTTCAAACCAAATTACGGAGTGGAGGTGAACGTCAAAGTGGCAGATACTCTGATATTTATGATTTTGAGTCTCCTAGAGGGAAAAAGACTCCAGCCAAGAACAAATCTATGACTTCAGAAAAGAAAAAGGCTCGCAGTGTTAAAAGTCCATCAAGAGCAACTTCACCCAGAAGAGCCACCTCACCTAGGAGAGCTGTTTCACCCAGAAGGGCGACTTCACCCAGGCCACGTACGATAAAGAAGAAGAATACGTCCACTCCAATCTCTAAATCCAACAATGCCAGAAATGATTCTATGAAAACTTTCAAAACGCCAAAATCTGCCACCAAACATGCACCCTCGACATCAACCCCAAAAAGTAAGGTGCCAACAAAGAAGCGAAAAAGCGATGATAATGATGACGATATTATTCATGAAAATGATTATGAAGAAGAAAATGACACAGGAAGCAAGAAAAGGAAACGAGAGACTGACGCTGACACGAAAACGCCCAAGAAACGTTCTTCAACCGTAAGGAAGAGAGTATCTTTTAGAGGAGACGAACTGGACTCTAATTCACACAAATCCTCTAGAGATGGTGAAAATGAAGTTGGTAAAAATGACTCTTGGTGGTTCTGTTCTGTTATGTAACCAAAACTATCCCAGTAAAGGAATGGTTCTCATATTTTTAAATTTCATCCAATTCATCACCAGAAAGTTTATACAGCTTATCACATTTACCTCACTTCTTATTATTTAGCCAAACTCATCCCATCTTATAAGTTTGTCAAACCCTAACACTATCGTAATTAGTTTATTTCGCATCCCTTTCTCTATAACTACTATTTTCGCTGCGTCAAAAGGTCATAAGTACAAAATTCACGAACTCACCTTTCATTTAAACACATAACTAAACCACATAAATTTCTATTTGTAGATTTTGATTTGTTTCTGTCAAAAAAACTCAAAACAATTGAATCCACTTGAATATTTATATTCATATTATGTGAATTGTTAAGGATACTTTGACAAGTTTTCCACGCAGAACAAGATTCCATCACAAGTTTACAAGTTTAGTGCATGTTAATGACGTTAGATTATATCCTATTTTTGACCAGATATAGGAGGGTGAGGATACACTCCTAGCAAAGGGCAATACCCTCAGATCTTGTTTCAAATTTAATAAATTGAAGCAAGAAAACTTTGATTTTCTTGTTCTTAAAAGTGTTAAGCTTAAATCAAAATAGTTAATAGTTGGTTTGAGGGTTATGCTATGATCTCTCGTTCAAATCAACTTATGTAATAAAGATTTTTTTGTACTCAACTTTCTAATGACTATTGATTTAACTGTTATAACCCGCAAATAGAATTCTGACAGCCATATTATAATGAAAATATTTATGAATATAAATTGAATTTTCCAGTAAAATTAAAAAAGGATATTTTATCCAATTTTATTTCACCAAAACGTGCTACTAATCTTGTCAAATTTTATTTCATCAACTAATGTAAACGAGTTGTACGAATCGATTTTAATTTAAAGTCTGTGCATTTCATAAATTACAAAATATACAAATACAGAATCTATAGAAATCTTAGCAATTAGTAACAAACGACTCTACCTCTTTCATTATATCTAAAAAGCTCAAATCCTTCATATTTCTTTCAGAGCCATTTAGATAACTGAATTCAAACAATGGGATACTTTCCAGACATTTTCTTCCAGCAATAATGATGATTGGAATACCTAAACACTTTGCATCTACCACACGATGACCAATGGTTAATTCGGTTCTATCATCAATAACGACATCAGCTTTGGTATATTTATTTAAATGGCGTGCTAAATCCTCAGCTAAATGAGTAACACCAAGATTATCCTCCTTACTTCCAGTCTATAAAGCAAGATGGTGTAAATTAAATTATCTTGATAAAACATTTTAGATTTTCTATTACCTTTGGTGGAATAATACAAATTTGATAAGGAGCAATTAGAGCAGGCCAGCCTATTACGCGATTGGTCGATAAAATTTCTACACAAGAAGCAAGGATACGAGTAACTCCTAATCCATAACTTCCCATTTCCAATAAACTAGATAGACATTGGTGATAATTATGAGATAGGTCATTCTTTAGCATTAAATTCAAGTGTTTTGTAAATTTTCTTACCAATAAGTATTCAGTCTTGACCGATAAAAACATTTGAATGGCTCAGTGTATCTTGTTGATAAATAAAATGCATGACCTACTTCCAGTGATTGTTTAGCTTGTAAATCACATTTACAATTAGCACAATGGTTACTTCGAGCAGCATTTTTTTCCATGTACTCTTCACTAAAACTATGGTTACATTGTGAGCAAATGTAAATTGTATCTTCACCGGCATCTGATATTAAATGGTATTCATGGGAGTGTTTCCCTCCAATTGTACCTGGATCAGCTTTCGCTATTGAAAAGAGTTCATTATTAAAATGATGTATAAATTAGACAGTTAAAACTTACTTTTAATTACATTTAATTTAAGTCGATCGAAGATATTTTGATAGCTTTGGCAAACAAGATCGTAAGATTTATGAGCGTCAGACTCTGTAGCATCAAAACTGTAAAGATCTGAAAAAACAATTCCAAAAGTAATTAGCATTTCATTTACGTTTCCCTTTTGAGTTGACGGGATTTTCAGAAATATTTTTAATAAGATGTGAGATGATAAAAATCAGTAGTTATAAATATTTACCTTTCATGACAAATTCGCGACCTCTAAGAAGTCCACCGCGAGGTCGAGCTTCGTCTCTGAATTTTGATGTGACTTGATACAAGTAAAGTGGAAGTTGCTTTTCAACCAGCTTTTCTCTAGAAAGCCAACTACAAAACATTTCTTCGTGAGTCTGATTTAATGGAATTCATAAAAGAATAGCAATTAATAATCAATGCATAGACATCATAATAGTTTCCATCAAATGAACCAAGCGATTAAACTTACAGGGGCCATGAATAAAGCTTGCTTATGACGGTCATTCAAAGTAAAGATATCTTCCTTGTGTTCCGACCATTTACCTGCAAGGATATTCAAAATTTAACGGTTTGTAATGAAAAAATGATCTAAAAATCTAATAATTACCCGAAACTTGCAATAAATCAAGATGACCTAAAGTTGGAAGAATTACCTTCTGGCAACCAATAGTTTCCATTTCTTGGTCAATGATAGCTGTTAGTTTGGCGAGAGATCGAGTTGCTAATGGCAATACATAATGAAGACCAGAGGTAATAGTACTAATTAAACTATTATTAATCATCAACTAAACCGAGGAAACAAAAATGAAAAATTTAGTCATCTGTTATGATTAGTGAATCAAATTAATTGAGCAAAAACTCACCGTTAAACTTTTAGAAGCAGTAGCATCATGAGGTTTCTCGGTTAATAACAAAACTCGGGTCATCCGATGTGGTTCCGACGAAGTTAATGCTGTAGGCAAATGTAAAAATCGTTTCTGAGAGCAACTCCATTTGAAAAAGGATTTCAACTTCATAATTTCAGATCAAAAACCATAAACATGAATAAAGTGTAATGAAATACCGGTTAAACAAAAAAATAATTCAGCAAGTCAGCTGTTACAACTTGACACGCGCTTTATTTGATTGTAATATTTAAACAACTTCTGAGTGAATGCATAATTAATACAGTATTAATAAGTTATTGATCAATATTTAACCCTGATTACTTGCGTGTTGGACACATAATCAAAGTGTTATAATTTTTAGGTCAATGGATAACTTTTTAATAGCCAACTAACTCCATTTAATTTTTATAATTTTAAATGCCTCTTCGTGATCATTTAGGACGAATTGATAATTGTGGTAACAAGCCACCTCGATTATCATAACCAATTGCTTTTTCTTTGGATTTTTGTTGCTCGTAATATGGATCCAATGATAGAGCAATCATGGATTCATCATTCATCTTGTAATGACCTGACGGTAGTCATTTATGGAAAATGAAAGATAGAAAATTATCATAGAAAAACGTCAAACCAGCAACACAAAGATAACGATATTTAGGTGGCAGCAAGTAGAAATTGAATGCTTGTAGAGGTAAAAAACCAAACCATTCCGAAAATATAATATAGAGGATTGTTTCTTTAAAAGACTTGTACCATTCCTGCGTCGTTTTACCTTCGGTTTTAGCAACGATGAAATAACAAACAGTGACAAATGGAGGTCCGATAATGGCTTCACACATCAACTTTTTTGATACAATGGCTATTGATCTACCAGGGAACTTTTTATCTAAGAATTCGTACCAGTAATGGCCAGCAAAACCAAAGTATAAGCCTCCAGCTGCCATACCAATCGACCTCCTAGTATCGTGTTTATAAGAATCACAGTCATCTTTTTTTAAAAAATCATCTTGTTTAGGATAAACATAATGGGTAGCAAGTTGTTGTATAAGATCAGCTCCAACTAAAGCACCAGTACCAATAGTCGTATTTGTGAACATCAGATAACGAGGTGAGAACGCTAAATTAAGAATTCTCTTTAAATGACTTCCAACAACCATCTCTGCTGACAGGTAGTGGTTTGATGGCGAATATAATTCTAATTTAACGGATTTTTCTATTGGAAATTAATTTATAATACTTTGTTTAAGTAGAAACATCTGATGATTCGATGTGTACATTCTCTTACAAGGCACCAACACAACCATAATTATCTGAAACAAAAGAACAAATAAAATTTTTATAATTTAGTTGAAATCAGGTTGAAATACTTACAAATCATAACCAAATGATATTCTGTCAGATAATTTAATTCTTGAAATTAAACCTAGGATTGGACTAGATATACGTTAGTAGTGAATGAAAAAATACGACTTACAAAACAACGAACACAAACAATGGTTGAATAATAGTCAACAATCAAACTTTGAAATAAATTCAGCAATTTAATGGAAACTACGTATGAGCATTAATTGTCGCAGACCACGAGCAAAATTTCATTACGGCAAGTTTTGCAGTAAACAGTAAACTTGCCGAAGACAGTCTCCGGCAGTCTTTAGTGCTATTTTCGACGCGTGCGCTCCGAGCAATGACAAGCAGCTGATTCAGATTTTCATATTTGTTTTGATTGGAATGTTTCAAATTACAAACTTGTTATCACTTTGATTTTGAGTTAAAAATGTCTATTTGTTTGAAACCTGTCTTTTATCAATCGTAAAAATGATATCGCATGAAACTTCACAATTTGCTCATCCTTTTACCTCTGTTTATCAATGAAACTGACAATTATGACAATTGTGAGTTTATAAATTATCACCTAAGATGCTGGAATTAGACTTGTCTGACAGTACGGGATCTTGAAGATGTAAACTCAAGAAAAACCATGTGAACTCATTGTAACAATGTTATAAATAAGCAATAAAATCTGGCAGTTGGCTTATTTGTTGGATTCTGAAACGATCTGAAGCAATAATCTGCAAATAATCCATCTCGATGATCGCCTTAAAAAAGTTGACAATTGCTGTTTTTGGAGTAAATTTTGTTTTGATGACCTACACCGCTTTTATGTTCATATTCAAAGTGCCTGAGGAATCGAATTTCAATCGAGAAGATGGCCAACGTTTGATTGACCTCATCCATTATAATGATTCAAACAATATCGATTACAGCTATTGGGGTCCATTGGATGCTGTCCATGTTAAATCATTGAGCAATAACGAGAAATCTAAACAGTTAAGCAAAAAATCCAATGAACCATTAGATGTCATCGAAATTTGGTCTAAAGCGGCAATCGGAGTTTACCTTTGGGAACATATACTGAAAGGAAAACTCAGTAAAAAAAGTCAGTTTTATCAGTATGGATTTAGGAAGATTGATCGATTTAAAGTTAAATTTCGTAGCGGACCCTCTTTAACGCCTCAATCATTGGAAAATTTCCTTTCGGCTGATAACAAACAAAGGGACTCAAAAAACTTGATTTTCGTTTTAAATGGTCGCTCCAAAGAGAAAATTGAATTTGCGAAGCAATGGTTGGACAAAATTCAAGATTTGTCTTCTAGAAAAGATATTCAACCCTTTAATGCTGCTGCAATTTTACTTGGACACGAATTTTGCTTTAATCATTGGGTGGAAAAATATCTCAACTCAAATGGACCCTTAAAATTTCTGTTTGTTGTTTACGATTGGAAAGAAATTAATGAAGAGGACATCTATCAATGGCCTTTAGGTGTGGCAACTTATCGAAACTTCCCTAACCCTGACCCAAACAAACTTAACTTGAAGCTAGAAAGGCCATATACTTGCAATTTTCTCGGGACAATATATCCAAATTCATCGCGAGTTGAGGTTATGGATGTCATTAGAACTTTTGATGAAGGCGTTTGCTTTACAAAAGGCCGGTTAGAATGGGAACCGAATGAAACCAGTGAAACTCTTGAGCTATATTTGCAAGCTTTACGTTTATCTGATCTTACTCTGAGTCCGATTGGAATGAATCATGAATGCTATCGCATTTATGAAGCTTTATCTTACGGATCTCTACCGGTAGTGGAAGAAAATTTAAACCATGTTAAAGGCCATAAATCAAACTGTGATCCTACCTCAGCTTATCGTTTGCTCAAAAAATATAATGCTCCTGTGATATACATTGCCAACTGGACTCACGAACTGCCAATGCTGATTGAAAAAGAGATGAGTTTATCATTGGAACGAAAAATTGCAAGAAGACTTCGATTGATTGACTGGTACGCTTCATTTAAGACAAATCTCCGTAATCAGCTCTTTGATACAATCGAACAGAAATTTCAACTAAAATCTTAAGCACAATACTCACCAGCTAATAAACAAAAAGTCAAATGAATAAAAGTGGCATTTTTTAACCCATCTTAAACTTCTGCTCTTTTTGATGCTGTAATATCATTGATCTCGAGATATTCTCATTCAAAGTTGATAAATCCTCCCATTGACAAACATGGGAAAAACTGACAAAATTTAAAGTTATCGAAATGACTTATGGAAAAGTTAATTTCTTTAATTAATCCCAAAAAATCTGGTGCAGCTGGTTACAAAGTCATCATCAAACGCAATTCAATTTCATTTGAGTTTTAGATATGAGCTCTCAAGATACTATTCAGCCTTATAAACCGTTTGACTTTGTAGTCAACTGCACTCTATCAAAAGATTTTTTACAAGAGTTCGAGAGAACAGCAATTATAAATATTTACCTTTCATGACAAATTCGCGACCTCTAAGAAGTCCACCGCGAGGTCGTGTTCGGTCTTTAAACTTGATACAAGTAAAGTGGAAGTTGCTTTTCAACCAGCCTTTTTCTAGAAAGCCAACTACAAAACATTTCTTCGTGAGTCTGATATAATGGAAAGGAATATCAATTAATTAAGTATCGATGCATCAACAGTTTCCATCGAATAAATCAAGCGATTAAACTTACAGGGCTATGAATAACCTAGTAAATAACTTGAGAAGCCCAGCATTTGATTATAATTCTTGAAATGCTTCTATTTTTATCGAAGAATGATTGAAATGTAAAAGTATTGGCAGTGATGTTAATTTATCATTCCATGTTCATAAGTAACTTTCCAAATATTAGCTAAACAGACTGATGAATGATACCGAAAAAATAAAACAAAAGGATGGCAAAGATTGAGAACAATCAAATGAAAAAAATGCTGAAAATCATGGTCGTTCACTTTAGCTTTGTCTCGGAAAGCCCCAGAAACCCATAGAATTAAGTTCATAAAAATCAATAAAATAATAATTTGTCTGCCAGGCTTATGTTGTACCAAATATGGTGTATTACAAACTTTGATTCGGCCATAAAAGATGAAAAAGGCTTGATAAATGGGCTGCAAAATAGAGAGAGCTTCTAACGATCCTTCAAGCCATGAAAATTTTTCAGAATAGATGAAATATATTCTGATATAGCCGCGTATAAAAAAGGCTAATAGAGGAAAGAAGAGTAACATTAAATCAGTCGATCCAATACAACTTTTATCTGATTGACCGAGAAAAGACAACTGCCAAGTTCCGATCAGCAAAGCTACTAGTGAGGAAACAAGGTAAATGAAATCTTCCCACTTCACAAAAAATATAGTCGATTCTGATACATTAGATTGTCCGATAATTGAAAAATAATACAAAAGAGAACTGATGCTTCCAATGAAGAAAATTATTCCAACAATTAAACCCTTCTTGCTACGATGAAATGCCATTGATTCAGTCATTGCTTCAAATTGATTGGGAGCTCCATGAGATTCTGTAATTAACCAAAAAGATGGAGCCCGTGTCCGCTTGTAAGATCCAATATTGAGCCATATTGTTAACCATTGAATAGCAAGAAGAAAATTGAATTCAACAGTAAATGGGTCAATATAAGGTACAAAAGCTCGAACATTGGATTTCAAAAATGATCTACAATGCGAGTCCATGTCGATTGGATCTTGAGGAAAAGCTTCAGAGACAATAGTAGCAAACCATTTGAGTAGAGCGACAGTAATGCAGATCATACAGCCAAGTCGAGAGAGATTTTTTAATCGATTAATAGCGATATTCATGTGAGTTTCAATGAAAATCAGTTGAACAGATGCAAACAGAAAGTCCGAGGTACTTGATATCAATCGTAGGCTATTGAAACAGGTTGGTAACTTGGACAAGAAGTATAATTCCTGAATCATTGTGGCTAATGTTAGAGACAGATCAATGCAGCAGAAAACTATGGAGCAAAAAGAGTTGATATGAAAGATTGTCTTCAAGTATTACATTGTTTTATGGGAAATGTCGATCAGCTCACCTGCCAGGCCAAGTTTAAGGTAAAAGCAATACAAATGTGGAGCTTTAAGGTATGTGTAATAAGTCCATTCAACGTGAGTGACACTTGATGCATCTTCAGTGGAAAGGTGAAGTCTACATGAGACTATTTTTATGTCTATCCAAATTATTATTAACCAGATTAAGCCAATAAAAGACAAAGCAGCTCTGAAAAGAGACGGAATTTCAATTAAGAACAAAGGTTTAACGCTTAATAACTTACATGAAATAACTATGATAGATGTTGTGATTTTTAAGTTGTAAATTTACACCAAAAGTGAACAAAATAAGCAGCAGCAAAATGCTAATCAATTTACAGGGTTGAGTTTGTTTAGATAGTTTAGCCTCAGCCTGATTAATCTCATCTTGAGACATGGGTAATAATTTGAATACAAATGATCACAAAAATATAACATTAATGCTGTTAGATGCTTTGAGTTGAACTTAAATAATCCTTCCAGCAAAGGATCATTTTAGTTCTGAGAGATATGCACAAAAATGTAACAAGATCTAAGATTTTGACGAATTGGATTCAGCTAGAAATCATTTCAGATGTACAATTTGATGAGTAATAAACGATTGTTTTTAATTGTCTAGTCTTTTTACATATTTTTGCTGCTTTAATTTTACAGACATCTTGAAGGGTTATATAATACATGTAAATTGATTGGGATAAATTATTGGCATCAGAAATGGCAGATTGAGTTATGAAAGATATAATTAAAGATTGTGAATAAATTTAGCTGTGAAAACTGAATCATATTCAACCAAATATTATCATTCACTGAACTATCTTTTTCGTGTCAATTTATTGGTCTTCATGCCGGCCAAATCAGGCTTATTGAGACTTGAAGCTCCACTGTTGAACCAGTTTGTCATCATTTCAGATAATTCGGGGACATCATATTTAGGAATTTGTCTATTTTGTATCTCCTGAAAATAAAATGTGAAAATATCTGATTACTCAGGGTCGACTTTGAAAATTTCAATACTTACACGCTGTGTTTCAACATCAGCTACATTCATCATTTTGGGTAAAACCATTATCAAAATCAAAGGTAGAACCATCATCAATACCATTGGATTGAATAGGAAGTCTGTGATTCTCCAAGTTTCTCTTGTTTGGAAATATTTGAATGGAGATTGAGGTCGATATCTTAATGGATAACTGATTTGCTGAACAGCTGAGCTTTGAATGTAATTTACTTTTCGAGCTCGTATTTTACCTTTTGAATTGATATCAACCCTTGTTGGCTTGTAGAAAAAATCTGGATTAGTGACTTCAACCAAATAAGATCCAGAAGGTACTTGTCCTATCTCAAAACTGCCATCCTTTCTGAAAAATAGAATTGACAAACACATTTACAATCATGAAGGAAATGTAATATTATAAATTACCTCATGAAAGCAAGGAATTGGCCATAGTTTACAATTATCCTGGTAGATGTGAACCAAGACGGGGTTATAGATACATTTGGAGGTGGAAAAATCTTTCCTTCAATAGTGTATAAACCAGTAGATTTTGTGTTTGTGGATTGTTCACTAACATGGATAGAGCCTTCTTGAGTACTGCAAATCTTTGCACTAATCAAAATTATTAAAGTAATAATTAAGTGCATTTCTGAACCAAAGGTTTCAACAAAATGAGATCAATGTCCAGGGATTTTCACAGAGTCACTTCAAATTATAATAAAATCAAAATGAGGTGATGCACAAATCAATTGGTACTACATTTGACACACAAATTAAATATTAAACTGTAAATTCATTTCAAATCGAATTGATAATTCGATAAACAATAATATTTTCAAATGCAAGACCAGTTAGCCATTTATTACAAGCTTGCGCCGTGTTCCAAGCCATTCGATGAAAATAATGGCCCAAGCTAACTGAATTCATAGAGCATCTAGATATCATACAAAACAAATTTAATAAAAAATAGCTGATTCTAACTATTTTAAATTCGATTTTTAAATCGGATACAATATTAAGATACAATGATTTATAAAAAAATAGATTGACAGCAGCAGATTTTTATTTGAATTTTCTCATCATGTTTTGTTGCAGTGAAACTCTGTAGCTTCCTTTCTTTCCTTCTATGAAAAATCAAGATACAGCTCTAATGATCGGCATTTTACTGTAAAATTATTTGTTTTATAATCAAATTTTTGATCCTAGAATTAGCTTTAAATTATCTGAAAGATAACTGAGCGAGAAACTTTTTAACATTTTTTAGCTTCAGGAAGCTGTTAAAGTGTGTTTTTTTATTAGCGTTTCGATTTCCTATAAACTTTATGGCAAAAGATTGTTAAATTTTTCTATTATAATTTTGATTAATATCTCAATTTATTTTAATATTGCAAAAGATTTTAATTTGGATATTTTCTCATGAATTTATTTATTTACACTGTAGTTGAACTGCAATAAAATATGAAATAAAAGCCCACAGAAGCTTTTAGTTCAGTACCCGATAGATGTCACCGGTGTGAGACTACTGAAAAGCTGATTAATCATTCTTGTTTTGTGTTATTAATTGAAATTGAATTTTGTCTTTATTCTCCTTCACTTTATTCTAATTGTTTTAATAATTATTTTTTTGGAGACTTTTGATTAGCTATTAACTTGGTAATCATGACCGGGGGAGCTGTTGCTGTTCATTCAAGAAAGATTCTACCTACTGACAAGTATCCCAGCGATGAGGTTCTCAAAAGCATTGGTAAGTATATTGTCATTTGTTTTAATTCTCATTATAATGACATTGATTATATTATTTTTGCTTTTTTCTTTTTTTATAATCTTCTTTGTCTTTTATCGTCGTCCTACCAAACCCGTTGAACATATGAACATAACCCGTACAAATGAATCGCCAGTTGACTCGATTGAACCTCCTAAAGATGAAGAATCTATTAGAGCTCGAGAGCAAGCCATCCTTGATCTTGGTCAGCATTTATGTAAATCTGGGAAAGCTCAAGGTAAATTGGATTACCTCACTTTGATTTATAAATATTGCTAACTTCAATATCCACCTTTTTCTTTCCTCTATAGAATTGGCCTCCTTGATTCAGAAAGTCAGGCCATTCCTTAATTGCATATCAAAGGCTAAGGCAGCTAAATTGGTTCGTCAATTAGTTGACCTGTTTTTGGACATGGAAGCTGGTACTGGACTCGAAGTTGATCTCTGCAAAGAAGTTATTACATGGGCTAAAGAGGATAAACGAACTTTCTTAAGGCAGTCTCTTGAAGGACGGTTAATTGCACTTTATTATGAAAACAAAAGATATGATGAAGCTCTTATTTTGGTTTCTTCATTGCTTAAAGAACTTAAAAAGTTGGATGACAAAAATCTCCTGGTTGAAGTTCAGCTTTTAGAAAGTAAAATCTATCATGCTTTAAGTAATCTGCAAAAGGCTCGGGCTGCTTTGACATCTGCTAGGACAACAGCTAACGCAATCTACTGTCCTCCTAAAATGCAAGCAGCTCTTGATTTGCAATCCGGTATCCTCCATGCTGCTGATGAAAGAGACTTCAAGACCGCCTTTTCATACTTCTATGAAGCTTTCGAGGGCTATGATTCCATAGATAATCCAAAAGCAGTGACTGCTTTGAAATACATGTTGCTATCCAAAATAATGCTCAAACAGTGAGTTTTTCAATTTTTCTTTACGTTATCAATAAGATTAATTTATTTTATATTTTCTATGTAGGCCTGAAGATGTTCAATCTCTTACAGTTGGAAAATTAGCCTTAAAGTACGCTGGTCCTAATATTGAAGCGATGAAAGCTATTGCTAAAGCAAGTGCAAACAGATCTCTTTCGGAATTTAAAGAAGCATTGAAGCAATATGGCTCTGAGCTACATGATGATCCGATTATACGAGCTCATTTTGATACTCTTTATGATAACATGTTGGAACAAAATTTATGCAGAATTATTGAACCTTATTCACGTGTTCAGGTTTGTCATTTTTATTCATATCGAATTTTCTATTGATAAATCTCCAAATTTTTCTTATTACGCTTATTACAACATTTAACTTTGTTTTTGTCTCGATTACACAGGTTGACCATATTGCTAAAATTATAAATCTGAGTAAGGATACAGTTGAAAAGAAGCTTTCCCAAATGGTTCTTGATAAAAGTTTTAATGGAATTCTCGATCAAGGAGAAGGAGTATTGATAATCTTCGAAGACGTTCAAACCGATAAGACATACGAAGCATGTTTAGAGACTATTCAAAATATGAGCAAAGTAGTGGATGCTTTATATCAAAAAGCCAAGAAACTGTCTTAATCTAATACAAAATAAGATTTATCAACCTAAGATTTTTCTTAACCCATTTTCCCTTTCCTCTCTAAGAATTTAATTTCCTATTCAACTAAAAAAGTTAACATTTTCGAAGCTTTCAAAACACATGAGTTTAAGGTTAGGTTACTTGAAAGATTGTTAATTGGAAACTAAAAAAGTAAAAAATATTTCAATTAAGATCTTCCTTTCATTTTACATAATCCTTTTTTAAACACCATCTTCGAACTTCAACTCTATTTTGGATTATGCATTTGGTTTTGAATCAACATACATCAAACATAGTACTTTAAAATGGCAAAATAAAGAGTATCAGAGATAATTTACAATCCAAAAATAAACTAAATTCAGCTATTTAATGAATTATTTGGTTATCTGGCTTGACTAATAAGCATTCAAATCAAAGAGTAAAGAAGATTACTTCTTTACTCTTTGATTCAAATTCTTGTAAGCTAACAAATAAAATAATTTGTTAAAGCAGCTTAAACTTTATTTTTTTCATCATCAAAAAAAGTCCATCCTAACAGTAAGCTGGTGCCATCTGGAATTAAAACACAAGATTTTCAGCCTTATATTTGGAATCAGATTCTTTTGTCGTCATTTTTATTTTATTCCTGATTTAAAACTTCTGAACCAGTCTCAGTCTACATCTTATTTCTTAACCATCTTTTAAGTAGCTTCAATTTTATTTGTTGACTTGTCAATAAAATCAACAACCCACCTTTTCTTGCCTACAATGTAATAATTTAAAACTAAATTTTATTACGTGATAACTTCGAAATAAATAAAAACAATCAAAATGCGTGAAATCGTACATGTTCAAGCCGGTCAATGTGGTAACCAAATTGGTGCTAAATTCTGGGAAGTTATCTCTGATGAACATGGAATCGACCCCTCTGGAAGCTATCATGGTGACTCTGAATGCCAATTAGAAAGAATTTCCGTTTACTACAGTGAAGCAGGAAATGCTAAATACGTACCTCGAGCTGTTTTGGTTGACTTGGAACCAGGGACAATGGACAGTGTTCGAAGTGGACCTTTTGGTCAACTCTTTAGACCAAATAACTTTGTTTTGGCCAATCTGGTGCTGGTAACAATTGGGCTAAGGGTCATTATACTGAAGGTAAGATGATGATGCAGGCTACATTCTTTTGTTGCTCTCATGCAATCACCAACTAGTCAGAATGGGTTTGCTTTTTTTTCTAGCTAAGTTTTCATTTCGTTTCTTTTATTGATAGCAATTTTTAATTTCTTTTGATTCTAGTTCATAATTATTTTGAATGCTGTCATCTTTATTCGATTTCATATTTTTGTTGCTGATTATGTTCAGTGTTGATTTGATTTATTCCAGATTTACCTAGATTTTTCAGATTTTGATATAGTTTAGCCAACTGCGTTATTGTTTATCCTGTATTTAATATAGCTTGGAAACAGTTTATGATACTCATCTTTTTTTCCTCAGTCTAGACGTAATTTGTCGTTATTACGTTATTAAACCCCTTATTGCGCAGCCTGCCAAACTTGAGTTCCTTTCAATAGTCTTTTTTTCTGGTTGTGCGCTTGAACTTACCCACCTCATGAAGTCTACATCGTGTTCATTTTAGACAATGAGCTGGGTGCGGTTTATCATGATCTTAAATTATACTAATTTGAATACATAACCTGTCTCATCTTTAGGTGCTGAATTGGTTGATGCAGTACTTGATGTCGTTCGTAAAGAAGCTGAATCCTGTGATTGCCTACAAGGATTCCAGTTGACTCACTCTTTGGGTGGAGGAACTGGTTCTGGTATGGGTACTTTGTTGATCTCTAAAATTCGGGAAGAATATCCTGACCGTATCATGAACACTTTCTCAGTTGTTCCCTCACCAAAAGTGAGTGACACTGTTGTAGAGCCTTACAATGCAACGCTGTCATTCCATCAACTGGTTGAAAATACTGATGAGACTTTCTGTATTGACAACGAAGCACTTTATGATATTTGCTTCCGCACTCTTAAACTGACTACACCAACTTATGGAGACTTGAATCATCTTGTCTCAACCACCATGTCTGGTGTTACCACTTGCTTACGATTCCCTGGACAATTAAATGCTGATTTACGTAAATTAGCCGTAAACATGGTTCCATTTCCTAGACTTCACTTCTTTATGCCTGGCTTTGCTCCTCTCACAAGCCGAGGATCACAATCATACCGAGCTACATCTGTTGCTGAGCTAACCCAACAAATGTTTGATGCTAAAAATATGATGGCTGCTTGTGACCCAAGACATGGTCGTTACCTAACTGTTGCTGCTGTTTTCCGTGACCGAATTTCAATGAAAGAAGTGGATGAACAAATGTTCAACGTTCAAAACAAGAATTCCTCTTATTTCGTTGAATGGATTCCAAACAATGTCAAGACCGCAGTCTGTGACATTCCTCCAAGAGGTCTTAAAATGTCTGCAACATTTGTCGGCAACTCAACCGCTATTCAAGAGCTTTTCAAGAGAATCTCTGAACAGTTCACTGCTATGTTCAGAAGAAAGGCTTTCTTGCATTGGTACACTGGTGAGGGTATGGATGAATTGGAATTCACCGAGGCTGAGTCAAATATGAACGATTTGATCTCTGAATATCAGCAATACCAAGAAGCTACAGCTGAAGATGAAGGAGAATTTGAAGAAGAAGAAGAAGTTGAATGATCAAATCCATCGGCTCTAATATTATCAAAAAATATTGCGATTTCGCTTATTCTATTAACACCAAATAGTTTGACTGATTGCTAAAAAGAGTAGGAAGAAGAAAAATATTTATCAATACTCATTCATTTTCAGAATCCAACTATTACACTTTTCAGTTTTCAGGGCAATTAGCAATAAATTCATGGATCAATAACGTTGTCAAACAACGTTCCAGGATGAATATAAATTAAGGCACCGAGACTGTATTTTTTAAAATATTTGTTTTATTTACGGAATTATAAATTAAAATTTTAGATATCTTTCTTGTTTACAATTTGATTCTGAATTTATTTGAATAATTTATCGCAACTAATTTGATCGTCTTGGTTAAAAGGACGGATTCATAATTTTATATTCTTCCTCTAACTCAATTATTCCTTGATATGTTGAAGGATATGATTTAAATTTAATTTCCTTTGTTTTTATTTCGTTTGTGAAATAATCTAAACCAATGGATTTTTTTCTTCTGCTTTCATTGAGTTCGGTACCTCAGCTCGATCAATTATTAGACAAATCATGAAGGATATCGACAATTTCGTCTATTGTGGTGTGTTTTGGTCACTTTCGTCTTCACTCAACACAGTTTAAAGTCTTATTTTGAAAATTCATTCACCTCAAGACACTGAAATTACTCATTTTGAAAGTTTCGTGAAGCTTCTGTTTGCCTGTTACAAGTAACTTTAAATTTTGTTAACAAAATTTGCTGATAAACAGCCAAACTCTTAAAATATCAAAACTTGTCATCAGAATCTATCTTGTTTCCCAATTTAACCTGAAAACTTAGCTTTTAACCGTTTTGTTCACTTTTCTCAATTCCTTCAATTTTGCACATTTTCAGCTACACTTTGTCCAAAACAGGTGAACCATCTAAAAGGTATTATTACAATTCAATATCTAGTTTGATTAAAGTTCAAGTACTCGCTTTTTTAACCATGAAAAATGAATAGCACAATAGATTTAGTCGAATCAGTGATTATCAAACAAGATCAGCATCTGGTTTAGCAATTGTAACCTAAAATGGTTTCATGTGAAGTTTAATTTATCATTTTACAAATAGTGATAACAAAGTTAATTTTCAGTTTATCAAAGCTCAAGCTCAGATACTAATAATATTAAATTAATTAGATCAGATCACTTCAATTATCAAAACTGATTATCTTTTACCAGTATAAATTCAATTTTAATGCTAAAAGTTCATCTTCAAACATTTGTATCGTTTAGCTCAAGCCTGTCGTTAATGAAAGGATTGAAGGCAATTATATTGTTAAGTTGTTTCTTTCTTGTTCAGGATTTCCGTTATGCTTCAACAATTAATTTAATTCATGCATACATTTCAGTTTTATTTAAAAAATTAACAATACACAATTTTATCTTAAGTAAGATATTTATCTGTTGACTGATTCAGTTACCACCTTCATGGCATTAACATTTAGGTATTTTCAACAATTTAACGATTCTTTATCCTATTTTTATTCTATTTGATTATTTAATAATAAAGTTGATTTGATTTACAATCAATGTAAAACACATTGATGTTATCTTTGACTATCGACTTCGTGTCATAACTCATGAAGAAATGACACAGAATATTTATAGCAAATCATCTGACTCAAAAAATCGACGTTTTTCTTACTTCCTAGGTCATAAAAACAAAGCTTTGAATAGTTGACTAAATGGAATCGAAAAAATTTTCAAATTTGAGTGAAGTACGAAAAAGTTATTAGCGATTTAGAACCGGCTATTTGACTTCAACGCCTGTAAAAGTTGAAGTGCTTCAATCAATTTAACCTCATGTCATCAGCGAGCGACTCAACAAACTTTCAAATCTAAACAAATCATCTGATCTAAGCAATTGATCAAATTATCTTAACCCATTTCTAGATAATTAATTAAGTTTCTTAATGAATATAAACTTCAATCGGATCAAGTAATTCAAGAAAAATAAAGGAGTCAACTGTTTTTGTTAGTTAGGCAAAGTTGTCTTTAAATCTTTGGCAGATTTGCTGCTTCTAAGGATAACTTTTCGTGCGAAATATTAGTAGCTTGTCAAATAATTAGATGATGATGAGGATGATGAACGCTGATTCACAGCTGCAATTATTACCTGATATATGAAAGAGAGGGAGTCAAGAAGAGAAAATTATACCATTTAATCGTTGAATCATCTCTTTCTTTTCCGCCCTTTTCTCTTTCTATCCTATCATCTCACTATTACTCTTTCTGTGTATGCGTTTCACTTACCATTTACTCCTATTTCACCTCCGTTAATCCAAATTGAGTTGTGTTTTTTATTTTGTGACAAACAAAATTTAGGCCGATTAGTGTCTAAAAATACCAACTCTTACCAACGAAAAAAACTGGGCCTTAACCATCACCTAGCAACATCATCATCACCTTGCTTTTTGTTTCTCATCTTCTCAGCAGCATCAGCTTCTTCAAGTCTTGTTATTAACCATTTGTCAGTCTGTTTGCTTTTGTTGTCTATTGGTGATTTTTAAAGTTTAAATTTACAGTTTGCTTTCTCGTTCTCTCTCTTTTTCTTATATTAACTGGTTAATTCAATTGTGATTCTTAATTATTTTTAAAGCTCAACTATAAATCTGTCTTTGGAATCATCATGATTCATAATCGTAAGTTGAAGTTAGTTGTTGATCACTTGTTATGTAATGCTTTCCCATAATTTTGTTTTGCATTTATTGTGCCTACAATGTTTTTTTCTCATGCATAACCGGCTTTCATAATTTACAAACCTAACCCAATTTAACTCTATATATCAGTCACATATTTTAATATAGTATCTGTTATTTCATCTATCTTCATTGAATTTTTTTGATGTCTTATCACAGAAAGTATATTTGCCAGTCTTCCACGAACATCTAGAGGGTTGCCACTAGTTTTAGGAGGTGATCCAAAGGGTAAACATTTCCTTTACCCAAATGGTAATTTCATCATTATCCGTGATATTGAACATCCAGAGATAGCTGAAATTTACACTGAGCATTCAGCTCAAACAACAGTAGCTAAGTATTCTCCATCCGGTTTTTACATTGCATCCGCTGATCAAAGTGGTAAAGTACGAATATGGGATACAACTCAAAAGGAGCATATTCTGAAGGCTGAATACCAACCATTTGCTGGAATAGTCAAGGATTTAGCTTGGTCTCCTGATAGTCAGAGGATTGTAGCTGTTGGAGAGGGTCGTGAAAAATTTGGTCATGTTTTCATGATGGAGACTGGAACTTCAGTGGGTGAAATATCAGGTCATTCAAAAGTTATCAACAGCTGTGATTTTAAACCATCTCGTCCTTTCCGAATCGTAACTGGAGGTGAAGATAATTTAATTGGAATTTTTGAAGGACCTCCATTCAAATTTAAGCAGCAATTGGAAAATCATACAAAATATGTCCAATCAGTTCGATATTCACCTGATGGTGAAACGTTTGCCTCTGGTGGATTCGATGGACGAATCTATCTCTTCAAGAGCAAAGACTATACATTAATCGGTGAATTGGGATCACCAGCTCATTCAGGGGGCTGCTATGGTGTCGCTTGGTCTCCTGATGGATCTAAATTACTCTCAGTTTCTGGTGATCGCACGGCCAAAATGTGGGATATAGGAAATATGACTTGTATACATACTTATAATATGGGTGATGATTTACTTGATCAACAAGTTAGTTGTCTCTGGCAAGGCAAAAACATTTTAACTGTTTCACTGTCTGGTTTTATAAATTACTTGGATGAGTCTGATCCTTCTAAACCAATAAGAGTTATCAAGGGTCACAATAAATCAATTACAAGTCTCGCTGTTAATTATAAATCAGAACCACCAAGCATCTATACAGGAAGTCACGATGGATTCATAAATCATTGGAACTCTGTTAACGGTGAAAATGATCGGGTTAAGGGTAAAGGTCATGCTAATCAAATACAAGATATGAAATATCGTGAATCAACTGGTGAAATTATTACAATCGGTCTTGATGACACTGTTCGAGCCATCGACGTTAATGATCAAAGTTTCAAAGAAGATGTGCACATCAAACTGCCTTGTCAGCCAAAATCAATATCATTTTTAGCCAAAAACCAGGATAAAGCTGTGATTGCTGCTTATTCAAGCATTACAGTAGTTAACTTGAAACAAAACAAGGTTGAACAAAATTTCCCTGTTTCATTCGAACCTACCTCAGTTTCAGTCCATCCTAGTGAAAACCATCTAGCTGTTGGTGGCCAGAAAGACCATAAAGTCCATGTTTACACTTATACAGAAGGATGTGATTCAATCACACCTAAAATTGAATTAGATCACCGTGATTGTATCGCCGATGTAGTTTACTCGCCTGATGGACAATATCTGGCTGTTGCTGATGCTAATAGAAAAGTTGTACTTTACAAGACTCCAAACTACGAACTTGCTCACAATGTTGAATGGGGTTTCCATACAGCAAGAGTTAATTGTTTGGCCTGGTCACCTGATTCTATCCATTTAGCTTCTGGATCACTTGACACTGGTTTGATTGTTTGGGATGTTTCCAAGCCTCACAATCACATCGCTCTCAAAAGTATGTTTTCAAATTATCTAATTGATCTATCATGTTTATCTGATTTTATAACTCTTTTTGTTTTTTTAATAATTGCAGAGGCTCATCCACAAAGTCAAATCACCCGGATAATATGGTTAGACGCAAACAGAATTATTACCACTGGTCAAGACTCAAATGTTAAAATATGGACAGTTGAATTCAAATAAATGTCCCTAAACCTCTCTTTTTCCAGTCACCTATTCAATTTTGTTTTTCGCCTTTCTTTGCCCACTTCATTCTCCTACCCCACAAAATCTTTGTTTTGATTGACAAAAACAATATATTCTCCTCCTTGAACCATTGTAATACAAAAATTAGGTTCAATCAAATATAATTTTAATTTTTAAATAAACAAAGTCTCAATATTATTCCATCTAATTAGTTCAAATGAGCTACAATTTTGGTGCTTAAAAACGGACTGTATCATGTTTCATGGCATGTTCCCAACTGTCAAACGATAATCAGAGGGTGGAAAATATATGAAAAGGATGAGCTTCGATTAGGGAAAATAGTCCAATACAATTGTTGATTGTTTTTGTATTAAATAGATGTGAACTTGAAAATATTACGGGCTAATTACAATTGACAAAATTTCTCAGTTGACTAATCAACCATACTCATTCAGTTGAGCATTTACTATTGTTAAGGTAACCTTAACTTTACTTAAACCTTAGTTTCTAATGAAAACAATATCATAACATCCTTAATCTTCATGAAGTTGCCATGAAAAAATATATATCAAATTAAATTATTGACATGAATTGGCAAGCTGAGCGTAATTTTTGAAAATAATAAAGTTTATTAATAGTAGGCTTTATTAAAACTCCGAAAGATGTTATTCAATGATTTTTTTACGATTGTTGTTAGAAAAATTTAAAGAAAACAAACGTTACAGGAAAATGTTTTATTGGTAAATTAGATTATATTTTTTACAGAAGTCGAGGTAAAATTGAAATGCACATGATTGTTAATTTTAGTATTATGCTAAAATAAATTGATCAATAGTTTAGTGATATAATAAATTTGTTTGAGATTTCCTTGGCAATTATGATGGAGAAAGAAGTACAGACAAATATGTATAAAAATAATTGTAGCAAAGTATTGATATGATCTTATTGAATTCATTTACAATTAGTCTTGTTCTCGATTACCATCAGAATGGTTAACTGTGAGTTTACTGTGAATATCCTGTGCCAACAATTTGTATTCCACAAATCATTGAGATATGGTAATCCATGCAAGCCTGATATAATTGGATCTGGGCAATTCCAGAAGGAAATTGTTCTTCAGCCTCCTTTCGACACTCTGAATGTTGGTTAACGATTTGTGGCTGTAAATAATAGGATAGGGAAAAGAGAAAATAGATTAACATAAATTACAGAATACAAATTTACGCATCAGTTGCGATTGTTGAATTACAAAAACACAAAAATGAACAATCGTAAAATAGTGACAAAAAATTCTAAGCCTAAAGAAAAGGCTAAAATGTTAATATATTTCTTCCGCTATTAGCTTTATTAACTTACCTCAATTTCCGGTTGAAGTTTCTTATTTTTGATTTCACTTTCAGCTTTATCATAACGATAACTTCCATCCTCAGCGAACCAATTTTCAGCGTTAAGAGCACATTTAGCTACTTCAGTTCGGTGTTTTTCAACACTTTCTTGGGTAATATTTTCTGGAAGAGTTATCGATTTAAGACAAGTCCTTATAATATCAGCCTTTTGTTTCTTCTCAGCTTCTTTAGGCTCTAGCTGTGGGCATTTTCCCCAGTTGATGGTGGGTGGACGATGTGGACCTGCGACTGGAGTAGGAGCGTCTTCATCACTTTCCGATGAACCCTCTTGATCACTTGATTTATCGTTAACACTAGTAGAAGCTTCTTTAGTATCTTGAGTATCAGGATTACTGTCAGATGAGCCAAGAGGTTGGGAATACACAGTGGAAACAATAAAACCAAATATCAAACACAAAATCGTTATTGACTGTAAATTTTTCATATTGAACTTTATGGTTATTTTGAAAGTCTCCAAGTCAAATTAAATCTGTAATGATAAGCACAGAGTCACAAGTAAATATATACAAAAATAAAACAATGTAAAAACAACAATTTTAATGACTCGAAAATTGTTTGAGGTAAACTTTTCTAAATGCAAACAAGTTATCAATGAAGTCTGAAATGAAATGAGCATAGAGGCAAAAATACTTTGGGAATATATTAAAAAGGGAAAGTAAGAGTGGTTAAAGGAGTTGAACAGGAGAGCCAGTGTAGTTGATTATAATGAATTAAGTTAATAGAAATACTCCCTGAACAGAAAGAAAAGGAAATGAAATTGATTTACTTTTAAATTGTTGAAAGCAAAAGAGACTTTTTTGTTTGGAAAAGAGTTGAATAGGTTTAATGGTCTAGACCAACAAAACCGGTAACCATGTCAAGGAAAGTATCGAGCTATAGCATAAACTTTTGCTCTGAGCAACATTGATTTAATTGATTCTGGCCAATCAGTAAATCAACAAGTAAACATGTTGAAAATTGAAAGAATCAACAATTAAATTGGACTCTATTTTATCAATGTTGAATACAGAGTTTCTTTTGAATGTCGCATTGTTGCTTTTGTGTCACATTGTGTAAATTTGCAGCATCGCTTTGGGTTTACCTGATAATGGATTGTTTATGTTTCATTGGCAAAAGTAACATTTAAAAAAAACTGAAACTCCCTTGACATGATTAACGGTTGGTTAATCTAATAGGTTAGTTAAGAAGGAATAATGAAGGTATTTTTCTTCACCAAGTTGACCGTTAAACAATGAATCAAATTTTCCGATAATTGACTTTGCACCGAGAATAATGTAACATTGCTGTTTAGAGTGAGATAATATATTTCCTCATGTGAAACTTGTGAAATCGATTTCATTAGTTGATTCAAATCACGCTGATTGTCAAATGTCAAACGCTTTTTGTTTTCGTTACAATTGATTTGAAGTCTTTTGATTCCAAATGTGCGGCCCTATCATCATTTGGTTTTCTCAATCAAGGAAAGATATTGTTAGTTCGATAGCTGTTTGGATATGTGTTGCCGCATTTTGATTGAACTTTCATTTCACTCAGAAATTCCATGATTGAATTGCAAATCATTAATTGTTTGCGCGATAATGAGTCATTCAACACGAGGACAGAAGGTTAAATGATGTTGTTATACTTTTGATCATGAAAACAGTTCACGACTGAATAAATTGTCTTAGCATTAAACAATTAGACTTTGATTTGAATTTTCATCAAAATTGTATGAAAATTGTATAATCACAAGTTATTTACATTGTCAATTGGTCAATCATATTAAAATTAACTGAATTTATATCCCTCATCAATAGGCGAAATATTTATTAACAATCATCAAATATCATTTGATTAATTTTGTTAGCTCCTTGTAGGCTTTTCATAATAAACAGATATGACAGTAGTGGGCACTTTTCAAGTGAAACACAGAGTCAATTGATTTCAAAGGAAATTTGCCAATATCTCAAAGATGTTAATTAACTTGATCTTGGTCAGTTAAAAGGGTGCGAAAGAAACAGGAAAAAGGGCGAAGAAATAGAGACAGAGAAAGAATATAGAAATAAATCAAAGTTTGTAGATAACTGATATAGATGCACTTGGACTTTCTTCATCTTTTATAAACTAACTAGTGAACAAATCACTAGATTAATAGGATATAAACATCACATTAAGACGCATCAACTTTTAAATCAGCAAGCTCTTCATCCAAGTCATCGAGATCTTCATCGTCATCAAATAAATTTTCATCAATAGGAATGTCGTCAATCTTGACTTCAGAAACTGACGAGGTAGTTGCTGTTGCTTCAGCAGATGGGGCAGCATCGCCTGTATCATCGTCGTCCCGAGTATCGAATTGTCGTTTTCCTAATATTTGTGTACCACTACCATCAACATCCCTAAGATCATTTTGCAAAGCATTGAAATCAATCTCTTTAATTTGTTGATTGCTACTTTCATTATCATCCTCATCTTCTCTCCTGAGATTATCAAAGGTAGCTTCATCATCATCCAACGCTCCATCATTGACAAGATCAGGGTTAAAAGTGAACATCTCCCGACCACTGAGACCAATATTACGACCAGCTTTATATTCTGCTTTTTTCCTTTCCGTTTCTTTTCGGCTTTTCTCTCTTTTATCGTTGATTTTTCTCTTTTTCCATTCCATAAAGGTTTGTAAGGTAATCTTTGGAAGATTGTAGTCTAGTTTGGCTCTTTCTTTTTCCACTAAATCTTCGATTGAAATCTCATCTTTTTTGTCAGCTTTTTTAAGGTCTCTTTTCAACACGAATCCAGGCGGAAGAGCATGTCGATAATGACATTTATCAGCTCCATTAGGACATTCCCAGAACCATCCATATTTACTAGCTTCAAGTGCTTCTAAGAAAAATTTACAAATGATTTCGGTCTTGGGCTTAGTTCTTTCCTTTTCTCCGTGTTTCTTTTCCACCACGTCTTTCAACTTATCTTCGTCCCAGTCTTCCATTTTGTCTTCTTCCCGAGTATCTTCGTAAATGTTACGTTTTTCTCCCTTCTTTTCGACTGCCAGATTATGACTGAATTTACATTTATCACCTTTACTACACTGGCCTTGCTTGAAAAAGACACAAATTACTGACTTAGGGTCAACTCCTTTTTCCACTTTTTGAGTAACGACAGGCTTAAAAATTTTATTGAATTCTTCCAATTCTTTTTTCTTCTCTTCCTTTTTAGACGTTTTAGGTTGGTCTTTGCCTTGATTTGCATTGTAACATTTGGCAACCTGCTGAATATACTTTTGAGTTTTAGCACCTTTCTTATTTTTCAGGCCAAATGTTTTATCTTCAACAATTTTTTCCTTCTTCTTTTGTTCAGTTTTCTTGCTTGCCGCTGGTGGTTGCTTTTTGGGAGGCATTGTCACTTATTAAATTGAACAATGAGCACTTAAAAATAAATGATTAACAACTAAATATAAGAGGATTTAATTAATTAAACAACATCAGAACATGAAAAAACAATAGGATTCACCTAATAAACCAAAGCCACGGCAAAAAAACACATGCTTAATTCTGCCCTCTATTGTAAAAACAAAAGACTAGTAATGATAAATCGAAACAATCGATGTTGACAATATTTATTGAATATTTTAAATCAATTAAATTAAATGTTGTTACAAGAAGCTAAAAATTATCTTAAGATAAAATTGCCAATGTTAAATGGGTTAGTGTGCTTATTATAATAGCTCAAATCTGAAAATTAATGTTACATAATTTTTAATCTAACAATCGTAAGACTTTACAATAATATTTCAAATACAAAACATTTTGTAAAACAAGTTCAAGTTTAGTCGATTTAAGACCGAATACGATTTTCCATGACTTAAGTTAATTGCTTTTTGGGTATTTTGACAAATAAATTCAATCCTAAACTCTTTTGAAAGATTTAAGTCTCTAAACAAGACGAAAGAAACAATTAACTGATTAGGTTAGCCAAAAAGCCCCGAAGCTAACCCTTATCAATTGCATTCATATTCAAGTTTGATCTACAATTTTTAGTACGGATAATTGTAAATTGTTTGAATCGTATTGTTGTAAATAGATTAACTTTAATTTTAAGATCTTTATTTTTGAGTTTTCACCAAAGACTTGAATTAAGTTAAACTGTTTAGGTTTCTGACGAATTTTCAACTCACGCGCAGCCTATGATGGATTATAAGCTGTTTATAAATTTGTTTTCAATTCTTCTGGCTATTTAAATGAAAATTTTTACAATAGGAAGCTATTTATTAAGTTATATGTTATTGTTAGACATATTTGGTAAATTTATTTGAAAAAGTGTTCATCATGGCTACAGATGATGATTTCTTGTTTCCTTACTGTGACGATGTCAGCAAGTATGAAAGATTGGCCAAGATTGGTCAAGGTACATTCGGTGAAGTGTTTAAAGCAAGGCATCGACAAACCAAAAAATTGGTGGCGTTGAAAAAGATTCTGATGGACAATGAGAAGGAAGGATTCCCAATCACTGCTCTGAGAGAAATCAAAATCTTACAACTTCTCAAGCATGAGAATGTTATCAACTTGATAGAAATATGCAAGTAAGTATTTTTCATTAACTATCAAAACCTCCAGTATTTTATCCTCTACTCATAGTCTAACACTGACAAATTTTGTCATCTTAACTCGCAATGTTTTTGGAATTTATAATTATTTTATAGTAAATCCAGTACCTATTTACTTTCTATTTACATTTATGTCAATGAAAGTAATTCCTGATTAGGGGTCGATGAGAAAATTTTGTTTGTTTAAGCCTGATGGAAAACAAAAAAGTGAAAGAAATTATATGTTTCTCATTACAATCGTATTAGAATGAACACTAACCATTCATTTTCTCATGACACACAATTTCAATGCTTATTATTTATCTAATCAATCAATATCTCATTTATTTTGCAGGACTAAAACCAAAACTGAAGGATCTAAAGGAGCCCCAGCTACATTTTACCTTGTTTTCGATTTTTGCGAACATGATTTAGCCGGTCTACTCAGCAATATCAACGTCAAATTCAGTTTAGCTGAAATCAAAAAAGCGCTAAAACAGCTCTTTGAAGGACTTTTTTATATTCACAGCAACAAGATATTGCATCGAGATATGAAAGCGTCAAACATTCTAATTACCAAGGATGGGAAATTGAAATTAGCTGATTTTGGACTTGCCCGTGCTTTCAGCTCAAGCAGTAAAAGCAACAAATATACAAATCGTGTTGTTACTCTTTGGTATCGTCCTCCAGAGTTGCTACTAGGTGAACGTAATTATGGTCCATCAGTCGATCTATGGGGTGCTGGCTGTATCATGGCCGAAATGTGGACACGTAGTCCAATTTTACAAGGTTCAACTGATCAAACTCAATTGAGCCTTATAAGTCAATTATGTGGATCAATTTGTCCGGAAGTCTGGCCTGGTGTCGAAAAACTAGAACTGTTTAACAAATTGGAGCTGCTCAAAGGACAAAAAAGAAGAGTTAAAGAACGATTGTCGGGCTATGTGAGAGATTCATATGCATTGGATCTGCTTGATCGATTGTTATGTTTGGATCCAAATAAGCGGATTGATACAGATTCCGCTTTGAACCACGACTTTTTCTGGTCCGAACCTATGCCTGGTGATTTGGGTAAAATGTTATCACAACATTCCACATCAATGTTTGAATATCTCGCACCACCAAGACGCCCAAGACAACCGAATCACCCAGCACCTGGTAACCATCCCAAACCTCATACTAATCAAGACGGGCAATATCACGATAGAGTATTTTAAATAAATTTTATAAGAAGATTTGTTTTCCATTCTGATCTAAAATCACTAGATCTAGCTGTAAATAAATTTCAAGTAATTTTGTATTTTCTCATATATGAACTAGATCTAACATTCGACATTGCAAGTTTTCAGTCGATTCAAATTATATCCATGAAGATTTTTCATATTTCAATAAATAAAATTAATTTCAGACTACATTTGTTTATATATTTATTTATTAAACAGAAACTTATTTCTCAAAAAGTCCATTTTCTGATTGACGACCAAAATTTACATCAGCAAAATGAGTTTCATGAAAAAATCTTCAATAATTGTACAAACAGCGATCCAAGTTCAACTTTTTCTCGAGAACTTTCGAGTTAAAACATTTTAATAGCACTAGTGGACTCAGTTTTATGCCCACAGAGTCACTACTCTTAGCTTGAAAGTCAAAGTTTTTATCCCTAGTCCTTAAATGAAAATCGGTGATTAATTGATGATAAATATTTGCTTTCATTTCTTGCAATCAATATCAGAAATTTATAAATTTTAATTATCCCGCACTACGTTGTCTGGACAACGTATAATGTCTCTGGGCATGAGATTTAACTTGAGACAGTTAATGTAAGTTTCAAGTTACTCTTTCTGTATTTATGCTTATTATTAATAGTTTTCCTGAATCTAAGTTTATTCATAAATTAATCCTAGTTATCTTGATGAAGTTCACTTTCAATCTGTTCTCACATTAACTGTGAAATGAACTCAATCAATTTCAGCTGGTGTAATTTTGGTTTATTGCCGTTTCATTAAATATTGAAATATTTTTTTGTGGCTAAAATATACTTGATCTGATTGACTCAGATCACTTGATAATTGTATGAGATAATTTAAAATTACTCAGAAAATTCATATTTATAAAAGCTTTTTGTCCGCAAGCTGAAATAGTATTGATATAATGGATTTATCCTAAAGTGATGCATCTATTGTTTGTGTTTCCTTGTTCTTTGATGCAAAACTCAGATAATTAAATTTTATACACAATTCAATAAAATCATTGTCACTCTTGTGAAAAAATCACTCCTCTTCAACATCATCCAGTGAAATTAGTAATCAATCATTTTGTGTTTGTGATTTTCTGTGACCAAACTATCATTTATTGGTAGATATCTGTCCTTAATGTTGACTATTAAGTTGAGAAATAAAACCTTAACTAACTATTGGAAGTGATTAGTAACCCCTTATCAACATTGTGATCAACAGTTTACAGGCTCATTATTCCCCTGCCATCATAGAAACATAAAGTCATGTATAGTAACTACGGAGCAACAAGTGAATCAATTGAATCAGCTCGACTTGCCGATGCTGAATTAGGATCTTACTCTGCCTTTACTGATAAAGCAGTTCGCCTTGGATTCATTCGTAAAGTACTCGGCATCGTAACAATCCAATTAATTATCACAATTTTGATCGGAACCGTATTCTTTCTATCAGATGATGTTCGTGAATTTACATATTATAATTCATGGATGATCTGGCTAGCCTTAATCGTCTCTTTTGCGTCACTTATCAGCTTAACCTGTTGCAACATTTCTCGTTCTTTTCCTGGAAATTTAATCTGTTTAACATTATTCACCTTAGCTCAAGCAATTACAATTGGCTTTTACAGTTCATTTGCACATGGTGATATACTCTTTGCTGCAGTTTTGCTTACAACCGTCCTGGTTGTGGCTCTGATAGCTTTTGCTTGCCAAACCCGGATAGATTTCACTGTTGCTACCGGCATCGTTTACTTGTGTACAATAGCCCTTCTACTCTTTGGCCTGGCATGTATCATTTTCCCGAACAAAATAACGCTTCTAATTTATGCCTCATTGGGAGCACTTCTCTTCTCATTCTGGCTTGTTATTGATATTCAAATGATTCTTGGGCGTAACAGCGTTTATCAATTCTCACCAGAAGATTACATTCTCGCCTCCATCATAATTTACCAGGATATAATCAATATTTTCATCAATATTCTCGACATCCTTACACATTCACTCTGAAATTAAGGTTTACACTTCAACCTTAACGTGATAAAAATCAAAATTGTGTTTTCTCCTCCAATTCTGTCTACACCAATTGATTGCCAAGAAGAAAAAAGTTTGCTGTAATCCAACAATCTCCTCATATCAATTCTGTGAATAATCTAAATATAACTTAAAAATTTATTAATATATGAAAGAGGTTTACCTAAATATCTTCTCAATTGCTGAACATTGCTTGGAAAAGATGGAATTTTCAAGTCCTGGCAATCAAATGAATTCAATTCACAATCATCAAAATGGTTGAAAGTCACTTTGACGTTCATGAGCTTATCTTATATTTCATGTAATATACTACAACGGTTTTGGAGTTTCAAAGCAGTTTCGAGCTATCAAAGATCGTAATTAAAATTTGATAAACACGGAGAAGCAGAATAATGCTATTTATATGCCAATTTTTCAGTTAAATTTTCTATTTTCTGTTATAAAATGATTTTTTTGTAAATTTTGAGTCTGATTATCTGATAATCTAAAATATAAAGTATCTAAAATTGAATTCATTAATAGTTTTTGATTTTAATCAATTCTTTCTTTATAAAAACGTCACTCTTCACCATTCAGTGCATTAGTCCTTACTATTGTTGAAAAGATTCTAATCGATGATATAACACCTTTAAAAAATCGAAAAAAATCAAATCGAAATTCAGTAATAACTATACATCATTTAATTTAGCAGAATAGATTCAATTAAAACTCAGCAACATCATTAGCTATCATTTACAGTTGACAATTTTTGTTTCATCAGAAATGGAAAGCTAATCACTTCATAAATGAAACATTTAGACATTATTTTTTATCCTAAAGCAAAATTATATCGATAAAAATTGTTCAATCAACGAAGAAACTACAAAAAATGTTCAATTACATAACAGCATTCAACTTATGTTGATTTTACTTCATTCATAAAGTTAAATGGTTACTAAAACATTTCAGATGTAGTAAAATAGCAGTAAATGGCTAAACTTTCAGGCTGAAAGTTCATTTGCCAAATTTAAAAGGACCAAATAAGCTGAATTATCGATAGACCGATTGTCTAGTTCAAAAATTTATTAATTTCAAAAGTAAATTTTGAGTACATTTTAGTTTATCATGGGTTGATTATTTTTTGAAAACGAGCCTTTTCTGCGGCAAAAAGATGAGTTTTAAATGTTTGGATTTGTAGGCATCAATTATAACCAATTTTGTTTGACTTTGGCCTTTTATTTGGGAATTTGGGCCAATTCGGGTCAGAATTGTCGATTGGTTTTAAAGGTACCAAGTTAAATATTGATTCTTCAACTGAAGATTCTGGATTCGTGCTGATTGTGATTAATAGATCAGTTGATCGAGTTGTAGTTGTAGTTCCAATTTCTTGCGATGAAGTTGTCAGTTTGGTGGTTGGTGGTTCATAAGGCTTCAACGTTGATCCCACCTTTGATTGAATGATTAAACAAAATATATTAATAGTTATCTTTAAATCTTTCGGAAAACAAAACAATTACCTGAATTGGATTAGAGACAATATTGTCAAAATAATCTTCTTCCCAGGGCAAAGGTGAATATGTAGTGCTTATCCCAGCAGTCACTGTGGACGAACTAACAGTTGAGGTTGAGGTTGAACTAGTTGGTCCGCTGGTTGTTGATGGTGATGTACTTGAAGTCGTGATTGATACATAAAGTGGTGTCTTAAATGTTGATGGTGCGGTAATAAAAGTAAAGTTTGGTGAGCTTGAGCTGACTGATGTCTCAAACAACTGCCATGAATCCTCTTCCCATGGAAGTAAACTCACTGTTGTATTTGATTCTGTTACTGGGTTAATGGAAGATGATTTTGTTGATGAACTTAGAGTTGATGATTGATCAGGTAAAGATGATGATGACGATGATAATGTAGAGGATGTTGAACTAGAGACCGAGGTAACATTATTTGTAATGTTTTGCGGTTTCTCTGTCAGATAGACGATCTCTGGATCGTCTTCCCAAGGAAGTAAGACGTCAACAGTTGGAGCTCTCATAGCTGGCCTGATTCCTGTACCATCGTAGTCATCAGGACTATTAAGTGGTTCCTTAAATGGGTCAAATCTGGATCCAATGTGATAATCAACTTTGTAAGGAACAGTAGGATTATTGTTTTCACTCAACTTTTCAAATTGATTAAAAAAAGCTGATGGCAGCATCAAAGGATGACTAGTAACAATCAAAATGAAGACATTAAGCCATAATGGCAACAAAACAAGATTCAATTTTAAGTTACTCATTTTTCACCTGATGTTGATTAATTGAAACCACAGAGCTTTCTGGATACATTAATTACATAGGTATTCGTTAAATCACGAAAACTGCATGAATAGCGCAATCCTTGAAGCACTTGTTTGTTGATGTATTTTTTCAATGATGAAATTCATCTTGTTGAAAACAATGATGATTCAAACTGTCAAAGTGTCAGAAAAATTGAAATAGTTAATTCAAATAAATCAAGTGTAAAATTTAAATCAGTTTTATCATTTCGTCAATGATTGTCGCCAATGATTGACTGATGGAAGGAAATTAGATTTACGACAGCTTCGTCTAAATGACTTTATTTCATTCAAACCTTGTCTTAACTGATCAATCATTATTAATATCAAACAAAACAAACCCTCTCTTGACACTAAAACAATAACTATGGCTGGACAATTCATCTACTTCTAGCTAGTATTTCATCAATAGTATTTAAATCATGATAATGGAGAAAGTTTTTCACTATTACTAAATGAATGCTATGCTATTATGAATTTAAAAAATTACGATCCTTTACTATTTCTTTATTCAGTTGAATAAATGCTAGATAAAGCTAGAAAACATCAGAAATACTATTCATGTGAAATCTCGCGATCTTTCAATGAGACTTTTCATTTCTCCAGCAAAATCTAAAACCCTTTCTCTGAGCAATCAACAACTCAGCATTAAAAGCTACAAAGTTATGAAAATAACTCGGCTTAATGGTAGTTAGAATAGATTCAATTAAAACTCAGCAACATCATTAGCGATAAATTATTTACAGTTGCCAATTTTTGTTTCATCAGAAATTGAAAGCTAATCACTTCATAAATGAAACATTATTTTTTATCCTAAAGCAAAATTATATCGATAAAAATTATTCAATCAATGAATATGAAAGCTGTCATTGAGATTGTGTTAACTTTCACCAATAACACATTTCTCGTCCATTTAAATTCAGATGTTGAACGATGTCATTGAATGTTCCCTTCAACGGATCATTAAGATTGGTCTATTATGACCAGTCTTCCGGAAATAGTAATTCCCGTGTATTTGATACATTAAAAGCCTATGGGTCAATCATGATTGGTGAAGTGCCAATTGAATGGATAAATGGTGGACACCAACAAAATAAACAATGTCATTCCCCTGTTTGCTCGTCACCTTTGCTCTATTCAATTCAATCTGGCCTCAACGACGCTTCATTTCCACCTGAAGCAGTTGACCGTTTTTCATTGATTCCAGAAAATATGAGTTTTAGTTCATTGATGCTCACCGAAGACTGTGGCTTTATCAATCTTTACACGGACAGTGCGGTTAAATCAAAGTATCCAGGAATATTGACCAGTTTTCAAATAATTGATCTCAATGTTTATTTGCTAGTTGGCCTCTTGTCCATCCTTGGCATGTTAATCTATGCAGTCCGTGACAAAACTTTACCTTGGCCTTTCAAGGGAACAACAAAACAGCTAATCAATGGACAATTTGGTTTCATAATTTTGGCCACTTGTTACTTTGCTGTCTTTTTCGTCTCCAAATTGTTATCCTCTTCATTTACGACCAATTATTCAATAGCCACTCGAGATCCTCCCTTAATTGACTTGGAGGATCTTAACAGGTCAACTCAACGCGTAGATGTGGTTGATAATTTGTACTGTGCTCTTGAGGTTAGAGATGATCCATTTTTGTCTCGTCGTATGCATCCAGTTGAAATTGACAAACCTGTTGAACATATTGCCGATCATTTGTTTGACGATAGAATCGTTTTTTTCGATTCCTTGCTTTACACTAAAACTTGCACCAGAATATTTTGCAATTTAATGATCAATTTCAAGAAAAATACTGACTTTTATGTTGATATTAGTAATCTTCGTTATTACGATACATTACGGTTATTGGTTTACAACAAGTTTACTGAGAAAAGCAAGAAACGATTCCTTCAACGAGCAGCCTATTCGTGCCTTGAGATGGGCTATTGTTTTGATGCGTTTGACTGGGTATTAAGTAAAGTGGCTGTGAAAAGGGTCAAATTTTACAAAACAAATGCCCAATGCGAAGATTATGAGCAAATCAAAACCCATCCAATTGCGTATCATCCGATTGCATTCATCACGATTGAAGATTTACTCTATCTTTTTGCTTTCCTTTTGGGTCTTTCGTGCTTTATTTTAATCATTGAATTGGTTGTAAACGTTAAAGGATCCAAACGCAATAAACCAACCACGTTAACGAAACCATTCTTACATTATCCACATCATAAAAGATGGTATTATGTTACCGACATAAATACAGTTTTATCGAGCAAACAATGGACAGACGTTTATCCAATATATGACTTGAAATTCCAATGACTTTGAATGGCCGAAATCGGTTTAAATCGAGTGGTGCTTTAGTTTAGGCACACAAAGGACATTCATGGATCCACAATTTTCGATAAAATCACCTTCAAAATTGTATCGATTATTATATATTTGGCTGAATAAATAGGAAAAAATGTCTGATTATCAGTTTGATTGGGGAAAATGAGTTTCAACTCTTCGCTAAATTGTATGAAAAGTGTGAATTTAATTGATATCTTTTGATCTCTTTGCTCATTTGTTTTGACATTTTATTAGTTTTCTGACCATTTAATTCAATACCAAAGTTATCAAAAGTTCTAGAAGTGGAAAGAATTTAATTCACGCCTAGTTTCTATTTAATTTGAACAAAAAAATTTAGACAATCGTACTGTCTTAACATTACATCGGGTGTAATGTCAATTTTTCAAGCCAATTTCATCGTGAAAATCATTGAGACAGATTGACAAAGCAAAAATCAGACAAAATTTTGCTGAAATTTGATCGAATCAGAGAGATTTAAAGTGATTAAACAGATTTAGCTTAAAAGCTTTAGTGGCCAAATGGCAGTGAACCCTTAAGTACATTACCTAAGAGTTACAGCCTCAGGTAAAGACTTGAGTAAGGTTACATTTCGCAACTCGTGCGCAGCCAATGATATTGTAAGCTGTTCTTTTCAGATTTGTATTGAGTCTGCAAGCTACTTCATTCAAATTTTTATTTGGAAGCTAGTTATCAAGTTATATGTTATTAATAGACATAGTTGATAACTTTGTTTGAAAAAGTGTTCATCATGGCTACAGATGATGACTTCAAGTTTCCTTACTGTGACGATGTCAGCAAATATGAAAGGTTAGCTAAGATTGGTCAAGGTACATTCGGTGAAGTGTTTAAAGCAAGACATCGCCAAACCAAAAAACTGGTCGCATTGAAGAAGGTTCTGATGGACAATGAGAAGGAAGGATTCCCAATCACTGCCCTGAGAGAAATCAAAATCTTGCAACTTCTTAAGAATGATAATGTCGTGAATTTAATAGAGATATGCAAGTAAGTATTTGATTTATTTGTTATTGACTATAAAGCCTTCCATATGATATCCTTTTCTTCCAGTCTGAGGTTAAAACAAATTTGATGAACTTAATTCGCTATGTTTATTATGTCTATTTTATCCCAAGTATTCAGGTTCTATTAGAATGACAGTTTACTGTGAATTGAGGTCTATGAGAAATTTTGTTTGTACGAGAACCAGCGAGAGAAAAGAGAGGAAGAAAGAAACAAAAATTTTGAATAGCAACTGTATTTTAGAATTAACCTTTCTTGCCTAATTTTCTCATGATATAATTTAAATGATTTTTTGTCTAATGTTTCATTTATTTTGCAGGACTAAAACCAAAGCTGAAGGAACCAAAGGAGCCCCAGCTATTTTTTACCTTGTTTTTGATTTTTGCGAACATGATTTAGCTGGCCTTCTCAGCAATATCAACGTCAAATTCAGTTTAGCTGAAATCAAAAGTGCTCTGAAACAACTTTTTGATGGACTGTTTTATATTCATAGCAACAAAATATTACATCGAGATATGAAAGCGTCAAATATTCTAATTACCAAGGATGGGAAATTGAAATTAGCTGATTTTGGACTTGCCCGTGCTTTCAGCTCAAGCAGTAAAAGCAACAAATATACAAATCGTGTTGTTACTCTTTGGTATCGTCCTCCAGAGTTGCTACTAGGTGAACGTAATTATGGCCCTTCAGTCGATCTTTGGGGTGCTGGCTGTATCATGGCCGAAATGTGGACACGTAGTCCAATTTTACAAGGTGCAACTGATCAAACTCAACTGTCTCTAATCAGTCAATTATGTGGATCAATTTGTCCAGAAGTCTGGCCTGGCGTGGAAAAACTAGAACTGTTCAATAAATTGGAGCTAATCAAAGGACAAAAAAGAAGAGTTAAAGAACGATTGTCAGTTTATGTGAGAGATTCATATGCATTGGATCTGCTTGATCGATTGTTATGTTTGGATCCAAATAAGCGAATTGATGCAGATTCTGCTTTAAGCCATGATTTCTTCTGGTCAGACCCTATGCCTGGTGATTTGGGTAAAATGTTATCACAACATTCCACATCGATGTTTGAATATCTCGCACCACCAAGACGCAGACAAGCTAATCACCCAGCACCTAGTAACCATCCCAAACCTCATACTAATCAAGACGGCCAATATCATGATAGAGTATTTTAAATAAATTTTATAAGAAGATTTGTTGTCCATTCTGATCTAAAATCACTAGATCTAGCTGTAAATAAATTTCACACAATTTTACATCTAAATATGTATGAACTAGACTCAACATGCGGCATTGCAAGTTTTCAGTCTAGTGCAAATATGTCCATGAAAATTTTTTTATGATTTCAATAAATAAAAATAATTTTAGATCAAATTTGTTGCATCTATTTACCAAATTAACTTTAATTTTTCTTACATAGATAACAACAACTCTTTGATAATAACAATGCAATATCTTAATTACAATACATGCTCACTTAAATATTAATTAATAACAAAGATGTATAAAAAACATCAATTGAACAACATATAATTCATTCAGAATGAAGTCAACAAATGTAATCATTAATAAACTAAAAATTTTCAACTTAACACCATAAAACACAAATTGATCAAGCATAATCTCGCAGTAACTATCTCGTTGTATTCACTAGTTTTAGTTAATCTCCAGTATTATGGTTGGTTTCGAGTGAATTAAGAAGCTTCCTTTAATAAGAACATGATTTATCACACTTAAGGTTAGCTAAAGAGAAAAATTAACTCAATCGATGAATTAAAATTGCTCAAAGCCACCAAGAATGGGTCCAATGGAGTGAAGAAAACGAAAGCTCAATACATTTATGGACATATTTAGAAGGCATAGCAGGTGAAACTAGGATTATTTTGATCAGTCTAATAATTTAATAATTTTTATAATCGATTTTTAATCATCAGGTAGATGGGTTTTCTTTCACATGATTGCTAACATAAAAGAGAGATGACAAAATTACTTGTACTTTTCAAGAAATTGTAGATGAAATGTTTTGAGACGATCCATCATTTTTTTCAACTCCTCGAACTGAGGTAGAATCGTTGTTCGAAAGTGGTATGTACCGGGTATTTGACCAAAACCTGAACCTGGGACAATACATATTCCAGTTGTTTCTAAAAGGTTTTTAGCATAAAAGAAGTCTGGCTCCACACCAGCATCACGAGCTTCTTTTATTGCTTTTTCAGGTAACATAATCTGTGGAAAAGCATACATTGCTCCAGCAACAGGATTAGATTTCATTCCTGGAATTGAGTTGAATGTTTCAGCAGCAAGTTTTGCTTTAGCTTTCAAAGATTCTAGGGTCGAGTTTTTCTCACTGGTAAACAAATCGTATGATGGATCACCCGGTTTTGGTGGAGCTACAACACAATCCATAGTAATCTGTCCAAGAATTGAACAACACAAACGAGCGGACAACATTTTTAAGAAAAGGGCTTTGATTTCAGGCTTAAGATTGATGAATTCACAGTAACCACCTCGAAGTCCGCATTCACCCATAAATCCCTTGGAAGAAGACATCAATGATGCTAGTTCAAGATTGATTCCCAACTCGTGCATAACTTTTTTGAAAGAATGAAAAGCAGCACCTTCTTTATAAACATTATGTTGATAAACTTCATCGGCAATGATTATTAGTTTCTCTTCTTTGGCGAAATTGATTATCTCTTTGATGTTTTCTTTATTTAAAACCGATCCTGTAGGGTTACCTGGGTTAATTATGACGATGGCTTTCGGTCTACATAATGATCTATCATTGTCCAAAGCCCGTTTGAGCTCAGCAATGTTTAATTTCCATTCGTTTCCTTCGTCTGTAATAAGAAAATTAAAAAATAACAATTAATATACAGCTTAGAATCAATATTAGATGGTTTAGATAAGGAAATTTTGGAGAGATTAAAAACTAAGTATCGATCAAATTACAAACTGAAAGATAATTAAAAGCTAAAGTTTATAAAAAGTTACAAGTGAAACTTTAAGCTTTAGTTTTTAATAAGCATTAATTAGTGATCCCCATAATGAGATTTTCGAGAAAGCTTAAGCAAAAATTGTCAAAACAAAATATCATTAATAGTCACAAATTGTAGGCTATTCTTTATGAATTTTATCTTCTCGTTGGATCGTGGTTTAGGATCGTGGTGAGACGCTGCTTGATTAATATAGCGTATCTAATATTAAATAATTTTGAATCATATATTTTCTAATTTACTTGGCAACATTTCAATTTGTGAATCAACACAGTATTTGAGTGAATAAAAAATCAAACTTACCCAAATAGTATTTAATAGGATGCATTGCATACTCAGCAAGAGTTGCAGTGTATAGTGGATATTGAGGAATTGGAATTAAAACACCAGTTGGTTTATCATCAGTTGAAGAAGAATTGATTAAAGCCAATACAAATTTAACTGCTTCAGAGGCTCCATTAGTCAATACAATATCCTGCCAATTACTAGGTATTCCATCTCGTTCAGCAATGTACTCCGCACAATGTCGACGGATAATCTCAATACCAGCTGAATCAGAGTAACTGCCAACTGAATTGCCACCACAATAGGAAAGTAATAGTTTAACCTTTTCTTTAACATCTTTCGGGTACTTTGGGTCGTCTAATAGAGTTGTGTCTGTGCAACAAGCAATAACCTGACGAATAAATGTCAGTGGTTTTTGTCCAGTGGCATGACAGTCACCAATGTTTGCTCGAATGACTCCATTAAAGGGTTTATCGTTTTTACCAGCCTTCAATTCTTTCTCGATCTCTCCAGCTCGTATCACTAATGGTCCACGGACAGCGTATTCCATTTTTTTGACATTTTGATTGACAGAATCAAGATCCAAAACGTGTGAACTTTCTCCTGACTGAGTAGACATATTGATGAATTGATTAAAATCTCTGATTATGAGAAAAATTGTTGTCTCAATTTGATTCTCAATAAAGTTGCTAGCCAATGATAACGATAAATATGAGTTGGTGGTTTGGCGTGAAAAGATATCCTTTCGGCTCGAAGTCCAATAAAATGATTAGATGTAATTCAAGAGACACAAATTAATAACTGGAGTAGCTTTTTATTCAAGCTGTGATGACGATGCACTGTATGCCAGAAAGTAATAATTTGAAAGGTTAAGGACATTAGGGTTAAGCATAAACTTGAAAAAATAATAGGAAATAAAAGTTATTATATTTTAAATATACTCACATGAGAGTCAATCTGTATTTAAACAATTCAATATATCAATTTGGTAAAGTAACTGATTGATGAATCGATACAGAAGAAATGTAAAATTAATCAATTTTTATTGCAGAGACTGGAAATGTAACATGTAAGATAGTCAGGCAAAAGACATGAATAAATTGCTTTGTTGTCAACAAAGCAGCAAAGTAGACGTTTCAATACAAGGAAATAAGTGAGCCAATAAGTAATCAAGAAGCGAGTAAGATTGCTACAGATTAATTCACTTTTATTAGTTGCTTTTTCTCTCCATGTCACAATGACTCAATCCGTCTACTTGATTGCATACACTCAAGTACGATGTCACCGGTTCAATTTATTCAATTACAGTAATGTTTATTGAAATCCGGTTTCATAAGATGGCAAACCTTGTCATTACACATTCGTGAAAGAACTGGTCTTTTAATGCACAATGAACAAAGAGAAAAAAACGAAACAAATTGCTACAGTATATACAGGAACATTTTAATGATAACTGTTGATGTTAATTAGACTCTATAAAATAAAAAATTGTTGCAATTGTAAGAAATAAATAAATAAGAGCAAACTAAACGTAATTACCATCGAATGGTAATCATCTGTTTCCTGCAAGTCCCTTGTAAGAGCCATCTATTGTAATCTAAAGACAGAAAGTCATAGATGAAAAAAGTGCAAAATAATAAACTTTCATTAAAATAGACAAGATCTAGAGCGAATGAAATCATAGCAAGAAATAAAATTTATTTTCTTAATGATATAATCAGGAGAGCTAAATATTCATCATCTTAAATTTCATGAAATTTCGTATGAATCTTACTGTTCCCTTTTCCCAAATTCAACAGATTTATCGATTATTACAACCAATATAAACAGTATCCTATTTGTGTCTGATTGTCACCAAATGAAATTCTTCAACCTCAAAATACTATTTCCTCTAATCATCTCCAAAGCAATTTTGTTTTTCATTTTATTAACAACATTATTTGTCAATCAGTTATTTTAAATCTCAATACAATTGTTGATCTTTGAACAAAAGCAGTAAAATCAAAGTAGCAGAGCAATTTGCCTTGAACACGCAAAAGAAAATTTTTGTTACTGGATCGATTTGCCTGATAAAAGCAATTTGATACAAATCTGTAAACTAGTTTCCAAGTCAATTTAACCAAATTTGATCAATGTCAATCTCTTTTCGAAATATAGAAACAATCGATTCTAACGTTAATTTTTGATATTCTTTATTGAATTCAAATTAAGCTTTCGAGTTCAAACTACATACTACTTCAAACGCTTTCAAATCAAAAGCCTAAAAATAGCGTTAACTGACAATTTTTTGTTCAAATTCTGTACCCCAAGCATTAGACGGAGAACTTCAGGTGAAGTCCAAAAATTTTCCTTTCAGACAGATTATAATCATTGCTGATCATCTGAATACTGAATACTGTAATTGCTTTGTTTTATCTTAATTGGACTGAAATCAAATTGAAGATGCTTGTTCGAACTGGAAATATTAATATGTAATAAAAAATCATTTCCATCACGTTCATCGTTTTTAATAAAATTATCTTGTTTAATCGGACTTTGTCAACTCTTTACAACTTGGTTTCGTGAAAAGATAAATTGTTAGATAGTTGGATAGATTCATGTTAATTTATAAACACGCTAGACTGGTACTTATCAAATGCTTAGTTGCTTCATTGCTTTTTCATAACTTGAATTGTTAATTCAAATTTTTTATTGCAATTTCATTTCATTTATTGAAATTGCCGGTTTCAAATGTAAATACTTTCTAGTGGAGCCCTCTTTCAATATTAACATGCAACCAGAGAATAAAATTCACCGAGTTCTGCTTCACTTTTTGGTTGGCTGTCTCTTCTGCGAATATATTTATTTATTATTCTGTTTAATAGTTCTTTAGTTAATTAACTTAGTAGTTTTTAATTTTTAATAGTTAAAATGGTTCTTGATTTGGATTTGTTTCGAGAAGATAAAGGTGGTGACCCTGAGCGAGTCCGTGCAAATGCTCGTGCAAGATTTGTAGACGTGTCCACAATTGACACAGTCATATCCATAGGTTAGTTGTTTTAAAACATTGTGCTCAATTGATTGCATCACCGGCTATACCATTTCCTATTATGTTAATTTCAATGCTTTATGTTCAATGTTCATCGGTTTAAAATTCACTGTTACAGATAGTCAATGGAGAAAAGCTCGGCACACCCTGGACCGGCTAAATAAAGCAAAAAACTCTATCTCTAAAGAATATGGTAATGTGATTAAAAAATTAAAAGCAGCTGGAAGTCCAGTTAATGAAAATGATGAGAAAGTAGACGAAGACTCTCTTGACTTATCTATCTTGTTGGACAGGATTAATGAGCTTGGCGGTGGTAAAGATGAATCTTTAGCTACATTGAAATTTTACCGGTCCGAGGTTGAAAAACAGATTATCAAGGTGAATGAAGACCTGGAACGCTTTGAAAATGAAAGAAATGAAGTTCTTCGTGAGATTGGTAATCTTCTTCACCCTGAAGTTCCTATTTCTGACAATGAGGATGAAAATCAAATAATCAGAACTTGGGGCAATGTTGAACTTGGCAAAAAACCAACGGAAGGAAGTGGCGGGGAAGGTGACTCTCCAAGCTTCCAATTTCTTAACCATGTTGATTTGATTGGTATGATCAAAGGTATGGATGCTGAAAGGGGCTCAGCAATCGCTGGATCTCGTAGTTATTTCCTAATTGGACCTGCCTTCTGGTTACAACGTGCTTTAATAGACTATTCGTTGCATTTCATTTCCGAGAGAAATTACGAACCTATCTACACTCCATTTTGGATGAAGAAATCACTCATGGGACAGGTTGCTCAATTGAGTCAATTTGACGAAGAACTTTACAAAGTTATTTCATCAAAGGGAGCTGCAGTTGAAGATAGTGAAGATAAATATCTAATTGCTACAGCAGAACAGCCCATAGCTGCCCTTCATAGAGGCGAATGGCTCAACCCATCTGTACTTCCTCTTCAATATGCTGGTTTATCTACTTGTTTCAGACAAGAAGTAGGCTCCCATGGTAGAGATACTAGAGGAATTTTCCGTGTCCATCAATTTGAAAAGATTGAACAATTTGTCATCTCGGCACCATCTAAATCATGGACCTGTTTCCATGAAATGATCTCTAATGCTGAACAATTTTATCAATCACTCGGCATTCCTTACAGAGTGGTCAGCATCGTTTCAGGTGCCCTTAACAATGCAGCCGCCATGAAATATGATTTAGAAGCCTGGTTTCCTGGTTCTGGTGCATTCAGAGAACTTGTTTCTGTTTCTAATTGTACTGATTATCAGTCACGTCGTCTTCAAATCAGGTGTGTTAAGCAAATATTGTCTCTTCTTTTTTGCCACCTCTACAAGTTTTTTGCAACTTTAACAATAATTTCTTGTTCTATCTTCTGTTTCTACTTTAGGTATGGTCAAACCAAAAAAATGACTGGCCAAGTTGAATATGTTCATATGTTGAATGGTACATTATGTGCTATTACAAGAACTATTTGTGCTATACTTGAGGTTCATCAAACTGCTGAAGGTATCAAAGTTCCAGAACCTCTTAGACCTTATATGCCTGCCAAATATAAGGAGTTTATACCTTTTGTAACTCAAGTTAAAGAACCTGTTAAAGAATAGAAAAATAAAATTGTCATCTCATCATATTCTACATTTAGTAAAATGAAAACAAATCAACAGCGAAACGTGATTTTACGAGCAACAAATTGATAACTATTATAATAATAATGATATTATATTATCTGAATTTGGCTACTCATCATCAACAAAAAAATCCTGTCAAACCAAATAATAAAATAATAAATGATTCCAATTGAAAAGATGTCGATCGATGTCACTTATCAACTTCCCATGCAGTCACAGTCAAATCAAACTGTTGAATTGATTCCACATGTTGGATTTTCTCTTTTTTGATTAACCAGATTGGAATGATTAATGAAGCTCTGTTTGATTGCTCTCTTTTATATTTATTTAACTCACATTTGGTTACATTGAAGCAACCTAGAGAAATTGTCTTTACTTGACTTCAAACTTTTCTATTTCATGTAAATAGATTGATTAACTTTTGCGATACTAAATTTAATCTCTTATCTGTCCACTTTCAACCTAAATACTGCCAAATCTAATTACTATGTTAGATCAATGATCTGACAATTCTAACATCAATTCTTAATTTTGCTCCTCATTTTAAATTTCGTTTGTCTGTTGACTACTTTTTGTGACTTCTGTTAAACATAAATTGATGGCCGTTCAGATCTAATTCTAAGCTTCGATTATTCATCATGATGATCTATCTATTCCTTCTTATGTTTAGTTAATTTTAGCTCAATGATCTTTTGTTAACTGATTTTACAATCAGACTTTCAATCAATAATTATAAATAAGATCCTGAAATCATCTTTATCACTCTGATGTTAAGTGTAACGCCAGTTTATCAGTTATAAATTATGACTTTTAAAATATTACATAACATTGTGTAAAAATGGAAAAGTTGGAGCATTGTTTAGCTGTTAATAAATTTGATTGTTGAACTTATTCATGTGGCTCTTTTTTCTTTGTTATTGAGTTAATGCCTATGAATAATGAGTCATTTTTTCATCTACTGAATTGTGTGTTTAAGAAGGCAAGTGTGATTTCGTTGCTGATACGATTTCATTAAAACACAAACTAAATTGCTTTTAAATTTCAAGTTGCATGATTAAACTGGTCAAAGCTATTCAAGGTTTAATTCAGAGTTCTCAGAATTTATCCCTTTTCTCTTCAAACTTAGAGCGGCCTCTTGTTAGTCAAATGGAAACTTAACTATAGTTTCTTTATTTACGTTTCTGTCTATCTTACCTTTGTTTATTTTTATTTTCTAACGTGCTTCTTCTTGTTAAAAAATTCATAAATGATAAATGATACAACCATTAAACTAATCCGTCTATTCTGACCAACCCTAATCATGTGAAATTGTAGACTGTCACTTTCATCTAAGCTCAGTCATGATTGCTAAAAATGTTGAATCAATCCTCTGTTTTACAGCCTGGTCATTTAGTGCTTTCTACTCTTTATATCTTTTTGGTGATGGAATTGATGGTGAGTATTTATATTCTGTTGTCATATCATGTTAACACCCTATGTTAAAATTTAATCTCATCGATTTAATCATCTAATCAATAATAACTTCATTTTTACTGATAGTGATCAAAGATGAACTCGACTCAAGAGATTTTGAAAAAGGATGGTTTGCATCTCGACAACGCGATGTTACCGACATTGAATGGTACATTGTCAAGTATATTATTTTTAATTTTTACTTGACATTTATTGGTCATATCATCGTGTCACAATTAATCTGGGTTTTTATACCTCAGGTAAGTTTTATTTAGACTAAATTTTGATTTTTCTCAAAACATGACTCCAGTTGAGTTGATCAAATTTCAAGCGGGAAACAAGCAATTTTTAACCATATCTTACTGCATTCCAAATTTCAACCCATCTTTTATTTATTTTGTTTGCAGCTTACTTTATCTGTTATGGTCTTATATGGAACTATAAGTCTCTGGATTCTTCTTGGACCCTTTGTCGTTCCTATTATTTGGTTAAATATTCTTTTTGCGTATCTCATTCACTTGAAACGAAGTCCACTTCTTTGTCATTTATTTTTCATCACCGTTTTCATCACGGCCCAGTCATCTTATTTCAGAGACAAGACTAAATTATTGTTTGGACATGATCTCCGTAAACTGTTTATCTTTGACATACTTTTTGGATGGCTAAATGCAAAATGTTTGAGTTTTTCTCTTGATCGAATTGAGACATTTCGACGTTGGGAAAATCCATATCCAGATGACAACTTAACTATGATTTTCGCATATTGTCTCTACTTACCAACCCTGGTTTTCGGCCCTATGCATCAGTATTCATCTTTTCTCAATGTAAGTAAACTGTATAATTAAAGCTCAAAAATTGACAATTTTTCTCCTCATAATTTCAGAATATGGTATTCAGAGATGACTGGAGCTTACGTAAATTTATTTGTTCGCTGACAAGATTAAGTCAAGTTCTTTTTTATGCTGTTGTATACGATATCCTCAAACATTACCTCTTCTCATCAGCTTTGATTTATAGAACTGATCTTTTAGAAAAACTAGATTCATATACACTTTGTGGATTCGCTTATTGTTTAGTGATTATGTTCTACTTAAAATATTTAATATTATACGGTTACTCTGAAGCTATGGGTAACTCAGATGGTATCAAACTGCCGCCTCCTCCAAAATGTGTTTCAACTATCCATCTTTCTTCAGACCTTTGGCGACATTTTGATCGTGGACTTCACCTTTGGCTTGTCAAGTATGTTTAGAGATGAAGTTTTGTTTCGTTTTTGAATTTATTTGAACTTATTTTCATAACTTATTTTTTTCTCAATTTAGATATTATTACAAACCTCTGTTAACTATTGGAAATAATGTTATGGTCAAAATTTTTGCCACATCCATATGCTTTGCAATCGTTGCTATTTGGCACTCATACAGTTCTGATGTTATCGCTTGGTGCATGTTGAATTTCTGCGCGGTTGCTATTGAATTAACAGGTTTACATATTCGGCGTTTATTTTTTCCCAACTTTGAGGTAAGCTGATTCTAAATAGATAAATTTTGATGAATCCTAACTACATTTTTTAATTCAATTCTTTATTTAGACTCAATTTTCTGATAGAGCCATTAAAAGGTGGAAAGCATTCATGGCAGCTCCATTTTATATAATTATGATTATTACAAACACTTTTTTCCTCGCCAATAGCGAAGTTGGAGTTTACCTGTTTCAAAAAGTGTTGTTTTCGTTTCCATATCCAGCCCTTCCAGTATTAATGATAGCTTACACGGCTTGTCATGTCTCTATTGAATTGAAAGAGCATTAATTAACTCCACTACCAAAAAGTCAATTGTGTTGTTATGGTGTATTCTTCAACAATTAGACTCAATCTACTAAAAAATTTTCACTCCTAAAGTTACTAACTTGAAAATTTGACACTAAACTGTAAATATTTGAATGGAACAGCAGAAGCTGGTTCCATGGTTCCAAATTTTGCTAAATTTTCTCTAATTAAAATGATTTTGTGAATAAAGAAGTAAATATATTTCATCAGTTTCAAAAACTATCTGATTTCTTAATACATTATCTACATGGATTCGTATATGGATTTAGTTCACGGGCTTTTCTCTATATTTGAAGATTTAATTTTGATCATCTTTGTCCAAAAATACAGATGTTTCCATCGAGTTCGTCACGGTTTCAATGAGGCATCTAATTCCCTTAAATGGATTCATTCTGACTGTACCACCTTATTCAACAGAATTTTATTAATTGAAACATTTGTGGGCAAAATGAAAAAGGACCTTTTAACAGTGACACAGATTTCAATTCTACCTCACAATTCTTGTCAGATCTAAAAAATTTGCAGTGACAAAGTAAAATCAGCATGAAAGTGGTGAAAAGTTGAGCAAAAATATTGAAATGCAAACAAGATTATATCAATAAGGTAACCCAATTAGATAAGTTACTGGTTATCGTTGTTATTCAATCAATATATGATTAAATGCACCGATTAAAATTAAAAAGGGTAACAAACTCGATGAAAAGATTCGTATATCACTTCACTTGAAATGCATTCTTTGTATTACAGAATGTTGAATAGATGAGCTGATGTAGTTGTTGTTTAAAAATTTAGTTTGGTTCTGATTAAGACTGTTGAAGGTGCACAGAATTAATAATGTGAATAATAATTTATGGAAAATAAATTAAATATGGTTACATTAATGGCAACAAGCTCATGTATAAATAATGAAATAAAATAGTTAATAGGAAACATAAAGGTTGACACATGGACAATATTTAAGGACGATTCTTTGATATTGGTAATATTGACCACTTTCATGAGAATTGGAAAATGGTAGGCTTCAATTTTGATTGATATGAATAGATGACCAAAATTAGTAAGCTCGCCGTTAGATGCACTTTCGGATATATGGCTCCAATTGTGCCAAATAATCTGGTGTTAAACAATCAAGATAAACCAGTGAATCATAAAGTTGATTTTTGCCTATTCCTAGATGCATGAAAATAAATGGATAAATTAATCAGGTGCGTTGAATTTTATAATATATAATTTGATAGATTTACCTGCAAAATAATGTTTAAAAAAATTAACAAGAAAACTTCCTCTCTTCTTGTAATATCTGAAAATTGTCTTATCTCGGCAATTAGATGGATCAATCAAGGGTATACGAAAAATACCCAACGATTCAGATGGAAAATGAATTGATTGAGAATGTGTTACTTCACAGTGTTTAAATTCTTGTTCACTGATTTGCTTCATGAAAAAATGATAAATGTTGACACGAGGGGATGATGTGCCGGGTTGGTTCAAAGAGTCATCAATGTATGTTGAGATATGTGAGAATCCATTGCTACCATCTGGGTCGGATTCACTTGCTTTGACTGCAAAATTAATTTCTTCCTTCAGCTCTCTTTGTAATCCAGCGACAATAGCACTAACAGAATCCAATTCTTCCGGTTCAATAATCCCACCAGGAAAGCCTAGTTGACCATCAAATCGAACCTGACACAAACCAAACATGCCTTCCACATCATCATCAACTGTTTTATAGTAAAGTAGGCAGTGGGCAGCATGAACATTACGCGATGGGTCAGTTAATTTTAAGGCTTCATCTAATGTTAAAGATCGAAGTGACGTCTCATTGAGGGATGTTGTAGAATCAGAAGAGGATGAAGATAACGTCGCAGATAATGTGCGGGGTATACAAGCACGGAAACCAATCAACTTGGGAAAAAAAGTTGCGAGTAACATGAGGATTTATTTTGATTTAAACTTGTCACTGTAAATATGAGTAAATCCTTTCGTTTCTTAAAAATATACAGAAACTAGCCAGTAATTCAGACTCACTTTAAATAATTTATTTTAACTGCTTTTACATTTTAAGCTCGAGATTAAGCGAAATTGCAAATTAAAAATTAGACAATTTTTTCATTAAAAGTTTAAATCGTACGTAAAAGTGTAAACAAGAGTCTTGTTACAAGACGAGATTAGGGACTGTCTCAAAATCTAGTCTAAATTGCTGTCATTTTTCTGTAATTTATTTTCCATAAGTTATTATTCATTTTATTAACTCTTTGCATATTTATCAGTCTCAACTATATCGAAACAATTTATTTTTAAATAACAATTACAGGCAGGTTTCTGTGACTGCTTTGAAAAATGAGTTTACCTTTTTAAAATCTGTCAACCAATTTCATCTTTACCATCTCTAATTAAGTATCGCATTGGTAATTATGACAAGTGAAAGTTGATTAAAGATGTAAATATTCCCAACGGTTGATTGAATGATGATTAATAAATAGCTATTGAAATTATTTGTATCAATTAATAATACCCATTGAGCGATATCATTATCAAATGATTAAGTCTAACACTGTTATTAACACTATCGTTTTGGCATACAGTTTTAGATAATAAATTTTTGATTTGTTTATCAAAATTAAATATTCGCATAATGATTCAATTATTTCACAAATGAATTATATTGGGCATAATAAGAATGAATACTTGAAATAAATTATCAAGTATAAATCCTTGAATCAAATCACATTCCAAGTTTACTCTACATTTCATCTAGTCTCTAGTTGACTGACACTGATGATTGTCATTATTAATAGTGTCCGATGTTCTGAAATGATTACTCTGGTTTAAGGACAATCAAGTAACAATCTAAACCATAAATAAACTGGAACAGTTACCACATCATCTGCAATAATATATCAACATTAGGGAGAAGATCAAATGTATCATCACAAAATTGTCTACAATTTTACAGTTTGCTGGATGTCTACCCATTAGTTTATGTCCAACATAATGTACGAAATGTCAACCATTAACCTGATTTCTGTTTATTATTTTATATTTTCTCTCATCTCAGTTAACCAAATTGTCTCATCAAGACTTTATTATCCCGAATGTAAGTATTTTAACAATTAATTATCTTATTTGATCGTGTCAACAAGCTCAAATGATGAATCAAAAGGTATCCCTGAGTCACAATCAGTTTAAATATCTCACAGTTTGAGTTCAATCATTGAAAAATACCCAATTAATCAATGGGTTTTAAAATTGTTGCTTTAATTTTGTTTTGATTTTCATATTTTCATTTAGATTACATCTTGGAAAAGTGTACTCCACCAGATAACCCAAAACCGATAAATTTAACTAATACTGAAGGTGGATCGGCTGCTTATTTTGAATGGCCGAGCAAAAATGAATCTTTAATTAAACCAACACAAACATGTGTGATAGTTGTCCAATCACCACCTGGTCAGGGTCTTATCCTTCATCCAGTTTCACTAGATTTGACCCGATTTGCTGGAAAGATTGTCATCTATCAATTGCATTTATCTGCCAGTGTTGCTAATATTATTTACGATTTGGATGATTCCGTTCACTTTGACTCTTTTGATAATCATCGGGTTAAATCAGTGACTTTGAATAGTTTACCCGGAGATGAAAAAACTGTTGTGTTATTTGAATTTCAACTCAATTCAAATCAATCAGATTGGAATCAATTGCTCTTTAAATTTTTGGTAACTTCTTTCATTCGTAAGTAATCGGCTTCAGTTTTAATAACTTACTATCCTACTGTTATTGCTTTTTTTGTACCTGACAGAAATATTATTTTTACTTCTATTATCTAGATGTTCCTGAACTCGGTCATTGTCCAGATGCATTTTATTTTGATTGTGGATCTGGACAATGTATAAGACAATCCCTTCATTGTGATGGTATCTCTAATTGTGCTGATGGATTTGATGAACATGATTGTGGTAAGTCTTGTTTTCACGATGAGTCGACCAATAGTAATTAACATCATCATTTATCTTTCTTTTCAGCATTAGAAGCTCATGAGATTTTTTTCATTGTTCTTGGAATTTTCATTATGTTAATAATTGTCGTTGGTTTAATTTGGTATGCCCATAAGAAAGAAAGTATGGATTTGCCTGTTGTTCAGGGAAACGATGCTAAAAAGAACAGTCTTGGCAATACTAAAGTCTAATTCATTTGCATTCATGGATTTTTTACATTTGCCCGACGAGCTATCTATTAACAATTAACGTTGTTAAATTTGTAATTTTTTACCCATTTTGTAATTATCTACCAGTATTGATTTAGGTTGTCTTGAATGACTGACTTTAAATAAATGCGTAACATATTTTTGCTTTACATTTTAAAATTAAATCGTGATCAATTTTATGAATTTCAAATTGCAAATCCGTTCTATTGTATTTATTTATGAATCTCAATATTTCTTTAATGGATATCTCTAATCATCTTTAACCCCTTCTCTTGTCAACATTTCAACATTGAGTTTGATTCCAACTTTTAAAGTCCTGCAGTAGATAATACGGCAGAGGTCAAGATTTAACTAAGACAAATTTAGTGTGATCAATTAGCTATGAAAACAATTAGTTTCAAGCTTTAAATAAAAAAAAACGGAATATTTTGAATGCCCATTCATTGTATCAAAGCCGCAGCGAAGTTGGTCTTTATGTCGCTACTTATCGAAAAGGTTAGAATAAATTTATAACAGCGATGAAAAATGGTCTACCTAGTTTATGAAAGTGCTGAAACTGACTTCTATGCAGACTCAATCAGTGAAGAACCCAAAAAACGAGAAAATCTGGTCTTGCATGAAACGAATTGATGATCAGATAAACCCTTAGTTTCTACGTGTGTTAAAAAACGAAATAATAGATTGGCCTGGCGTAAAATGCCTCGTCCATTGATTGATAGTGCTTTAAAATCTTGGCCACGACATTTTTGTGAGATTTGATATTGTAAAGGAAATAATATTCAACAAATGAAAAATTTGATTAGTTTAAAAGATTAGCAAATTTGAATTTGGTTCATTTTTCCCTAACCCTTGGTAACCACTCCCCCAGACAAAAGCATAAAGATGTTCATGATGTGTTGTTTTTTTAATTTTGTTATTTTTAAAAGATGAGTCAAAATTGATTTCTGTTTATATATTTTGACAGTTTACATCTTCTAGGACAATGATTGAATTATTGAGTTCACGGAAAATGATCGTTGGGGTCATCATATTAATTATTATGTGTATCCTGATTGTGATTCTGGAAGGCATTTTAACCGAAAGTGAACTGAAACCATTACCCCAAAGATTACCTGTTTCCAAAGGTGATTCATCTTTTGCCAGTTTAATTGGTAATTCTACAGAATATTGTTGGTTATTTGAAGATTACTCTGTGGTAGAGGATTGTGGACCATGTACTGACTTTGAAAAGGCAGCTAAACATTTACCTATTTGTGAACAGACAGGCTTTAAAAAGTTGGTTAATTGTAGTAAAACAGGCAAAGTTTACATCAGCTGTGCACCAAGTACCGCCAAGAAATTTTGGATTTTCCTGTTAATTATGCTTTCCATGTCGCTATTGGGTGCCTTAAGCGTTAAATCGAGGATTAAGTATTTGGAAAGACGTATGACAGAAAGGATGCAAAATAAAATTGACTGTGGAGTTTAATGTGATTGGAACTCTCATTGTAATAATGTAAACTTCTTTTTTTATATTGAACAAAAGCTATTCTATTTGTGAAAATTGTTATTTTATTCTCAGTTAATCCATCTATATATATGATCATTACAAAAGTAAATCTCACCTTTAAAATCTCATCCAAATTGTTATCCGGATTATTTCACAAGCAAAAATTGTATCTAATATTCAGGTCTAATGTGTTAATGGAATATTTGAGCATTTAATGTCTTAACACTAATATAATTGTGTTGCTATAAAACTGAGGGTAACGTCCAATTAATCACATTGTGCTATCGCACTTTGCATTAATTGAACATAGCATAACAAATGAAAGTCTGTTGAAAAGTTAGCTAAAAATCATGAGTTTATGCTCATGTCACCACGTGACTCTCATGTGTTCTCGTATCATTTTTCAAGTTTTGTCAACATGTTACATTGGAATTATTTAATTTAATTTGATGTTTTCGTGATTGTTAAATAACATTGAAATGGCATCTTCTTTAAAAGGTATGGTTGCCTTCATCACAGGAGCATCGTCTGGCTTAGGAAAGGCTACAATGCTTCATCTTTTATCTAAAGGAGCTGCTGGTTGCTACTCTTATGATCTTCAAGCTTTTCCTGAGGCCGATAAACAAAATTTTGAAAATAAAATTGGTTTTAAGCGAGGTGATATTCGTGATTCCGACTCAGTTACTTTAGCTCTCGCTGATTGTAAAAATAAATTTGGCAAGATAGATGCGGTAATCAACTGTGCCGCTGTTTCGGTTGCTTTTAGACTGTTCAATTACAAAACTGGTGTTCCTCAGAAGCTGATTGACTTCCAAACAACATTGGATATTAACGTGATTGGGACATATAATGTTTGTCGGTTGGCTTTATCACATCTTTCTAGAAACCCACTTGATCCAGTAACAGGAACGCGAGGAATCATCATTAATACTTCAGGAATAGCCGGACAAGATGGACAAATCGGTCAAACCACTTATGCTGCATCAGCTGGAGCCATTGATAGTTTAACTAATCCTTTGGCTCGAGAAATCGCACCAAAACGAATAAGATGTGTTACAATTTCAGTAGGTTACTTTGATACTCCAGTTCTAGCGACACTTCCAGACTGGGCCAAACAATATTTAATCAATTACACAGCATCACCTAAAATACTTGGAAAACCTGAGCATTATGCTACCATGGTGGAACAAATCATAACGAATTCATTTCTAAACATGACAACTATCAACTTAGATGCTGGGATGAGGCCTAAAGTTTTTAAAGCTTAGTTAGCTTACTAACCAGCCTTTTCACTTCCAATTCTGTCTATTGTATCAATCAAGTCAATAAATGTACAAAGTATGATTTTTCAGGTGTATGTCTCACCTGACCAATCATGAAATAGAAACAATTCTTAACAGACAAGATTACTGCAAAGACTACATTATTTATTATACATTACTGTATTTTTCAAAGGAATGAGCTTTTTCATGATATTTCAAGTTCATGAAACGATCAAAAATTTGATAGTAAAGATTAAGTTTTAGATTAATTTTTGTCAAATTTTATGGGTTGAATATTAACGCATCTATTTCAACGATTTATATCTCATTTCAAACTATCATGAACCCAAACCCTGATCATCTTGTTTTTGTTCATGATCGTAAAAAATTGAACTTGTTTGTTTTCATGTTACACACATGTATGCACAAGAAAGATGAAACCAAGTTGAATAACATTATTCAGCTTATGAAGATCATGGATTAAGATACAGAGTGTTGAGAAAGTTACTAATTATGGAAAATTATCTTTCGCATTGAGTAATAAATTTATTTTTATTGTTCAGGTTCAATGTTTTCATTGATACAGATAGTGGAGTTTGAAAAAACCGCAAATTGTAAGCGCATCTCGATGTCCAACCCACATCACGAACTTTTTCAACACCCTGTAAATGACATTGTGAGAATAGACGTAATAATGATGTCATATTCATTACGTCTATTCTCACATCTCAACAATTGACAGTTTAATTTTTAACCAAATTTACCGTAAAATGTCCTTAAAATAGAGGAATATTCCCTGAGCAAGTCAAATGCTTTATGAGCTAAAAACTGCAAACTTAAAATGAGTGAAAAAATAAAATATTTCCTGACTATTTAACAGTAATTTTACTGGATATAAATGCTATTCACACGAATATAATCAGAAGGGAGAAACATGAAGAGAGGGGGAGACTGAGAGAGTGAGAGAGTGATAAAGATAGAGAGATGGATAGAGAGAAACCAAGAAAAGCTTGTTTGATGAAAAGTTGAAAACATTTAAAGTTTTAGAAAAGTTAAAAACACTGCGAGGTCTCGCAGGTAAACTTTTAGCCCAACAATGCTCCAGTACAATATTGCCTCTGTGTCAATGAACAGTTTAACATACAAGTGCTTAGCTGCATTAGCAGCTGCTGCTGCTTCACCAACAACATCAACAACAATAACAACAACAGCAACAACTACTACTACTGGTACAACTAATATTACTAGTTCTGCTACTACTCCATCACCATCTACAGCATCATCATCAACAAAAACAACAACAAACTCGTCATTATCGACATCACCATCATCACCACCAATCTCTACCACCACAACATCTCCATCCTCATTTGCATCAAACATATCATCTGCACCCAAATCAGAAAGTTATGAACATTTTCCAATAGATGTTGTTCAATACATTATTGATCATGCAGCTCAAGAGAGAATTCCAATTAGTGGTCAATATCTTTGTAGTTTGCTCTCTGGAGGAGGCTGCTATTCAATCGATCTATGGAAACTGTGCTTCTACAATCAGTTTAAAGAAGCCGATATTATAAAGATACTTTCCACTTTGGCTAAAAACTGTTATAATCTTCGTAGATTGACTCTGGGTGGACATACTTGGATTTACAAATCAAGAGTTGTTCAGGGACCAATGAGAAGTATTTTTAGAGGAAACACTTTAATTAAATTGCGAAGCCTTAAATTGCAACAAACCTCTTCACCTGAGGAGTTGATTACTATCTTTTCAGCATGTCCAAATCTTGTTAAATTAGAAATATGCCAACCATCACTGACTGACAAACAAATCAACATTGTTGCTAAAGAATTACAGCAAACAGCTTACTCCAAGATTCGTTACTCCTTGCGAGCTCTTTGTTTACCTTCCTCTGTTCATAGAGCTGGAATAATCAAAATGGTTGCCTTATTTCCAAATTTAGCCTATCTCAATTGCTGCCACTATGAGGATGTTTTGGAAGCCATTGAAAACGGGATGATGGAAATGGATGTTAATTACATTGATGATGATGAATACAATGATTTCAATGTAAATGAATTGAGAAAAACTAAAAGTATATTGGCAAAGCTACAAGGAATTACTGTTACGCATCCAATGGGTCGAAATGCGGTCACCTCATTGGTCGCTTTATCACATAATCTTCAAGAATTAGTTTTAGAGGTTGACGCTCACATGGTTCTACATTCCATTGCAAATTTAAAGTACCTTAAACGATTGGCTTTACACAATTCACAGAGTTCACCTGCCTCATTCCTTCAACAAGTGCTACCTATTTTGCAACAAATTGGTGATAACCTGGAGGCTTTGGATTTAGAAGGGTTTGATGTTGTTGACCTTTCAACTTGTGCCCGATATTGTCCCAATTTGAGACATTTTTCGGGCCAATGGTTCACCATCTTATCCTGTACTCAATCTAATCCAGGTTTGATCATATCCAAGAAAGAAGAAGCAAATTTAAGGAGACCATTTTCGCACCTTCAATCCCTCCGACTTCGTCCTCGTAGTCAACGTAATATAGGTGTTAAAGCAATCGGCTATATTTTAACCAATGCAATCAACATTGAATCTATTGAACTTTACTCCTGTCCCGATCTCACCGATGAACAATTGATTGAATTGATCAAAAATAATTCACTTCGCAACCTACGATCCTTAATCCTCCGACATGGTCATCTTTTATCCAAATCTTGCCTTAACCGATTGGTTCATTCATTGGATGAACTTAGTTTTCTTGATTGTGGAGCACCATTGCTCTCTAAAGCTGAGCTTCATTAAAAAAAACAAAATGACAAAACAAAATACTTCAAGCGTTTTAAAACAAACCTAATCCTGAGTGAAAAAAAACTGTTTATCGATTACCAAACACACCTACAAAAACCGACCATTCTTAAGCCATTTCTTCTCATATTCAGAATGTTTTTATTCAGTTACAGGAGAGAAAGAAAAAAACTTTAGCGTAAACAACGTACTTTTTCAGTTGTTTGAATTTATCTTTCAGTGAATGATGAACGCGTGATCAGCACGTGTTAATAATAAGCAAAGCAAGACGAGAAGACAGAAAAAGGGAGAGAATGAAAGAGTGAAAGAAAGAAAAGAGCAAAAACCTTGTAGCAAACAACGTAGCGTGTTAATTGAAGCCAGGTAACTTGAGAAATGAAAAATTAATTTAATACACTCAACTGATTTTCTGATTTGATGATGCCAGGGAAGAGAGAAGGAAATGAGTAAACAAAAGAGGCCATGACGACAAGTGAGCAAACAGTGAGAGTTGTTGTTTTCTTGTAATTTCAAAACATCTCAAGGTTGAGGGATAATCCCGACGTCATAATAGTGACGTAGGGGATATCCCTTCTGATTAGAGGTGTAGTACAGGGTGGTGAAAAAGTTCCTAGTGTGGGAAAAGGCTTTCCCCTTGCGCACTAAACTCATTTTCCTCTTTAATGGTGAAACCATTCATCCAGATGTGCAGATTACATTTGAAATAACCGCCTACTGTAAGCACATTTCTATCCACTCTACGGTACACTGTACAGTTGCACCAATTAACTAACCTAATTGCCAATATTGGTTTTTTTATGGCAAAGAGGAAGCCTGGTCTCTGGATAAATGTGTATGTAGCGTAAAAACCACAATGATTGAAATTTGAGGACTCAAGCAAATTGTGATTAAAGGGGAAAAACGCTTAATGCACTAAAATTAGAGTCTGCAGCTAGCCAAGCATTTCGGATTATCCGTTGATCTTTTTAGAGCTGAGTCAATGTCTTTTTCAATGGCTTGATAGTTTTTATGAGATACATGAAGATGGCCGTTCTCCACTGATTAATCTGGTTTATGGTTGAAACGGAAATCGGAGTTTAGAGGTCACTATTCATTTAGTTTGTTAAACTTATAAGGAAAGGTAGATTAGCTGGAATGGTACGATCAGGATAGGAACTTATTAAAAAATTGAGATTTGTTCATCAGACGGCGAGTTCTGATGGAAGTTTAGATTTTGCATTTATTTTGTTCAAAGAAATGAAAGCATTTTTAGGTTAACAATAACTTCTGGGACAATGAATAGTATTTCAATGAATAGTAATTGAAACATTAACAATAATGTAAGATTCACTGAAAGTTTGACTTCTGTTACATTATGAAACTCTGTAGCGTGAGTATCCATAATAACTAAATTTTTAATTCACTTGAATTATATTCTTATATGCTATTCATTACCATGAAACATTGTTAATTTGATTCTGTATCTTTTCAAGCATTTAAATGCAAGATTCAAGACTTCATAAGAATTCATAATTTTATTAAGAAACCTCAATTGTTAGTTTCATCGGATAACAAAATGAATAGCTAAATGAATAAATGTGAATATCAGCTTAGCTGATAATTATGAAATAAATTTTCCTCTTATGTTATCATTGAGATGCACCAAACTGGAAATACATCATTTACACTAAAGTCTGACAGCGCAATTTCATGACAGCGTAAATGACTTCAATCCTGCTAATGGATAGGTCCAGTTTAATTTAAGAATCTTCATTTTATGTCTTTATTTTATAACTTTTTAATATTCACGTATTTTTGGTCAAATTTTATAAAGTCACATGAAATACTCAAAAATCATCGGGTAGTATTTCAAAGTGATACCTTTCAGAGCTGATGAAATAATGCACCCGTCAGCTATTGATGACAGCTAACTTCGTAAGGATACGGATTTAAGGATAAATCAGCCTTACTACATCCACATTACATCCAACACTAATCTAACAAGCTTGTAAGCTTCAAGATTACATTCAGTCAGAGTTGGTATTTTTTCGATTAGTTAAGGTGTGAAAATGTTTATTTCATTAACAACATTATTCGAAGGTGTGGATGATCTACTCTCCAAGATATGTGCAAACATTTTACAAATGACACAGCTTTCCGTTTCCGCGAAAAACCCGAGATAATTCCTTATCCAATTGTTATTCAAGTTTGCGTATCTGACGAGTCATTTATTGTCATTCATTGTATTAATAAATGAAATTAAAACTGATTACTTTGAAGTCTCGTTGTTTAAGTCAATACTCAGGCTCATAATCAAGTTTTAGTTTAATTAAGACTCAATTTGTTTGGTCATTTTATGCTAGGGTCAGGCAGGCTAGTAAATTAGAGTTTAGGTTGAATTGTTTTCGATGAGTTGCCTTAGATTGTGATGCTAATTAAAATTGGCAACCAAGGTAAAAACAATAACTAATTTGCATTTGCAATTTAATAACCAAATTTTGTTAAAAGGTTTAAAGCAGTAGAAAAATATTCAAATGCGATCATTTTTCGCGCCCTAACTGTTGTTTACCTTTATTTTGGAGTTCGTGTCGAAGCAAAGGTTCTCAATTATCAAAATAGTGATTTCATCTGTGATTATTTTTCTAACGTTTATTTATGATTAATAATGGTGATTTTAGCTTTCGAGGTATGTTTTATCCGATAATATTATGGTTAACACCATGGATCTTTGGTTTTATCAATAGTCCATTACAGTTGTTCTTGCAAGAGATCAAGCTGAATCCAAATCCAACTTTACCCTTTTTCTAGTCTTAATGTTTCAATTCATTCTACATTTTATATTTCTACGCACAGATAATCACCATTGGGCACCAATCTAGTCTTCAAGGATCATTGTTAACAACTACCATCAATTAAATAAAGGATGTGGATTGTAATTTATCGTGTGATGCAAGGTTATTGCGGAACTACTAATTCAACATTTATCTCTAATTGAATCACAATCATCCCGCCAAGTTAAAGGTCAATTCAGAAAATCATACTTAACATAACTGTGGTCATATGAGGTATGAGGTGATCATCAACTAAAATTGTAACAATAAAAGAAAGGAGACAATTATGGAGCGAATGGAGGTGTTACCTAGTTGGAATGATGATAGCTCTATTATAGCATCATATAACTCTATCAATAGTGATGAAGATTCTACATCGTGTGTAATTAACAAGATGCATCCGTCAGATAGCTCACCAACCAGTGGAACTGGTCTTACCGTAGGAATCAGAGGTTTAGAAGATAGGTCAAAAGTTGAGTTGTACAAAAAAAGGTTCATCATTTTGTTCCTATTCTGTCTCTATTCTGCTTCCAATGCATTCCAATGGTTACAATATACAATCATCACCCAAAAAATATCTACCTTTTATAAGGTTGATAATCTATCAGTTAACCTAACATCAATGCTCTACATGTTTGTTTTTGTACCTGGTACAATTCCTGCTTCCTGGTTACTTGATCGGAAAGGCTTACGCTTTACTGTTTTGATTGGGTCATTCTTTACTTTTGTGGGGGCCCTCGTAAAATGTGCAAGTGTCCAACCAGACAGATTTTGGGTCACAATGATTGGTCAAACCATTGTCGCAACCTGTAATCTGTTTGTAATAAATTTACCTCCTCGTATAGCTGCTGTTTGGTTCGGGGAACGTGAAGTGTCAACTGCTACATCGATTGGAGTCTTTGGTAATCAACTTGGTATTTGTGTTGGTTTTTTTCTACCTCCTTTGATTGTGCACTCTTCTAATATCGATGAAATTTCTAAACAACTCGCCTATGTCTTCTATGGAACTGCTGTTTTCACCGGTTTATTGTTTATAGCCATTGTGCTGTTTTTTGAAGATAAACCCAAAAAATCTCCCAGCAACAGTGCAGCTCGAGCTAATTTTTTACAAGAAGATTTGTATTTTCTGCAATCATTGAAAGCTCTTATCACAGATTTAAACATGGTAAAGCTAACTCTCAGCTATGGAATCAATGTTGGTATTTTTTATGCAATTTCAACTATTCTTGAACAAATGATCTCATCAGCCTTTCCTGGTCATGAATCTGATGCAGGCAACATAGGTGCTATTATTACAGTTGTCGGTACATTTGGTTCCATGATTAGCGGTTTCATCCTGGATAAAACACATCGATACAAGGAAACAATATTAGCTCTCTATTTATTTTCGTTCATTGGTTTGATTGGATTTACTGTGGTATTAAAATTCAATATTTTATATGTCTACATAATTTCAGCTCCTCTTGGTTTTTTCATGACTGGTTACCTTCCTATTGGTTTTGAATATGCAGCTGAGATCACCTATCCTCAACCAGAGGGAAATTCTGCTAGTCTACTCAATGCCTCAGCGCAGGTAAGTTATTTTTAGCATTTTCAAAGTCAACTTTTTACTAAACAATTTTTACCTCTTTCTTTTCCAGTTTTTTGGTATTATAATGATTTTTGGATCTACATTACTGGTTGACAGGCTTGGCCATTTAATTTGTAATATCATTCTATGTGCGATTCTATTTATTGGTCTTATTCTTACCTCTCTCACCAATGGTGAATTGAAAAGACGACAAGCAACTCTGAAGAGTCATGAATATATGAATTCTTAATCATTGGATGCTTGAAAAATTTGATTTGGACAATTGTTAAGGCACGCATTTGCCTTACCGTTCTGCAATCAGCTTTAGCTATCTATTTCTCATTTCATTTAAAATACGGTAACATGCTGTGTAGATTGTAAGGATCGTAACATTGGTAACAGATTATCAGCATCTGCTGTTCATCAAGGTCTAATTGAATGGTTTGATTATTGTTTGATTTTACCTGCCGAACAAAGTTATGTCATAAATTACTGTGTCTCTTTATGAACAAGTATCTCATTAATTCACCTTACCTGTTGTATGGTCACATTCAAAGCTGATTGCTTTTTTCTGATTATGAAACTCATGTCTTTCGAGATCTTCTGTGATCAAAGATACAAGCTCAACGATGCAGTTGATGATAAAGGTTACATCCGTGTTTAATGGCCTATCTTCAACTAATTGTAAAAGTCTCTTTAGAAACCAAATTTGCCGCATATCTTATGTCTTTCATTATAAATCATCTTAGCAATTGCGCCTTGAGGAATAATTATGCTACGTCATGTTCAACCAATGATTTTTTATTAACAGTCTCTCGACACGTTTTCACCGCCTGAATCACTACATTACCTAACTTAATGTTCATTTTATTGTAAAGGACAAAGTATAATTATTGCAAATCATATTGATTATATAAAACTATCAGATTATGATAAAAAAACTCGAGGTTAGTTTTAATTTGAAATAACTTTGTCGCATTTCAATCATAATTTACTTATTAAAATCATGTCTTCCAAACATTTAGAACTCTGATCTTACTTTCATTATTTTCTTGAACTGAATCTGCAAATCATGTGTTGGGGTTTACTTTAAACTTATTAATTAGCTAAGTTAATTGTACATTGAATTTAAATCAAATAAATATTTAATGCATGTTTAAATCAAAAATAGATCCCAAGTTTTCTGCTACGTGTATATAATCTTAATTAATAAAAGATGATTAATTCAAGAGCATCAAAGATTTGATTTTGATCTTTGATCAAAGCGTTTCATCTCTTGCTTTATTCATGAGGATTTCTAAAGAGTTGATAAGTAACGATTAGAGAGAATTAAGTAATCACAAGTCAATCGAAAGCATGGAGTGGTTTATCCTTTACCGAACTTTATCGTTTATCGATTGAGAAATATTGTCAGTCATGTAATTTTCAAGTTAATTGCTACTTTCTACATTGATGAGTATCACTTCTTGTATTCTCGTTGGCCAAAAATTGTGCTACCAACTCTCACATTGCTGCTTCCCATCAAAATCTGTAATTAGTAAAATGAAATTCCGGTCAGAAATTTGGATGGTTTTTCTTGTAATTATACTCACCGCAGTTTCAAAATCACTGGACATTCCCATACTCAGTTCAAATTTATCAGCATCAAAATCAAATTTTCGGCAAACTTCTTGTTTACACTTTTCTAATCGCTCAAAATCTGGATTCAAACCTTCTCCAAGACTATGATTGATTGAACCAATTGTCATCAGACCAACCAATTCGAGATGTGGACATTTAGAGATAATATGCTCCACTAAATTATTAACGTTTTCTGGTTCAATTCCAGCCTTGTCTGAAATGAAAAATTTAATTGTTTTAGTTTGCTGTTAATAAAAAATGAACTCTGCGATTGCATTACAGCTGACTTACTTGGTTCGTCACTAGTGTTAACTTGAACCATTACCGAAACCTTTTTGCCTGCGAAGTTACGCTCTAATGATCCATTTGCAAGATCGGCAACAACCTGACTATCAACTGTTTCCCAAATACTTAAGTTCCTTGTGGCTGGAGATAATTAATATGATTAATATAAAGGCAGCTTTGAATTCAATAATCGTATATATATACCAAGGAGTTTATTAATTTGCTTCTTCTGGACACGACCAATAAAATGCCATTTAATATCAGGACACTTCTCGATAACCTATAATGTTTCAACATATTAGTTAGATGTAATCAGGTTGAATTGATAACTGACTTACCTCTGGATCATGACTTTTTTCAGAAAGTTCATTAACCTAATTAAATAATCAAATGAAGAGAAAAGTTGGTTTGTTGAATGTTGGTTTAAGAGGGAGAGACACTACAGCTGTTAATGGTATAACTAACATAGTTTTCACCGAAATATCTAAGTCCACAGTTGTAAGCCTCAATTATGGCACTTTTAGGCTTGGTTTTGCTCACAGCGACCAGTCTGACATTGATATTTTTAAAAGCCTGTAATAATAGAAAATAGAAAAAAAATGATTTGAAAAAACATTGAATGAATACATTTGCACATATCAAACAGAAATTGAATTCACACCAAAAATATTCATTATATTTACCTCTTTTCGTTTGTCACAAGCTTGTTTGATCTTTGATAGAACTTGAGTCGCTGATAGAGATATTGGAATGTCACCCATTGCTCTAATCATCCGAAATACTGAAGAAAAACAATTAAAGAGGATCAGCAAATATTCAAGTTACACTGTTTGTTTATGTTTACACTTTCGAAGAAGGCTTTCCAGGTGATTGAAAGAAACAGGTTTTCAAATTATTTTCCCAATACTTTCAACTTTAATTTTGAAAAACTGACATTTAAGACAAAATTATTGAATTGCTGAGCGATATTAATTAATATTGTAAATAATATAATATTTAATTGCGATGATTTAATAGTTTAGATGAAGAAAAACAATTGAATTGAACCAGCTATAAAGCTTTATGGTTAAATCTAGAAGTAGAAACAATAACAATTGATTTACGCCGATTCTTCAAGGCTTTATCATTTTCTATGTCGATGAAACTTGAACTCATCTTGCTTTATCATCACAAGATCAAGAGAAAGTAATGTTTTTAAAGTATGTAATTATTGAATCAGATATTCGAGATCTCAGTTTCATACTTTGGATGTTTCAGCCGAACTTTAGAGGTTAATTATGGCCAGATTTTCACTACACGCGTTTCTATCAACAGAAAAATGCCAGTGTTATTAATTGATCAGAAAAGTTATCAACTGTGATAATAAAAATAATTGCTAACATTAAAAAAATTGTTTTACAGTCATTACAGATTCCTGTGTGTTTGAAGATTTAATCATCATTATTCAAAGTATTATTAATAATGAAGTTAAAGTAAGTTATTAAACATCTAACGCTATAAATACGGTTCAAACAGTTTGACAATCAACGGAAGGACTTTGAATCAGTTGATTTTTCGTGGGAAGTAAACTAGAGTTAAATCGTCTGCTCAGATTCAAGTAATTAGATCTGATAGCAAGATTAAATTAATTTTCAGTTGTCTTCTTATCTGGCGTTCAGAAATCTTTGTAAGAAGCTAATTATTCATTTTTCAAACATAAGCTTCTCTTTTTATTGATATCCTCGATATTTTAATAAGCATTATCATATTATAATCTGAGTATTAATATTTATCACTTTAATTGTCACAAGGCTTTAATTAACTATTGTATTATGCATTTGCTTAATAACTAATAAGCTTTTATTTATATACCGAAGGCTGTTCAATGTTGAATAATGATTAAATAAGAGCGAGCTTTGATGATACATTTTCATGGTGTGACAACATTTGAATCATTCTCAGTTGAATAATCCCGATAACTGAAAGATAATGATTCAAATTTAAATGACAATAAACAAAATCTGATCAAACTTAAACAGGTCTTTCATCGTTTAGATGAGAATAACAAAAAGAAACCTTTGGTTCAGAATAATTAAATTTGTTAATTTACTTCTGACAACGAGAGGTTGATAAATTGTTTAAATGGCTGTGTATACAGAATAGAATTTCATTTGAAAAGATTTAAGAGAGAAAAATAGAGAATGAGAAAAGGAAAGAGTAAAAGATTGATGAGAAAGAGAGGAAAACGAAAGGCTAGTAAAAATATTTACAAATAAATCAGCTGAATCAGAAGGATTGGAGCCGTATTTCACTTTTCCAGAATTATATATTTTTTAGAACCATCACAAATTGCATGTGTAATTAAAAACATCACAATGAGCTTCAGGAAACATGAAATTCTTTGGCCAATCCAATAATGTAACTGAGCTTGGAAATATTCGAATATTGGTACCATATTATGTTAAGATCTGAATGTGTGTTTGTCTCTGCAATGAAGATGTATGATAATTTTGTTATCAAAAACATTGTTAACACCAACATCTGGAAGATGAATGAGTCAACTTTAGCATTCAGCTTTCTTTGTTTAAACACACACAGCTACACGTAGCAGGTAACGTAGCATCAATAAGCTAATGATCAGAATTGTTGTTTGTTGAATTTCCATCAATATTGTATTGAATTTCTTTTCGTTTTTCACATATTTTTATCCATTTCTCTTTTTTTCCTGTGTGTTAACAGTAACAACAATTAAAATAATATTAATATAAAGGTATGCGTGAATATGGATGATTAGGGAGAGAGAGAGTGTCTTTTGTTTTCATCAACTTTTTCTTAGACCAACATTTTATAAAAATTAGATTGAAAATAAATTTTTTTGAAAATAATTTGGCAATAATTGGCTTTTGTGTCTTTTAGTCTTCCTTATTGTCCTTTCAAGTATTCCATTGCGCCCAACTTAAGCCCGAGAAATTTTTTGTCTGAGATGAGTTTTAAAGAGTTAATAGATTAAAACAGATATCATCTGAATAGATATGATTAGGCTTTTATATCCAATTTTATTGTTTCTTTGTATCTTTCTTGGATGTATCCTGCTTGACCGATCCATTTCTTTTGTTGGATTCGTTCTTCTTGCCTGAATCAATCTTCTTGGTGATTTCATTCTTTTTGCTTGAATCATTTTTCTTGTTAGAATCGTTTTTCTTTAGATCCGACTTTTTGCTAGATTCAACGGGTTTAACAGATTCACTGGTTACACCAGGCTCAGCTGCTTTGCCAGACTCAGCATTCTTGATTGATTCAATCTTTTTGTTTGAATCAGTCTTTTTACTTGAATCGCTCTTTTTGCTCGAATCACTCTTCTTGTTCGAATCGCTCTTTTTGTTTGAATCCTTCTTGTCAGATTCATCTTTTTCCTTTCGCTTTTGCTTACGAGCAACTGTATTAACGACTCTCCATTCACCGTCCTCGGTGTCATGAGCCATTTGTTGGTCAACTTCTTCTGGAACATCGTTCTCCTTCTGTTTTTCAACGGGACTCTTCTTGCTTTTCTTGGATGCTGTCTTCGATGCAGCCTTTTCTTTAGTTTCTTTTGATTTTTCCTTCGAGTTTGCTTTAGAGCTAACAGGACTTTCAGCATTGACAGCTAGGAAAGAAATGAAAAAAAGAGATTAAAAATTTAAATCTTTGGGTTAAATTACATTTATTTTAAATTGGTTCAATCTAAATCAATCAATTGAATAGTATATGATAATTAAGATTCCCACGTCGTCACCTATTCTAATCTAGATATTGGTTAGAGGATGATAACTCTCTTGATAATTTACCAACAATAAGTAGCGTGACACAATGTTGAATCAAACCGACCATCTAGAAGCAAACACTCATCATATAATAATCATTACATATTTAGTCAACATAAAATTACATGTATCAGCTAACTAAGCATTTGTAAGAAGCACGAATTGAGGAAAAAATGATCAAGATTGGTTTGTAAGAAGATAGAGAATTGATAAAAGGATAAAACATTAAGAAATAAAGCTATTTGAAAAAATTTCATCGTTTAGATATCACTTTTTAAGGTGAAAGCATTGATTATAAGATCAAGAGCTACTAACAGATGTCGAAGCAATCTGCAGCAATTTATCTCAAATGACAATCACTTATGATTTATCTAGAAAGTCCACGTATTCAGATGTTTCAAGAAAATTAGATAGATACTATTAACTGGCCACATACGAAATATTATCGACTGACAAACATTTACAATGTAAGATTGTAATATTCTCTGTTCATTGGAAAGTTATTACGTGAACATTGTATGAACTAAGGGCTGCAAATGTCTCAAAATTTGGTTCAAAAGAACCATAATTTTAAAAAATTAATTAGCTCTTTTGGAAACCTTTTAAATTGTCTGTTAAAACCAATCAATGCATGATGACTAAACAATCTAGTATTTGCAAGGTTGAAAGGTTGTTTGGGGATCGAGTCTCATTATCCAAACCAGAACTGTATCATTCAATTAGATAAAATAGTTAAACCAGTTTCATGGTTCGTTATAAGTCTTTAAATATTGTTCGTTGATGCACACTTACTCTTAACTTTCTTAGCAGCAACAGGAGTAGATGCAACAGGTGCCGTTACTTTACTGACGTGGGACACCTTACCATTGGCTTGAATTTTACTCGATTTACCAGGACTTGTACTGGTATTGCTGATCGCACTTGAGTTAGCATCTTTATCACGTTTCTTGTCTTTTTTAGCAACTACTGGTGTCTTCTTCTCCTTACCATTGGCAAATAATTGAATTGTTGGCGGAGTAGAGCTGGTTTTGGTGAATCCTAACAGGTAAACTGTTAAACCACTTATAAGCGCTCCAATTATGGGGAACAAGTAGGTTGGATTGAGATATAATTCAAAAAGATTGTCATTTGAAACTGTTGCCATCGATTTGATTTGAAGTTAATTTACTTTTGAAAGAATAGAATGAAAAAAATAAAAATAGAAATAGAAAGAGGTAGAGAAATTAAAGAAATCAAGATGAGAACAAGATTCGTAACGATGTGTAGAGAGGTAGAAATATCTTTGACGGAAAGTAAAGTAATGGAGTTGGGAAAAAATAGAAGAGATAATTAAATCAATTTGATTGAGAAAAAATTAAATAAATATGTAAAAAAAGGAAACAGTAAGCAAATGAAGAATAGTCAACGGGAATAGATGAAAGCAGTTTGTAAGGAATGTATCTGAGTAATCATCAATGTGAAAATAGTAGTTTTTACAGAATAAGTTACCAATGAAAAGAAGATCACAATTAACACAATTTAAAAAAATTATTTTACAAAAAACGGAATTAAACCGCAACAACAAAATGCCAACCCATCCATTAACGCTAACAGTTGCAGAAAGTGATCAGGTAAGAGAAATTTTTATCTTTCTTTTCAGTGATACAGATATTGGCTCAAGACTTGATACCGGTACCTGATATTAGTATCCAAAACAAAATTACGCCGGTTTTATAGAGATTTATTTTATAATTAATTAATAGATGTTTTTTTTGTTCCAAATTGATTAATTGATTACCAGTTCAATGTTGTAAATGTTAACAAACAGCCATACATCAATGAAACAATGTAATTATTATGTACAACATTGTTTATACGAGGTATTACCGTCATTGATTGTACAATGGTAAGTTTATTGTTGATTGCAAATGTCCAGCTTCGTTTTGTTATCACTGGTGGTTTTATTTAGTCTTATTTTAATGTTGCAAATCATGAGTTTTCATTTTCATGGTTTTGTCTTCATTTCATTGGTAGATTAACAGGAAAAGTTGAAAGGTTTATAATTTTATGCATTCTCTACTCATTATCTGGATCCTCCTATCGACTCTTGACTTCAAGTCAATCAGAGAATTATTATTAAAGATAAGAAAGAAAGAGAAGAGAAGTTGTCTTTCTCGACAGGTTTCATTTATTCTGACATTTGGAGTCGTCTACGTGGAAAAGCTTGTCTTATTGAATCAACGTTATAACAGCTTGTTACATGATTTCACAGACCTTACCCAATTTCAGGTGATTTTTTGGTGAGTTCTGTATTTCAAAACGCCAATCTTTCCAGCAATTCAACTTCCAATTAAACATTTATCATATTTCTAATATCATAATCAATTATTTATTTTCAACTCACAAGTCATTGACTAATGTTTCTTTGGATCTTGCTCAGATATTTAAGTTGATTTGTGTAACTAGCTTTTTAAATCTCTTAAAATTTTCGCTATTTGACTCCATTCGCTACATTTGAGAAGACTCTTCATCGTCAAAATCTGATCATTTATTCATAGATTTAAGATTTATAATTAGTGACTTTCAGTTATTAAATAAATAAAGTGTCAGAAATCAATAATCCTTTCTTCCAATTAGCGGACATTCTATACTTCATATGTAATCTAATATTTCACTAGACTAACGTTGTTTTCAAGTCTATTAGACAGATTGATGTTGAATTGATGAGTTTATCGATGACTTAGAATCAAAATTGTTTAATTAAAATAAATTGAAATTGTTAATCAGTTGGGAAATTTTTATTATCAATAAATTTAAAAATACCTTGATTCAACATGAATGCTACATTAACTATAACTCGAGTTTTTATTAAAATTGAAAACGATGAAAGTGAGATTTCTTTGCTAAAACTTTGGGCAAATATAAGGATAAAAATTATACGATATCCATGAAAATGAGGAGTTGTGACAGTAAAACTTATCGTGCCAATTAAAATGAGTTTGATTACCTTTTTTTTAAATTCATTTTTGGGAATTGCACATTTTCACAAAAAAAGCTAGATGAATTAATTTTAATTACTTTATCAACATCTATTTACATTCATATCGAGTCAAATTAAATGTTAATTTTTTAACAAGATGAATTTTTAGTTTATATCGTTTGTGTATGCAATTTATAAAAGGTAGTCAAAATCATTTTGGTTGACTGTGTGTATATTGTTGACACAATTTCGACAAAAATTTCAAATAAACTCTCTTAAGTAAAATAGCTATTTTCAATGTTTACAAAAGAAGAAAAGTCTAATTAGTAAGAAGATAATTGTTGAAGGATTTGAAAACAACAGAGAAAGTATGATAAAGATAATTTAAGAAAGTGTCTTTAAGAAGTGTAGATTTGATCATTTGATTGTTGCTCTGCTCTCACCAAAACAATACAAAAAAATGCTGTAGACGAAGAAATTATTTTTCGGCTGTTTACTTTTGAAGGAAACCTCGTGTAGGTTGCTTTTGAATTGTTAATTGTAGTCATTTGCCTTTGGAAATTAATGTTTAAGTCTATTAACATTTTCACTTATCATCAGCTATCTCGTTGAACAAATCACATTTCTTTCTAGTCAATGGTTAGTTAAATAAACAAAGTAAGTTGGGGTTGGTTCATCATCGAATCAACGACGTCTATTCGTAAATCGCTTATTAGCTGCAAGTTCTGGAAACTCTAAGCTCTCGTACTGGTATGAATCATCGTTAACCAGCTGTGTATTTCGTGAATTGCCAAAGCGGGTGTTTGCTTGTCGATTGCCATTTCCTGAATGAGCAAATGAACGGTGATTAAAATTAGATGGAGAGTTTTGTTTTGGGGTTTGATGAGGATGATGGTTGTTATTATTATTGGAAGGTGGATGCCATAATTGGGGATGTTGATGAGAGTTCAGTAACCCAGGAGTTCGGTCATTTCGATGTGACCTAATGGATGAAGATGGTGCTTCTTGCGGTGAGGATGGGTTTGAAAAATTTCTGTTTTGTTGGTTGATAGAAAGTCGTTTATATTGATTTTGCACGTTACCGAGTAGGGACTTTTTATTGTATCGAGGAGAAGAATATAGATCCGAGTCGTTACCAAAATCATTCGATTCAATGCCTTTACGGTTGCGATTACCTTTAGGTGAATTTTTAACGTTACTCTTAGATTTATCATAATCATCTCTATTCTTCCCTCTATTTTGTGGCATTTCAGGGCAATTACTTTTTTGGTGTCCAATTCGATTGCAATAGTGGCAACCACGTCCTTTTGGGAAAGCGCCGTCAGTTAAACATTGAGAATCGAAGAAATAATCATACCATGAATTATACTTTTTTAAATTCTCCGGCTGGTTACCGATTCGGTTTCTACCTAAAACAATTGATGCTTTGATGTAACGAGCCATTTCAGGCTCGATGCCTTGTCCGAGATTGTGAGAAAGTAAGAATGGATCTGACAAAGAAGAAGATCAAATGAAGATGGAAATTCAACTCGTTGAAATTGGTGACTAATGAGAGACATTTGTTTTGATAATTACCTTCAATTGCAATGCGCCTTCCAGTCCATTTCTTTTCCATTTTGGTTAAATCACGTGAGCGTCTAATACAAACCACTAGCGTATCAAACGGAAAAATTTCTGCATAAAATTTTGTGAAACCATAAAATAAGTTACCAACACTGAGAGTATTGGCACCAAAATGAATCCACTTTTCTTGCAGGCGGTCCAAGTCCTCGAAAAACCATGTGTTGTAGCCATCGACTATCCGTTCAGGAGGTCGATCACCATCGTAAAGTTCCTGCAAAATTGGTATTACTGGTGGACTACATCTTTGGAGATAATACAGCGTCATCAGAGTGTAAGCGTAAGAAGACAGACTCCCTTTTGAAGCATCACAAATACCACATTGCTATTTAAATATGAGGGATAATTAGAGTACTATAAAAAGAAGGATCAAAATAGCAAAAGATAACAAACCTTAAAAAATTGTTTAACTGTGAAACCGAGCATTGCAACACGTTCGTCTATTTGGCAATAGGTTCGAAGTAATCTTGTATTGTGACTCGCCAATAGGTTATACAAACTAATGTCACAGTCAAAAGATTCGTTAAATTCTTGCAAAAGAAATCGTAGTTTAAGTACTGGTACTTTGGCTTGAGGAATCGGCTGTAGATTGGAAATAGATTTTCGAAATTTACGAAGATCTTTTGCAAGGGTCGAAATGACGGCTGTCTGGTCAACGTCTTTACCGGTCTCATTATCCTCAAAAGTCATGCATAAATCAAGGTCACACTTTTTTGCACCAAATCCATTTTTGGAAGAACCGAAAAGTTGTAAATTAGCATTTGGGTAGGACATACGAACCACTTCAGTCAATTTCAAGAGCACAGTTTGATGAAGCTTCTCGTATCTATCATCCAATCTGTTTGAATAGTACAATTGGCGACAAACTTCATCCAAGCGAACTGATCTATCCAGAGTTAACATGTTAGGCACAGCTAACAAGTCAGGTAATTTTTCGGATGTACATTCACTTTTGTAATGATCAATACGCTTACATTTTATACAATATCTGGGAGGTTCTTTAAAGAACGGATATCTGTTGATTTCCAAAGAATAATAAAAATCTTGTGGTTTCAAATTAGCCCAACGTTTATGAACATCGGGTCTTAAGCGGAAAGAAATTCCAAATTTTTTGCTCAATTTAACATGGTAATTAAAGTTGAGTTCACTTTTACCCATTCGCGTAGAGCCTCGAGGTTCTTCAACGTCATTGTCGTCATCATCCTTATCTTCTTCATCACTATCTTCTGCATTAATTTGCGTCTTGAAGGTTGGTGAAGTCTGCTCCAAAATAAAATCATCTAGGTTATTGAGAAGACATTTAGTATGATTTCGTGGTGCCATAAAAAAGCTATATGTTCTAACTAAATTATGATGATAATTGAAATAAAGGTCTTTGCGTCCAATACTACGACTTAAATTGTGAGCGGAATGAACTGGGTCCTCTACTGCTAAAATACAAGTTGACCATTCTTTAGAGGACAAGGTTAGTTTAAGGCCCCTCAAATTAACCACGTTGTTTTCACTACAAAAGTCTTTAGCGTAATAAGCTAAGAGCTCAATCCAAAGTTCACCAAGGCTTTTCCTATTATCAGATACCCAAGTTTGTTTCAATTCTTTGTAAACATCGTCTATTTCTTTTTTAGATGGTGTTGAGCCATCGGCGGGATAAAAACTAGGCAAAACTGGCGGAGATGTTGACTGTAAAAAGTGGACAGTCATTATGTGAAAAGCATGGGATGGCCAAAACCCATGATCAGGTCGGTCAAACCCACAATTTTGTGCCCAGATTTTAAAGCAGGCAGCAAGTTTTGTCACTCTTGAGTCAAGTGAAGCATATTTCGCTAAAATTTCGGCAACTTCATACGAAGAGCTCGAGTAAACACCAAAATGAATTGTTGGTAATTCATTACCAAACTGAGGTGAGTTGAGTTTAAACGAAAACCTTGGGCTGGATATGTCAAATTCTTTGTGAAGATCTAAATAGGTATCAGGATCAAGCTCCATTTGCATTGCGACCTGTTGAAGAACTTGTGAAGGATTACATTCATCTTCATTATCCAGCATCAATTCGACGTTAACATCAGATGTATCCAAAGCAAACCCTGAGACGGTTGATCCATAAGGTCGAAGATGAACTTCTATCCGATGAAACCAAGATTGTATAATTCTTTCAATCTCAGTGACAGCTCTTAACCTCAATGCCAATCCTTGTGGTGTCAGTAAACGAGTAGCATACTTCTCGACCATAGCATTGATAGCAATAAGCTGAGCCTGACCTGGCTTGGGTAAACTGAAGCTTACAATATCTTCTTTGAAAGCAAAAAACTTGTGCTTATGTTTTCGATCATTGAAAAGATGGCTGCTCAATACCCCAGAATGTATTTTTACACGGCACAATTCACATCTAAAAAATGAGGGCTTGTCCAAACGGTTGATACAATTTTGCATACACTCTTTGAGGAGATTAATTTCGATTGTTCCTTCCATTTTGAAGAAAACACTTTAGTGACCAAGATTGATAGAATAAATTGAGACAAATCACATTAATTACAATCTACTAAACCATGAAAGAATGGTTAATCAGTTGGAAATTGTTAAAATCTAGAGTAGCGTCTCCACTAAATATACACTTTTACACAGATTTTATTATACTTTTCACAATTCTAAACAAATATCGATACTCTAGACAGAATGAATGTATCGATACTCCGAGCACAAGATTTTGAAAGACAGCTTCAAAGCCTAGCCTAGGCTTAAAGTCTGACTCAGACTGCCTGAGCCAAAGCTGAACAAGCTAGCTACATCTAGTGACAAGAGTTTTCGCCACGAGTTTTATAGCAATTATTTAGACTAGACTCTTAATGAAATTGAAGATTGCTAATTGTAATTTTTTTAATCTGAAGTTATTCAAATTGTACTGCGAAAATCCAAGTTTGAACCATAATTGGCTTCTAAAAATTATCTGTATAATAAGTTCACCTTTGTGGCATGCTGGTGTAATTATTTTCATGAAAAGATGTAAAAAGCTGAAGTATAAAAGACTTCTTACTTTGTAACATTAAATTAACCATTCATTTGATATTGCTTAATTGTTTTGAATTTTTTTCATATCTTCAGATCAACATTAGACATAACATACGATGTAATTTGATCCAAGAATGGTTCAATCAATTTCAAGGATTTAATCCGATCCAAGCAAAAGGTTAGCTTCAACTTGATTCATCATATTTATAAATTATAATTTCATGATTAACCTTTTTGTGATCTTTTGACACTTGAGCTTCACCGTCAGTTGATAATGAACTTGGACTCTGTTTCCCAGACCGTTCAATGTACTCAGAAGCAGTCGTATTTCAGACTCGATCAAAATATACGATTTAATCTCTATTAATGAGTTTAATTAACCTTCTATCAGTAATTAATGTTAACTTTGATAAAGGCCAATGTCAATTTATCAAGTTGAAAGAAAGTGGGAAATAAATTGATAATTACATTGAAAATGAAAATGATGTTCATTGAAGCAATCATTAATTACCCGTTTCAACTGATAGTTGATTGAGAATTTCAACCGTCCGGATTTAATAGTCAAAACTATTTGAACTAATCCATTTCGATACAGATTAAAACAATTAAACTGATAATAAAATGGATCAGCAATTGGTGTAAAGCAAGAAATGAGATTTTCAATGGTTTGTTGCTAGCAAGTTGAGATTACAATAAACTATTGACCAATTAGCTGATTGATATTTTTCAATATTGATAACTTTTAACCTTAATCACGATGGTATATGGGCTTAACCTTGATTGTTGATTAGGAAGTCGATGATGACAAAATGTAATTGTTATCAATTTTAATCAATGTAACCTTGATTGAAAAAATTGAAAGTAAACACGACAATTAACCTAACAGTTGGTCATGAAAAAATGTGTCTATAAGTGAATTTGAATAATAATTTGAATATACTCACAGTCAATCCAGGTTCTTACATGTTCACAATCATTAACAAGTGAATCTAATTCAATTATTTCATTTGTCCAAATAGTCAACATTGATAAGTTGAAGAAATTACCTTTTCAGTGAAAATCAACTAATCAGTGGAATCAATTGATTCAAATTACGTTTGTCTAAAAAACTGGTTTCCATATTTAAAACATTAACCGATGTGAATTTCATCTTAACCATTTCTGTAAAACTGACAATTCAACTGAAATTTTGTCATCTCTGACTTTATTTGTTTGGCTTCCAAAAGGATTATTTCACGTTAAAAGATGGCCACTCTGACTCGAATGATGGTCATTTTGACCTGGATCACAATTGAGGTAAGATTTGTAATTTTGTTTATCATTTTGCTAATGCTTTCCAATCAAGCTTATTATCGAGTTACTTCATAGACTTACATGAGAGTCACGCTTAAGACCAATTTGAATGAAATATTTGTCTCATCTGCAAGAATCCAGAGATTCTTTGCAAAAATTTTTCCTCTTTTCAAAGAAATTGAATCCTGATCTTTTGATCCTAATTTTCTTAAATTTTAATTCTTTGATGATCGTCCTTGGCTAACTGATTTAGATTTGTAGATTAAGATTATTAACATCAAAGCTTCAATCGTTTACTTCGCTTTCACTTCGAGTATGGGATGAGTTAATGGTTTATTCCGAGCCTCGATTGATAAGTGAAAGGATAACATTTACAGTGGAAACTATTGAACCGTTTGATACACAATGTGTGCTTTTAATTCATTAAAACCGTTGGTTGATGGATTGGATTATAATTAGTTTATATTTAATTAGATTTGCTGGTTTACGTAGTCTATTAAGTTTAACATCAAAACCTTTGAGTGTTAATTTGAATCAATTTGTCTATCAAGCTTTACAATGACAAGCTTGTTAATAAATGGTATATCAATTTATTTTGCCTTTTAATAGCAATGCTAAGTTTTATACTGATCTCTGTATCAACATTTTAACACATTTTAATGAAACAATTTTGTTTTGAGCGCCATTCAATTATCTTATCTCATACCAGGTGAGTAAGGCGCGATTAAGTTGCCTTATGAAAATCAAGCAATGTTTAGATTACAATACTCATCAATTGTTTATTATTAATATTTAACTCTTAAACTTTTTATTGATATCGTCGCATGTTTCGTCACCAAATGTAATTAGGAACCGTCCATGTTATTCATGACTCGTTAATCTTGTTTAAAGCAAAAAATTTCCTATTTAAAATGTTTCGATCATTTTGGTATAATTTCTATGCAAAATATCAACAATTTAACCAATTTACAACTTATTTGAAGGTAGAGTTAAATAATCAAGTGAAATAGATGAAAGTGAAGTGCCACCCCAATGAAGATTGATCGAGTATGTTCCTTTCGATCAAAAGGCATTATGAGATTGCTCACCATCATATCTTACCAGATCATCATCATCTGATTCTTGATGATGCTCCATGCAACAAAATCGGAATAAATGTATGGGTTATGGAGTTTAACATTTTTAATTTAGACTAAATTTTGCCATCTCATCATCATGCCGTCAATTGTTGCTATCCTACACTCATTATCATGCAATCAATATCTCTTGGCAACTAGATCTGGGATTATTTTTGTGCTATAAACAAGTTGATCATTCTCTAGACTTTGGATTTTTGTCAAAAAAACCCGTCAAGATAAAATCTTTTGATTTTGTGGATTTTTATTTGAATTTGATTTATCTTATTTCAGAGTTTTTTGGCTTTCGGACAAGCAGACCATTCTCGCTTGATAAAACCTGGTGATTGGAGTAGACACGATAACAGTCTTATATCGAATTTGAATTCATTCTCCAGTCAATTGGGTTTGGTTGGGCGTGTTATTAGTCCATTGAAACCTAGTCTAGACTCTAATCCAATTGTATTGCTAAGTGACAGTGATTGTGAAAATGAATCCACACGCAATTACGATGAAAGTTCTAGTCTTTTAAATATTCTCTCAACATTACAGAAAAGATCACAAGGAAATTTGTTTGCCTCCAGTCAATCTAACCCCATTTTTGTCAATCTAATTTCACCGAGTGACAAAGTAAATTCAAACATCCCGTCAAATATAAGAAACATGGCTGTCAGTAGAAAGTCAACTAGAAGTATACCTGATGAGTGTCCCAATTCAGTTACCAAAAATACAATTGAAAAACAAGTTACTAAATCAGTTCGTGTTGATGGACGATATAAAAATCCATGGGATACTTGGAACGAAAATGCTTTTCGGGTAACGAGTTTAATGAGATTCGGTTTCAGTCGAGATAATAGTAATGTTCCCAATCAAAAAGTAAGTTCAAGACCTGAGTACATTAGAATGGTTTAACAGCTGATTTCTTTTACTTTGCTCAGGAACTGGATAAACTTTTGCCAATAGAGAAGCCAGTGTTTCAAGATGAGAATTCAAATAATAATGGCGTTCGAATAACTTGGATTGGACATTCAACTATTGTAGCTCAATTTGATAATTTTAATGTAATCACCGACCCAATTTTCAGTTCAAGAGCAAGTCCAAGCCAGTTTTTCGGTCCTAAACGTTATCGCAATCCGCCATGTACAATCAATGATTTGCCTGCAACATTAAATGCCGTAGTTATTTCACACAATCATTATGATCATTTAGATGTTGCCAGTGTCACAAGTTTAAATGAAAGGTATGGAACCTCGTTATCATGGTATGTTCCCATGGGCCTTAAAAGTTGGTTCAATTCAATTGGGATTAAACATGCAGTTGAAATGGATTGGTGGGATGAGATTTGTTACAATGGATCTATAACAATAGCATTCACTCCAGCTCAGCATTGGAGTAAACGAGGCATCAGTGATGATTTTCTCAGTCTTTGGGGATCCTGGACATTTGTCGGACCCACTCAGAGATTTTTCTTTACTGGTGACACTGGCTATTGTCCAGCTTTTAAAGAAATAGGTGCAGTTTATGGACCTTTTACCGTTGCAGCAATACCAATTGGTGCTTATGAACCGAGATGGTTCATGAAACCTCAACATGTTGATCCTGAAGAGGCTGTTTTAATCCATCAAGATTTGAAAGCTCGTGCTTCAGTTGCTATTCATTGGGGTACCTTTGCACTTGCTAATGAGGTAAACCTATGAATAATAATGATTTAAGTTATCAATTATTATTAGCTTAAAAATAGTTCCCTGTTACCTGACATTTTGATTTTCATCTAATTTTCTTTTTCTCTTACAGTTCTTTTTAGATCCACCTCTAAAGCTCAAATCCACCTTGGAAAAACTCAATCTATCTGGCTCTGAATTTATCACACTTAAACATGGTGAAAGCAAAGTTTTCCCATTAGGCTAGTATTTTTACCTCATCATGATGCAAGAAATGCTAAAATGTCATTTGTTTGCTTTTAAAGTATTTTGATCTCGTCTGATTACCTCATGAAATATGATTGACTCTATCGAATTATCGAATAAATTCAAAATCTTTCTAGATTTATGTACAATTGTTTAGAAAGTTGACTACAAACAGAACCCACCTGTAAAAAGGTGACAAAATGAAAATGCACTTATTTTACTATCACTACATTTAATCTTGAATAAAATCTTGTCAATATATTGATTATCTCATTACTTTACTACTCATAATTTTGAGGTTAATATTGTTTGTCATTTTTTTATTATGAATAAGATTGGCATTAAATTTTAGATTGAATAAGAGTTGCTAAGGAAATCTTTAATATTAAAGTAGTTTCATGATCATCTATAATTACGAGAAACGAATGAATATTTGAATTGAGACAATTTTCTAGATTATTAATTGAATGAAGTAATTAATCGATAATGATCGAAAACTCGACAAACTAATATTAGTATAAGTTTAGCGTATAAACTTTTGTGTCAATCAGTTTATTATATTCATATTATCCTTGGTTGGTCCAAATTGACATTAATTTTTCTTTTTTTAATTTCGTACAGATCCAAAGGAAGCTGAACAAGCATCAAATCGATTTCCACTTTCCATGATTGCTTACTTACAAGTCCAAGCTAATTCCGTTTTCAATTCAACTTTCATCAACACATTTCTCAATTATGTCACCAATTTTCTTTCATGATTTACACTAACAATATATAATTGTAAGAATCTGAATCTCTGGAATTATTTTCGCAATTGGTTAAGTGAACAATGTTTACAAACTCTGAACTTTTTATATTGATTGTTGTTATAACATTCAATTTGATCTGAAATTGTATTATATAATTTAAAAATGCTTATTATACTGTAAAAATTAACCATAAACAGATTGACCAACTAATTTAAAGTGATCATAAATGGACAATATAACATTTACGAATAAAATCTATTTAAATATTGACATTTCTCATATTTCAATTGACGAATGTAGAAGTGAAATTAATTTCAACAGTTAATTTTAATGTAGAGCAGCTTAAACATGATTTTATTGGTCTTAAAAGAGTAGCATAAAGGTGCTACCTGAGTCACGAGGATTAAGAATGGGATATACATGAGAGATGACTTGTAAGAGAGCTGAAAATAGGTCCAGAATGATGTGTGGAAGGGAATTCAGGATTAAACGTAATAAACAGAGGCTGCAATTGGAGATGAAGATGCTCGAAGGAAAAAGAAGTTCTACTTTTTTGGTCGCAAGTGATTTCTTAGTTTGAATACGATTTCGTATTAGAAATTACACATTTTTTAAGCGATAGGTCGATTTTGATTTTTACATCGATTCAATTCGTTTTTAGCTGAAATCAAGCAAGTGTAAAAAATTATCAGCTGAAGTGAGCTCGACAATTTGTGCTGATTTGAGATCTCATGATCACGAGCTATTTTATCATACTTGTTTCATTAAAAATCAAAAAAAAGAAATGAAAACATTTCATTAAGCATAAAAGGTGATGACGCAAAATAATTAATAAAATTAGATAAAACAATTAAAACGTGCAAAATCGATGTTGTAAAATTTGGAAACTGACCATCACTCTTTTTCACGCATAAGTTATTTTCGAATGAGAGAAATCTATTAAACAAATTATCAGATTTTAGGGGATGTTAAGGGATAGAAGTGGTACAGTCTAAAGGATGAAGTAAGAAGAGTTGGCAGATGATTTAATTCGGTAGACCGGTCAAACCACAGCGCCTTTTAATGCGACATCTATCCCTTAGTCGAGCCGTTTTCAGCAGGTACTGAAAGAGTTGGTGTGTCAGATGATAGAGGTTGAGCAACGGAGTCTGAGTTTGTTGGAACAGGTGGTGCAACTTGTTTAGGAGCTGAAGTTTTCACGCTAGAAGGTGAAACACTCAATTCAGTTGCTGGTGAAGAATTTTGTTTGGAATTTGTCGTTAAGGTTGGAGTTGTTGGTGGATTTGTTGCAATCGGTGCAGTAATCGGAGGAGTTGGTGCTGTCGAGTTTGAAATAACTGTTGTAGCTGTTGAATTTACCGAGGTGACAACAGAAGTTGTTGCCACAGTAGTTTTAGGAGAAGAATTTTTTACGTTGGAAGTTGGAGAAGCACTCAGCTCAGTTGTTGGAGTAGAAACTTGTTTTGAATTTGTCGTGGAGGTTTGATTTGTTGTAGTCGATACAATGACTGGAGAAGTTGAAGCTGTAGAGTTTGAAAGAACTGTTGTAGCTGCAGTAGTTATTGTAGTTATTGTAGTGACATTAGAAGTTGTAGCTACAGTAATTTTAGGAGGTGAAGTTTTCACCACAGAAGGTGGAGAAATGTTAACTTCAGTTGAAGGAGCAGAGATTTGTTTTGAATTTGTTGTAGAAGTTAGATTTGTTGCAGCAATTGGAGTTGTTGAGTTAGATAAAACTGGCGTAACTGCTGAAATTACTTGAGTGACATTAGATGAAGTAGTTACAATTTTAGAAGGTGAAGTAACAGCAACAGTTGTGCTTGTTGTCGTAGATGGAGTTGAACTGTTCGTAGTAACGGGAGCTGATGAAGAAGGAGGCGGTGGAGGTACCGGTGCTGGTGTTGGTGTTGGTGGTAGGGGTGAATTTTTATTCAAGAAGTCCAGTCTTTTTTGGATAATAGAGACAATCTCAGGAGTACAGTATTTGATCACAAAGTTGATACAAGTTTCAGTTTTAATATTGTCCAGAGGAACATTTATTCTAACGTCAGCTTGAAGCGTGTTGACCATGAAATCAATCAAATTTACTTCTTGTTCATCTTTATCAAGAGATTTGTAATTCAGTAATACTGATGCTAATGGGACTTCTCCCGATCGATTCTGAACTTTCATCATGTTTGTGAGTCGTCTAATAGCATCTTCATTGTTTTTCAGACTTGGCAATAACTGTGAGCACCTTTTGGGTGTATGTCTGACTATAAGATGCAATAATGTATTGTCATCTTCATTGATACTTTCACTAAGCTTGCAATCACTTTTGATGAGAGCCTCGATCAAATCAAAATAACCGTATTTAGCTGCTTTATGGAAACACGTTTCTTTGAGATTATTACAAGCAGCATAATCACATTTGTTGTCCCGTAATAATTTAATTGTCTGTGTTAAATAATTCAAGAGCCTTTCTTTTCTCTGTGAACGAAATCATGAAAAAGTGGTTGAGTGAAAAAATGAACAATAATTGATATCTATATAACATACCTTAAATCGATTGATCTTGCGATGGTTGAATTCTTGTTTTTTTATGGCAACTTCTTCATCCTCTGAACAAAAGTCATCTCCTTCCTATATAATTTAAAATCCCTAATAATATATTTTGCCTAAATTCTGGATAAGTAAAAAATATAACAACTAAAGCATAAATACTCAATAAAATTTATTTTTTTGTTGACTTTAATGACTCCTTAAGTGAAGAAAAAACGGAATTTAAATATTTGAAAACACAGTGGCTACAAACTAAATTGCAAAAAGTACATGCTAACATATTAGTCTCATTCATTTACGAGATGAGATAAGAGTCAATAGCCAAAAAACCTTGAAGAGAGCCACGGGGAGTCTATCTCCATCATAAATTGAGTGCAAATTCTAAGTGACCAGAGGCTGGATTTACAAGATGGAGTCTTTACTTTCTATTGGACTTCTATTTCTTGTTTTCAAACCTAGTTTTCATTAAATGTCTAGTCTGTCAGCAGTAATCTTGAGGTTTTTTGGAATTTCAATAATTTGACATACTAATTGTGGCATTCATTGAATATGGAAAAGTTACACCAAGAAAATTTCACACTAAAAAAGAGTTGTGAATAGTTAATAATTACCTCATCATTATTTGCAGGATCCGGTTCATCAACAAGGTATTCGCCATAGTCAGCAAGGTAATGGAACTATTAAAAGAAGAATTTGATAGTAAAGACCTCATGCTAAGAATAATCAATTGTCTGAAGTATACTCACGGCATTATTTCCTTCTCTATCCGATTGTGTAAAATCAACTTTATGGTTTGCAAGGAACATAATCCTATCAATCATTGATTTTCCTGGTCTTGATTTGATTGTCTCCATCAATAAAGTTTGACCTGCGAAAATTCACGTAGGATGATGATTAAATGTTATCGATAATGTTTTTGCAACACTTACCACTACTGTCCAAAACTTGTGAATCCAATGTAACACCTGCATTGGCTAACATTTCTACCAGGCCAAGGTGACCTTTAATATATCCAATCATAAGGGGTGTGATATTGCAAACATTTGGTTCGTTAATTTTGGCGCCTGCATCGATGAGCAGTTTCAGGGTGAAATACCATCCGTATGCAACAGCGAAATGAACAGCTGTATTACCGAAGCTTTCTTTTGTATTCGGATTAGCACCGAGTCTTAAGAGGAATGAAACGACATGTGAATGGCCATTTATAATAGCGTGCAATAGAGCAGTACGATCTCTTCTATCAAGTGCCTCAACATCAACACCTTTTTCCACCAGCATTTTTACAACACCAAGATGACCATTTTGAGACGCAATCATTAATGGGGTTAATTTATCATTGCCAGTAAGAGTAACCTTTTCAGGGTCAGCACCACTTTCGAGTAAAATTTTGACATTTTCTTCTTTTCCTTTTTCACAAGCAATATGAAGTGGAGTCAAACCTTCCTTATTCTGCCTCTCGATACAACTATGTTTATCTCCACTGTTATTTGCTTCATGAGACAGAATTAATTCAACATTGTGAACTCTTCCAGCCAGGCAAGCCAAGTGAAGAGGAGTATTGCCTTCTTTGTCTTTAACCAAAGTCGGTATTCCTTTGGAGATTAAGTATTTAAGTGGTCCTCTGGATTCACAGACTGCCGCATAGTGTATTGGATGCCAACCTTCGGTATCTTGCACTGAGTAGCTATCGCTATGAGATTCCAAAAGCGTTGAGATATAGTATTCATCAGGATTAATAGCTGCGCAATGAATTGGAGTTATATTGCAATTGCTGATACTTCTACTAGAGACTAGAGACGGTTTAGCGATCGAGAAAAGTTCTTTCTCTTGAAGAGCTTCTTTGTGTAAAGTATGAAAGCCGAATCCACCTTTTCGGATTGCTATTTGGACAAGATGATGGGCAATTTCTCGATGACCATACTTGACAGCAGATGAGATATTGTTAAGAAAGAGTGTCAGTATATTTGATGACTTATCGCATTCTAAAGAACAAAATTTATCTATGGTCTCAACAGAGATACCGAACTTAAGTGCTTCTTTGATGATTTCGCTGTTTAAATATGTTCGCTGACGAAGACATCGATAATCATAGTTATGAGATAAATCTTGCAATAACACTTCCATAGCTTCGGGTGTAGAATTGGCTTGACCTAATATCAGGATATTTTGTTTTTTACCCGGACTCCGAGTAATAAGAACGTCAGGGAATGACACAAGACGAGCCAAATACTTTTTATCCATAAGCATTTTTATGGCAGACAAATCTTCTTTTTGTATGGCATATGATAGAGCATCTCTCCTAATATTGAGACTTCTTGGCACACAGAATGAACAAACTTTTCCTTCAACAACCATTTTGTCAATCAGTTCATAATCTTTACGATTAACAGCTCTAATCAACAATTTACTATCAACTAGACTTGAAACCTCAGGAATTTCATCTCGAGATTCGAATGTTAGTTCACGCTCCATCTCAGGGACTTTGAGGTTAGGAGTTAGCGAGATTCTAATCTTAGGACGTTTAGCTTCGTGAGCGTTCATATTGACTATTCTCATGCTTGTTGGTTGTCTTACTTTTTCTGAGTGGTTTGATCTGTCGACGTGCGATCTTGAACTACGCACTTCACTTTTGACGGTTTCTTTGCTTGAAGATTGGTCATTATTACTCGAACGTCTTTTTCGAATAGATGGTGTTGATTTAATAGCTGATGTTGATGGAGTCGGAGTTGGTGGAGGCTTTTTCTCTTCTTTTACACTTCGGCTACTAGAGCGAGTACTTCTGCGATCCTCTGAAGCAGGTGTTTCAGGAGCAGGATTTGATGCTCTGCGTTCACGTTTAACAGAGGTTGATGGCGTAGCTTTATGATTAGTTTCAGTCGATCTGCGCCGCTCTCTTAGACTGACATCTCTTTCACCATTGGTACTGGATCTTTTAGAACGAGCAGAGCAAACCTTGGCAGGTTTCTCTTTGGCTATTTTAATTGTTGGTTTTGGACTTATTTTGTTAAGTTCTTCTTCTTCTTCTCTACCGACTATACTGACATCTACTCCATCGCTGACTACTTTGCGCGGATCAGGGACTTCGGTTAAACCTTTTTGAACATTTATTGCTCTTTCAAGAATGTTCATAGTTCGTTTCCTTTCATCAGCAGGCAGCTGATATCTTGTTTTGTCTTTACGGTTCATCTTGAGATTGGTAAGAACACATTCAAAATCAGTTGTGTCATAGAAATCGGGGGTGTAAATACCAGGCTCTTTTTCATCATTTAACCATTGAATTTTGAATTTACGGCTGCTTTTGTAAACGTTTTGAGCAGTTCGACACACAAAAAATGTACCTTCCTCATTACGAACAGCAAGAAAATCCCCTTTACTGAACACAACTATTTTATCGTCATTGCTTTTAGAAATTGAGCAAGGTTTGGTTGGTGGCTTGTAAAGAGCTGGAGCCAAAACCGCTAAAGCTTCGGGAGATTGGAATGGTTGATATTGTGATCGAACCCTCTTACTTGTTCTAGGTTCTCCGTCAGTTTCCTCTTCATCAGTGGAGCTGCTTGAACTACCTTTCTTTGTTTCTGCTTTCCGTAACACTCCATAGCGTCCTTTCCACAACGCTTTTGTACCTTCCGTCATTTTGGCTAAAGGTAAATAAGTATAAAAAATTACAGTTAGAAGCAATAGACAACCCAAGGAAAGGATTCAAATAAATGAGTATTTAACTCAAGTATTCTGTCAAAACAAGGCTACATATTAAACATGAATAAAAAGATCAACTTGAGCATGACTTGAATAGTCGAATTGACTAAATCTTGGTGATATCAAAGAGCAAAATTACCAATTGAATCACAACTAGTCAAGGTACAGTTTTGTTGGTCAAAATGAAATAAAACTGTACACAAAGAGTGACCGCTCAAAAGATCGTTTTCCTTTTCCGTTGAAATCAGTTGCCCACAAGAGAGACCAATCTAGTCAGCTCAAAAAGCTATGAGAATTTCTCATTTCGCTTCATTAATTAAATAATTTTTGTCACTCACCTTTTTTCTCCATAATGTCGACAGCTTTAAATTGACAAAATTACAAAATAAAATTCAAATTAAAAGATGAAAACACTAACTAAAAGATTTTTCTAAGAGCCATTGAGTCAATTCTAAGGAAAGACTGTAAAGAGAGAAGAAAATGGCGCGAGGGGCCGAGACTTAATTGAAAGAGAGACTCTTCATTTTTTCCCCTCCTCTTTGTTTGCTCCTTCCTCTTGGTATTGGCCTTTCTCTTTCTTTCCAGACAATCTCGGCTTGATGCTATTGCTTAGCGTTTGCCTTAGCAAATAAAGATCAGATCTATTTTTTCTCTGTTTAATTTTGATTTATTTAAGCTACAATTTATCTATTTTATCTTTTAATATTTAGCTTGTCCAATGGTTAAATTAGTCATTTAAGTTTTCATCATTTTGGTTTGATCTTGAAACACAAGTAACTAGTGCTATGCGCTCGATACTTCTAGAGTAAAGTCCATTTTATTACATCATGTAACCCTTTTAGTGAGGGTCTGAAATAGTTAAAATGATTAAATGAATAAATATCGTAAATTGTATCTATAAGCCACTCAGCCATACTCAGGCTGTTTTTATTCTTTTTGCACTGCAAACAAGATATTGAATTCAGGATACATTTTGCTTGAAAATAAATCGCTTTATCTTCATATTTATCATCTTAAATATCAGCTCTTGAAGACTCTCATTTCCCCTCTCCCCTGTCTCTACCCTTAAATTCAATCACTATCATTATCATCTTATTTATTTACCCTTATATATTATAACTCCATTGCCACCCTCATTTTCGCCATCATTTTTCTTCTCAATTAAATGCTCTCTGAGCAATAGTTAATTTGTCATAGATACAACTTTAAAAACATAGTTTCATTAGCAAATAACCATTTCCTTAACATTTCTATATTGATCCGAATAAATTATAACAAGCGATACTTCCCCATAATGATGATATTATAACCAAAGATAATGTTAATGAAAAATATTTGTTTGTTGCAAAAGCATTTTTAATCATAATTTAAAGAGCAAACATAAAATATTAGAATACAATTATCCTTAGGAGGCTTCATTGTAAAATTTTGAAACTTTCCAGCCCCCTTTGAACATCTTTTTACACAGCAGTATATCTACAGAATCTGTAATACAGATTATGGTTTAAATCTCAATTCTACATTTAGGATTGACATCTTGAAAAAGAAGCATGAGCAATTCTAGATGAGAATAACTTGCTGCCTTGGTTCCAGTGATAACTACTGTTTCCAGGCTTGGTATATTGACTAGTGATTGCAAACCAATAGCGGAAATATTGGTATTGTCCGACAAATTAAGGTATTTTAACTTGTTTGAGTTACGAAAATGACAGGATAATCGCCCACAAGCCCAATCATCAAGTCCAGGGTTACTAGATAAATCTAAATGGACCAGTTGCTTCAGATTAATAAAATTGTCCAAACCTTCATAATACAATCTACAATTAGAAGCGTCTAATTTTTCAACTTTGAAAGCAGTATCCATTTTATTAGGTAACTCAATATCAGAAGAAATCCATTTATCTGATCCAACAAATTTGACTTTGCCTCCACGATAAGTAATGAAGTGAGATGCAGCTAGATCAGGTCCTAAAATTCCAGTTCGCTTGGGATCGAAACGTTGTTGAATGATATCACGCGTTTTTTGCCTGAAATTGTAGTCAACAAGCATTTGTGACAAACGATATCGCTTCTTTTTGTACCATCTAATCTGCCAGTCACTATCATCATAAATTTCTTCCGGATTCTTTGGAAGGTCAAATGACGGTTTGAGCTCGATAAGATTACACGTTATACTTTTAAATTCTTCTTGATAAATAGCAATAGCTCGCTCCACATGTTCAACAGTTAGTGGATGGTTCACAATAATAGCGGGAACACTTGAAACTGAAAAAGAGATCGGCAGTTGCATGAAATCAGTAAAGAAACTAATAAGATTATAATATTAAAATCATACCAAAGTTGCTAAGATCTTACCTGGCTTGCTAACAGCTTTAATTTCTTCGATAGGTAAAGTCGCTGTTTCTTTAACGACATTCGCAGACAGCGAATTCAATCTTTTAAAAATAATTGTTGAAGTTGAATTAACAGAACATGAAAACTTGGATGAAAATGATGTACCATGAATGAGCCAGGCTTTTGTTGAGAAATCTTGGTTTTGCTGGCAGGTTTTGGTGAAAATGGGACCAACTCTAGTTAATTTAAACAACATTCTCATGAATAAAATAAAGATCTACAGAATTCAAGACTTTCGTTACGAGAGTCCGTCAGATCATATTTATCCTTCAGCTGTTTTCCTTTCAATTTAAAAGCCTAGCATCCAATTAGATTGATGGCGGTCTTTATGAACCATTTTAACAAAACAAGAAATAGTAACTTTGAATTTGGCGGTTTTACCTCGTGTTGCAAGGAGTTAAGCTGTTTCTTTGGTTACTATTGGAACCGGAAAGCAACAAAATGGTTTTGCTTGGATACAAGACCAGTATAAAGTGAAGGAAAATTTTACCTAAAGCACGTTTTTCGTTTATTCACCTAAACGGTTGAAACTAAATCGTGTTTAAGCAAATTTACTTAATTTTTTAGTTTTTTTCACAGCTTTCAAAATGCTGTTTAAATTAACTAGACTGAGCTCTATTTTCCTCAAATCTTGTCCTAAAAACTACAATCTCACAACCAAAGTTTTACTCACCCAATGTAAATCACTTTCATCCACGTTTTCTTCACCAAATAATTTAACTTCCACACTTAATTTTAATAGATTTTACTCTTCCACTGGAGGTATTGCCAAAGAAATGGAAGCTTTTCTCACTGAGGAAATCAAAGCTGAAAAGGCCAATAGTAAACCAGGTAAGATTTCATCTTTTTTCTTGTTTTTCTGATGCTATTTAATTGTTCTTAATGATGATTTGTCTACGGATCCCGATTAATTTTGTGACGACAATATCCGAGTCTGAAATTTAAACTGGCAACTTGACTCATATTTTTAAATGAATCAAATCATTTTCTGACCGTTCTCTTTGTCTTCTTAGTTTCTAGCGTTCCTGGTTTTGAGGTGAAGGCTGATGGAGCCATGGTTGAGCTAACTAGAAAATTTAAAGATGAAAGTATTCGTATCAGATTGAATGTCAATGGGTCGACTACGGATGATGAAATGCCTGAGGCTCCTGATGCTGAAAGCATGGCTGGTGGACCTATACTCTCTAAACCAACCTTTTCTATTGAGATTATTAAGCCATCAGGAAAAACTCTTTGTTTGTCCTGTAACTTTGCCAATGACATGCCTTTCGAAGGGGAAGATCAGAGCGTCCAAGGTCAGGAACAACCTTCTGAAGACATTTTTGAAATTGACGGTATCACTGTTCTGGATAAACCTGAAAACGAAATTGATGAGACAGTCTATATGGGAGACGCCTCTCTTATCGATGGACAATTGTATGATATTCTTATGGATTATTTAGACGAGCGAGGTATTGGTAAAGAGTTTGCCTCTCATCTCATTGATTATTGTACTGCTTATGAACATGAGAGGTACATCAAACTATTAGAAGATCTGAAAAATTTTGTCAAATAATCGCTTTTTCGCTAAACTTTCCCATTCTAGTGTTTTATACAAAAGTAAATAGTTATTAGATGTTTAACTAATCTGTGTTCATTTATATATAAATTAAAATAGTCAATTTACAATTAAATTTGTATTCAATTATTTTTATTTCAAATGTTTTGATTTCCAGACTCAATTTTTGATAGTCCCTGGTACTCAGATTAAATAGCAAAAAAGCAACTCTTTGCCCTGCTAATAATTGCTTTCAATTATTCAAAATAGATATTTGAATCAACTGAGGAAGTGTTAACTTCCTTTACTTTTCGGAACTAGGCTATTTTAGAGTAAACGGGTTGTGTGCATGGTCTCTGAGAGGAAACTTGTTTTCTGATTCTGACGCATATTATTTGTGTTTATAACTCTCAGGTCGTTCCCTCATCTTGGACATCAATTAATTTTTAAGTTTGATGATCTAAAAGATATTCGGTGATAACATTCATCAGTTTAATTTAAAAAACAACTAAAAATTGCCTCAAGTGTTTTGAATGTTTAAAAAACAAAACATTGATGAATATCCAGGTTTGTTGGCTGTAATGCAACCATTTAAAGGGCATTGAATTTTATTTACATCCTAATTAAAATAAAATAGCATATTCCAATGCTCATTTTGATTTCACCAAACCATAAACATATCTAAAGTCATCAAGCCTCAAAATGAACACGAGAAGGAGGAAACAGCTCAAAAGCAAAGGTAATTATATTGATCCAATATTTTAACATCACATTTTCATCTATGTCAGTTGATTGTGTAGTTGATTGTGTAAATGCTGGTGATCATTTTATTACAATACTGTTTGACGTTTTCAATGGCGTTAATCATAAAATTGATCTTAATAAACCAAGGTAAGTTAATAAAAACCAACCCTTCTAATTAGCCTTAACATGTTTTATCTATTGTTTTTAGCATGCTTTTATGTGACAAAAAATCACGTTTGTTCTGTTCTCGTTTCTATTTTTCATATCATACCATGCCAATTGTACGTCAAAATTCTTTATTTTTACTGCTATTATCGTCATCAAAATTAGTGAGATGAGCCACAATTAATTTGATTACAGCAATTTCAATCAACTCTGACCATAGGATAAAAACAAAAAGCTGCTTTGACCGGGAAAATTGAATTTTTGTCTATGCATATGGTTTTCAGAAAACCGGAGATAAAAACAATAATGATTCACTATTAATGAATAGGTTTGAAGACAATTATGATGCTGATTACAATTATGATCCTAGTGATGATAATAATGAAATTTGTAATGGTATTGAGTTCAATTGTGACAAATTTGAATAATTGTATGATGATGTATTTGAAGCATGATTTGATTTGAGATCAATACCGTCTGACTGAAGATCTGAGGTTCTGCTGACCCTTTTGTTGGATAAAATTTTCAAAATCCGAGGATTAATATAAATCGGTTAAGAGCTTTATGAAGTTGGTACATACCGATGCTGGAATACACCTGAGATACTTTAACTTTCTATGAATCTGTCTGGCCTCAGGTGAAGCTGTTTGGACCTCGTTTCCGTCTAGATTTCTTGTTTGATTGGTTTTCTCTCTTTCTTTTCTTTATCAATAACCAGCTAGCATCATCATCATTATTTTCATCATCAACCACATTCTCATCTCACTCACTCTCCCTTTCTCTCTCTCTCTCTCTTACTTTACTTTAAATCAACCAAACAAAGCATCATCATTCAGTTGACTTGTTCCCTCCACCAATTTAACAATTAGTTTCAACACCAATACAATTTGATTTTTATTTCTTATTTTCGTTTATATTAGAAACAACTTGACGTCTCCTTGAATATTGGAACCTTTCTTGGTTTGATATTTTAATCCATCATTAAGACTCTGGTTTGACATCTGGTTTCTGGACAACATTAATTTACGCTTTAACTAAGTTTTAATTGTCATTCATTTCATCCATTTGGCACTATCTACGTGTTGTTTTTAACTTTATCATCTAATCGTCACTAATAACCTTTTTACAACCATGAAAGATGTTAAACGGATCTGTTGTATTGGCGCTGGCTATGTTGGAGGGCCAACAAGTTGTGTGATTGCTAAGAACTGTCCCCACCTGCAAGTTGTCGTAGTTGACTCTAATCAAGATCGTATTGACCAATGGAACTCTGACTGTCTTCCTATCTATGAACCGGGACTCGATGTGATTGTTAAGGAGTGTCGTGGTAAAAATCTCTTCTTCTCAGTTGATGTTACTGGTGAAATCGAAGCTTCTGATTTAATTTTCATTTCTGTCAATACTCCAACCAAAACTTTTGGTATTGGAGAAGGAGAAGCCGCTGATTTGAAAAATCTAGACTTTGTTTGTAAGTTACTCTAATATTTTTTATTCAATTATTATTTCAGTTTGAATTTCTTACACTGAACACCTAATTTGTTTCATCAACCTTTTCTCTCATACCTTAATGTCTCTTGTCTTTTTAGGTCGATTGATTGCCAACAATGCTAAATCTAGTAAAATTGTGGTTGAAAAAAGTACTGTGCCCGTTAAAGCTGCAGAGCTGGTCAATAGAATCTTGAAAGCGAATCAAAAGCCGGGCATTACATTCCAAGTTTTATCTAACCCCGAGTTTCTAGCAGAAGGAACCGCAATCAATGATTTAAGCGATCCAGACCGAATATTGATTGGTGGGGAAGAAAGTGACATGGGCCGAGAAGCTGTAACCAAATTAACTCAAATTTATCAAAATTGGGTAGAACCTAAGAAAATTATTACAACTAATTTATGGTCTGCTGAGCTTTCCAAATTAACTGCCAATGCTTTTCTTGCACAAAGAATATCTTCGATAAATGCCATATCAGGTAATTATGACGTTCGTTGAAAAAGATTATTGAAAGAATATTTCACTAACGTTTGACATTTTTCTGCATTTTCACAGCAATTTGTGAAGCAACTGGTGCTGATGTTAGAGAAGTGGAAAAGGCTGTTGGAACTGATACAAGAATTGGTGACAAATTCCTAAGAGCTGGTGTCGGTTTTGGAGGAAGTTGTTTTCAAAAAGATGTCCTCAACCTTGTTTATCTCGCTAAAAGCATGCATTTATATGAAGTGGCTGAATATTGGAATCAGGTAATAGAAATACTTCAACTGATGACCCAAGACCATGTCATGTCTATAATTTGGTATCTAATTGTTTATACATATTGAATAAGATGGTTATTGACATATGGTCCAGAGCTGTCAAGATAAATTTGATTGGTTTAGTTTTTTAATTTTGTAATTATTTTGTAAGGCTTTTGAGATTCTAATCGATATCTTTTTATATTTTCAGGTTATCCTTTTCAACAATTACCAGAAGAAACGATTTGCCCAACGAATCATTGAATGCCTTTGCTTCACTATTACAGATAAAGTGCTAACCATTTTCGGGTTTGCTTTCAAAGCAAATACAGGAGACACCAGAGAATCTCCTGCTATTTATATCTGTCGTGATTTGCTGAAAGAAGGGGCACAGCTTCATATTTACGACCCTAAAGTATCACCCAAGCAAATTATGAATGACCTGAGGTCGGTTCTTCCCGAACAGAGAGATTCACTGGATAAACTTGTTACCATCCATGAAGATCCATACAAAGCAGCCAATAATTCTCACGCAATCGTCATTTGTACCGATTGGAGTGAATTTCAAAACTATGATTATCAGCAGATGTACGATCAAATGGAGAAACCAGCTTGTGTGTTTGATGGTCGTCTTGTATTAAATCATGAAAAGCTAACATCAATCGGCTTCCACGTTGAAACAATTGGTAAAAAACTAAAGCGAGATGCTTTAGTGTCAAAAGTTGCAAGTTAATTGAAATGGAATGGTTTTTATTATTCAAACTCTATACAAAAATTGGCTGAAATTGAGAAATAATCAATTCTCTATCGTTCTTGAATTATTTATACTTTGGTAGCAAGCTTTAACTGATTAGTATTATCGAAACTAATTATGTATTTTTAATAATCAAATATCTCTACTATTTATATTAAAAGTTACCATAATTTTCACCATTATCAATGTTTCTATGAAATCAATTGTAATTTCCATCTGGTGAGGGGTCATTAAATTGTGCTTTGAGCATTCATTTTGTATTGAATCGACTACAATAGTGGCCAGGATTGAGATTTTTTTCATCTAACAAGATTTCGCCTTCTAACAATGAATAAAAGTACCTGTCAGTTACTGTTCTTGGATGCTCACAATTTTTGGCTCTATTAACTACAACCAAATTATTATTGTACAAGATTTAGTCTAAAATTATTTCATTTTCGAGTTGTAAGCAAAATCTTGTAACCAAATCCTTCAAATCATCTGCAAGAATTATCATTTGTGTTAAAGTTATTAGATTAGGTTATGATATATTTCCAACAACTTTGCTTGAAGGTTAGCTTTTTCAAGTAAAGTTGCCTTAGAATTAATCTCTAGCTTATCTCCACTTCTACCAATATCTATGATTATTATCTTCTCTCTTGTCTTGTGATCATTTCTTCTGGCGATTTACTTTGCATTGTTTTTTCTCTTGTCACCAGTTGAATTATTCACCGATTTTCCAATTACTGTCTTATTTAAAACATTTTAAATATTGATTTGACTCTCTTGCAACCTACCGACGTACCAATATTTTAAAATTTGAATGGATTATGACAAACAACTAACACGCTAACTGGGATCTTTTGTTGAACTTTTGTGATTGAATTTTTACATCTTTAGCAATGTAATCACCTATACCAGACTGTTGGATAGTTGAGTGGGTAAGTTACATGGTTATTATAATTTCAATGACTTATTTACAGTTAATATGATAGCTACTTGTTTGATTGAGATTCCTATTCTAGTGAATTGTATACACACGTAATGTGAACGAAATGACATGATGACAACCTACTCTCTGCCGTTTTGTTTGAAGGATCGCCACATTTTTTGAAATTATAAATGTTAATCATATTAACTTATTGTTTTTATGATCTAACATGAAACAAGGACAGTTGAAGGTTATGATATAGACTACTTATTACAGTAAATTCCCAGTAAATGTATAAATAACAACGTGAAATTATCGCCTATCATCTGCCCCTGATTATCTCATTTCATTCTGATTTTTCGATCTTAAAAATAAAAATTTCCAATAAAAAAACCTTTGATACGTTCATTCATAATTGAATGATTCATTGAATGATAACATACATTCGAGCAACAAGTCTTTTATTAAAGAATGATGATTTACATGATGTTTATCATATGAGCTGTTTAAGAATAGCTCAATCATATGAGTCTTTGTTTATCATTTACATGGGAATATGTTGTGTTAAGAAGGTCAAGTTTATAAATAACTAACATGTTTTCAGTATTCCAATAGATTATTATTAATATTGATCTGACTGAAACTGACCGAATCTCGGTTTCAGAAGATGATGAAACTAATGTATGCCATTATTATTAATGATATTTGATTGAAAATATTAAAAAAGATTCGGAAATCAAGTGTATGTGAAACGAGAAAATCAGATCACAATACATTTCAACAAAGAAATAGAGACAGATACGATTTTCAGGGTAAATGACAAAGAAATGGAATCAAAACTGTGATAAATTTAGCTCAATAATGAATAATTTTTCTTTTTTCATTTGATATTCCTCTCAGAATATCATAGTGACATTCATTCTCCTTCTTATAATCTCTTGAGATGCCACTTTTTCTCCTGCAATCATCTGCTTTCTCCTAGATTCTCGCTTGCTCAAAGAGACATACAAAGTGAAGATGTTTAACTGAATATTGTGATGTTTCAAAGCTAAATATCGATAAATATGTTGTTTTGTGAGTTTTTATTTAACAATTAAATTATTTATTTGTATCTTTTATTTACAACATTAGCAATATTTCCCTTCTATAGTCATATGCATCATTATAATTGCAACTCACCTCTTCTAATACAATCGCTGTTTGTTTACATTCTGTTGTTCCCTTAAGTGTCGGTTCCATTTTTGTTAATTTAACAATCAGACAAAATTTAACTTTCAGGTTAACATAGTAACATGATTTATTCCTACAGTTTATGTCATCTCTTTTTATATATTTGTTTTGTGTCACTTAATTCTAATAATTTCTCTTTTTCTCTCCCTGTATACCATTTTCATTATGTCTGCCTCTCCTATTAACCTAACCAAAAACAAACAGGTAATCAACAACTGATCTAGTCAACTACATCCAAAATTGAATGTCGAATATACCTAAGCAAAGTTACATGATTACGATATGCAATGAATTATTATACCAAAGAGGTGATTGGTTTAGGTTCGGCTGAGGCATTAAAGATACTTCACGATGAATTGGAAAAGGAATTAAGTCACTGCAAGGTGAGTTTTTTCCCATAAATGTTTTTCTTTATCAGCCAATATTATTGGTTATCAAATCTAAAAATTTCCTTATTACTCTATTGATAATATTTTTTTCATCTTCTTCTCATCCTCTCATTAAGTGTACATCTCGTTCACGAAGTGGTATTTGTGTCTGGCTTAGTGAAAGCTTTTATCATTCAAGTGTCTCATCAACCTTTCGTTGGCCGAGCATTCTCTTGACAGCCTTCACCTTAATTGTTTTCATCATCAATTATGGTTACTCAAAAGAGCACTCACTTTTGCTACAGTCTCTCATCTTATTGTTTTTCCTTATCTTCAATGTTCTACTTACTGCATGGGATACTTGGATGAGACACCAAGAACTTCATAACAAATGTCGATTATTATCTAAAAAAATTAAAAACTGTTCAGGTCAGTTTAGTTGATCAATTAAACAATTTGGGGTTCATTGATTCAATGTAAGATAACCAAAGTGTCTATCTGTTTGTCCTAAATTACAGAAAGATCTCAATTGATAAATGAGTGGAAAACTGGTAAATACTATCCTAATCTATACTTACCTCAATCACCATGCATCACTCTTCAATGGACATATCGAGATAATCAGCGAGTTAATCTGCCAACTTCCTTGTTAGTTAAAGGAGATGTTATTCTCATGTGTCCTGGTCATGCAGCTCCTGGTCTTTGTAAAAGTTTGGAACAAATTAATGCCCCCAATGAAGGTGAACCTTCATACCTCGAGCTTAAACGGGGTGGTCGTTTGGGATCAACCGTTGAACAAGGTCCCATGTCATTTACTGGTGCTCGTCTTCGCAAAGCGGCCAAACCAATTAAATTTGTTATGTTAGAGACACCATATATCTCTGGTTTACGACTAGCACTTGACCAATCATGGCATCGTCCAGCAACTCTCTATGAGAAGGAACGTCACACCATCATAACCAAATATATAGAGAGAATAATTATACCTTTGGTTTGGTTAGTTGTCTTTACCGTCAGTATTATTCACTATGGTTACAGTTCCGGTTACAAAGTCAATGTCTTCGCTGAATCATTTTTTGTCCTCCTTCTTCGTCCCACATCATGTCTTCTACCTCTTCTTCCATTGACACTTCCTTCTCTATGGTTAGTCGTTAATGCTTTTGGAGTTGCCCATCTTTTCAACTTAATTAAATCACGACCGATGGTCAAAGAATCTGGCAATGCAAATTTTTCACTTGGATCGCCTGGAAGTTATTGTGGTCGGGATGATGCCACTGTCAGTGGTAATATTAATGTTGATTTAGCTGCTAGTAGTGGATCAGCTGGTTACGAACCTGGTAATGTTGATGGTGATAATGTCAAGCTGAAACGTCAAGCAGATCCATTTTTCGTTGACCTGGATTCAAATTCTTCCATAGATTTATCGACTCCTATTCGATTAACTTGGAGTGAGCTTTATAAAACTGTTGTAGACTTGCTTACTTGTCGTGATGGTAACCTCTGGAGATCAGCAAATATACTTCAAATTTTCGGAAGTATAACAGCGCTTTGTTGTGTCGACAAAAAAGGGATCCTTTCATGGCCCAATCCAAGTGCAGATAAAGTTTTCTTTTTAACTTCAAATTCTAACAAACATGGTTCTTCAATTGAAACTAATCCAGATTATTTGATCGATGACAATGACGATGATATATTTGTTGATGAAGTCAGTTACAGAAATTCGAAAAACAACGAGTCAGTTAAAGATAGCTCCAGTAAAGCAAATAAAAAAGACAAATACGGTAAGAAATTAGTTTTTAATTAAATTTTACAATCAATTCTTATTCTTGGTGAAATAAATAATTGTTTCTTATTTTTATCTTAACTTCAAATTGAATTAGTGAGTAAAGCTGAAGTGCTAGACATCACACATGACATTTATAACAGCTTTGGCTTGCAATTCGATGATCCTGAATGGCCTAGGTTTCTTCCTAATTTAAAACCTCTTGGATTAGCAATTCTATTAAATACCTGTAACATGGATGCTCAAGAAGAATACAATCTTTTCTGTGATCATATTACTTGCGAATCGATGAGAAACGAAGCATCCGTCCCCGTTATCAATAAAAGATGTCTTTGTGAATTATCAAGGATCATGGGTTTTACGGAAAAAGCGATAACAGACTATCGCTATATGTTTCAAATATCTTCTTTTCGTCATGTTAAACCTGAAGTAATACAACAAGGGAAACTCGCACAACTCAACTTTCCCCGGTTAAAGATGCCTTTTCCAAATATGACATCAGCCGTGATTCGTGATATTTGTACTGGTTCATATCAACTTTTTTCACAAGGAAATGGTGATTTTATCCTAGATGCTTGCACCGAGTTTTGGGATGGACAAGATCTCTGTGGTCTCACCGAACCTGATCGTAAAAGAATTCTCGATTTTTATCATCGTTCTAGTTTAGCTGCATATTGTATGGCCTTTTCATATGTACCTCTCAATACTTGTCCTGATCGACGGTTGAACAATGATTTTTTCATTGAACTACCCCCTGATAGTCGTCATGTTTTTCAATCACAAAAAAATCTCAATTCATCTGTTCGCTCATGGGAAGCAAGAGATACAAATTGCGCTCGTCCTTTGGCGAGTCATCATTTGAGTACCGATTCACTTACCACAAAAGAAGAAAAGGCAGAACAAGTTGATGAACCAAATGGAGCACAAAATGCCAATTATACTCGTTCAAAATCTGCTTCTTCAACTGCCTCTGTTGATGGCTATCATTTTGAATCACTCATTAATCAATTAACAAACCAAGTTTTCATAGGAATGGTAACTATGCAATATCAAGCCTGTCCTGACTTTGTTACTCTTGTGGAGCAACTTGATAAAGCCTGTATTCGATTTGTTCATTTCTCAAAAGAAAATGAACTAAGAAGTCGAGTTTTCTCCGAAAAAATGGGTCTTGAAGCTGGATGGAATTGTCATATTTCTTTGCTGAGTGAAACCGCTTCCAAAGAAATAAATATGAATGCCTCTCAATCCCATGTTAATAGTTTCAAGGGCTCCAAAGTATCAATTCATCCAAACTCTGAACCTAATGTAGCTCTTGTTAGAACTCAAAGTGCACCAAGTTATTTTAATACTGACCCGAGTACAGTAAGGTTTGATAAAAGTCCTTTGAAGGAACAATCATCATCAATCATCATCACAACTGAAGAAGACAATAATATTGAAAGTGATAGAAACAAAATTGAGCCACTCGATAATGATGAACATCTGAACCCTACTGGTAGTCGCACACATAATGGAGGAAAAGAAAATTTCATGATGGAAAGTGACAGCGAAGATTGTCGAAGTAAAAGTTGGTCTGAAGTTTCAACCTCACCGAGTCATATAACAGAAAGTACAAATACCGAGCGAAGTGCTCCAATAACTTTTGACGTGGCTAATAGAGCTAAACTACCAAAAGGGATCGAACAAATCAGGCCACATCTCAAAGAAGTTGATAATGTTCCTCTGTTAGTATCACTTTTTACCGACTGTACTCCACAAACAACACGCGAAATGATCGAAATTATGCAAGAAAATGGAGAAGTAGTTTGCGTTATAGGAAGTGCTGCTAATGTCCATAATATACCAATTTTTCTACAGACTGATGCCAGGTATAAAATATTACATACAAAATTTATTAAACTTGAAGGTTTAATTTTAATTTTTGTTTCCCATTTTAGCATTGGAATCGAACCTTTGTATCCACAAATCTGTGTCAGAGAACCTGTAACTAAAGCATCAGGAAAACCATATAAAGGATTCATCTCACCTACAGATATTAGTAATCAACTAAACACATTGCCCTGCTCCATCTGTTTTCATCGGGAAGATTCAATTAGCATTAATCGTATTATCATGGAAGCTCGACACTATATGATGAATGCTCGAAACTGCCTTCAATTTTTCTTTAGTTGTTCATTAAGTTTAAGCTTGGCTCAACTTTTTGGTTTCCTATTTTTCCTCCCACCTTTACTTTCTCCTGGTTCTGTTCTATGGCTGGTCACAATTATTTTCCCTCTGCTTAGCCTTTCTCTCATGGGAACCCCGCTGGACACACAAGTGATGAATCAAGCTACTGGAAAAAATTTAAACTTGAGTCGTGAAGTGAGTCTATTATCGTTGAACACTGAATGAAATCTATTTTAGCTCTCAGAACTTATGTTAAATTATCTTCTTATTTCAGAGTATAATTTACTTCTTGATGTGTTATTTAATCAAGTTTTGTCCATCTACCATGATTGTTGTCACTTCTTTTGCACTTATTATTAATGATGCATGCAAAAAATCAATTGGAGAAGACACTAAATCATCTGGACCTTGCTGGATGCTAATTGATGCCAAGTAATTAAATTTTTATTTACAATTCAAGCCTTTTCAGGTAACAGATTAATTGAATTTTATTTAATATTTTCAGTGTTACTCTCAGTGGAGCTGACAAGTTGAATAATCCTGTCTTGATGGCTCAAACATTTTCAGTAGTTTGTATAGTTATTTATTTCAGTAAGTATGATCAAATCAACTAGATTTAACGAGTTAATTTTTGAATTCTCTTTTCTAATATTATATTTTTAAATTTTATTATCTTTCAGCTATTATTTCAATTGGTTTTGTTCATCGATCTCATCTTCTCTGGCGAAGAAGCCCATTTGCGAATAGATGTTGGGCTTTCATGTCTATCATCTTATTAATTATAAATTTACTTTTCTGTTTGGCTCAAGTTTATCTCTCTCATGATACTCCATTATTTTTAAGTGAATATCTTTCAACCATACCACCTTACGTTTTCATACTCGCATTCCTTTGGCCAATAGCTTTGATTATTATAAACAGCCTTGTTAAAGGTCACGAAATTAAGTAAGTCTAACCAAATTTCATAATCGTCGTGCATCTTTCAAAAAATAATACTTTTATTCAATCTTTTTCTCCCTTTTTTACCTAGAATATCAGAGCGACAACAAAGACGAGCTCGTCTTGAATTTGGCACAAAACTAGGAATGAACTCACCATTTTAAAATATTAGGTCGCTTTAATTCTACCATTAGAGAACTCAACTAGGAAGTCGCGACGATTCAAGCAACAAACAAGACATACGCTTTTAAATCCAAGTCACAAAAAAATTATTGTAAATATATACGGAAAATTATCTATTATAACAGTTATCTCTTCTCTAATATATTAATACCGTTTTGGTATTTTTCTGTCAAAATTTCTCCGCACTCAAACGGTCTTAAATTTTCTGTTAATCGCAAATGAAAGGTTTTGGCCTGAATGTCGCCCCAAAAATATACAAATTTTTAGAACCCGGCCCTGAAACTCAGGAAAAGCAGATAAAAAAGAGACTAAAATCGACAGTAAAAAAGAAAGAAAAAATAAAATAAAGACAAAATGACACTTAACATTGTTGTACATTTGAATACGCAATATGTACATATATGAAGTCAAAACATTAAATTTTTGTGTAAAAATTGTGGCTAAACTAAAAGGATTTTAAGGAAAACTTTTACGCGATCTGAAAGCCATGGTTGAACTGCATGTCCGAAAAACTGTCAAAGCTTAATCAGAATTCAGGTTACTAACAAAGGAATTTACATAAAAACTTTGAATTTTGAGTAAAGAATTGGAACTTTGTAGGTTTGCAGGGGCATTAAAACTGAGTCCATTAGAAAGTGTTATTCTAGCCTAAATCGTCACTCCTGTCAATCTTTATATCTTTTTTATGCTTAATATATTCAACTGATTTCATTTAAAAATCATAAGTGAGTGAATAGTTACAACCGGTCACACTTGACTTTAGCTATAAAAATACAACTTTCATTTGTTAATCAGTGAAAAAGATATAAAGAAACGATAAGTTAATAGAACCATCCAAATTGAAAGTCAATAACATGAAATATTATCAATTGTTTGCTACCTTTACGACGGTGTATATATCTTGTGTATAACTAGTGAAGCTCGAGCAGCGGTCAATCTTACTAATGTGATGATGAAAAAAGTTTACCGAAACATGGAAAGTGCCATTTTTGCCGAAGAAAGTTGCCACTCGCTATGGTAAATGTTTAGCGCCATTTCCTCGACAAGCTATTGACATAATTGTACACGGAGGGAAAAAATCACTTAAAGAGTATTGTGACGCAACCAAAGGTCGAGTCGGTAAGTTAAAGGATAATCGCTATTTAAACTGCAATGGCTATTTTAACGTTACATAATAAACAACTTCTAAATTGATAATTTTAAATTAGTCTATTAAATTGGTAAAAGGCTGAATTTTATGATGACATGATTATTATCGTTAGCTATTCAACTTTGTTTTACCTGTCTCATACCTGTTTAAAGATATACTTTTTGGCTATTTTAGCTGAACCATTTGTAACTGTTTTAAACAGTTGACATCTCATCTTATACATGTAAGTTTTGCAGTTTTTATCAATACATTTTTATTCCTTCTAATCTTCAGAAATCTTGAAACATCTAGAATGTGTTACTTTCGAGACTTCCCGAATATTTCACAACTCATTGGAATATGGATTCCGTCGACTTGACTATATTTCAGCCAATGTTCATGATGATGATCTCTTATCAACTTTGTGTTGTACATTTCACGCAATTTATAACCAAATGGCCATCTCTGGATTCTTGTGGAAGTCAGATTCTTCAAATAATGGAAAAATTGAGGTCAATCGACCTACCAGAAAAAAACTGAACTCGAAAAACGGTTCTTAATTGGTCCTGAAGTTACAATCGCATCGCGCCTTGTAGCTTAATGAAGTTTATTGGAGTAAGCAGTTGTCAAGAATATCAACGACCGATGTTATTCAATGTCCATCGAAATATGTTTATTTTTCAATGGTATCAAATTGTATTCACCGCTGTTAGATCATGAATTTACTTTTGATTCTTCAGAGAATTTTCATTTTAACATGAATCAATTTGACTGAACACACGGTTTATGTTTAGTTATTGAGCCGATCGAGTCCCATGTCAAACTGATGTTCATCTTTTCTTGTAGTTATTATTGCCAATGTTTTTTTCTCTCTCTCTCTCTGATTTTCCTGCTATTTATCGGCGGAAACTCTTTTTCATTTTTGGCATAATTCTTAATCTACCGAATCAATTTAATAAAGAAAATTCGATTTCCAATAAATTGATTATTAATTGGAACTCATTGCTGTTTAATTATGAAAAGAAAGGACGAAATGCTCTTAAATCTAACGTTAGCAATTTATACTTATCAATTAGCAAATTTTTTACTGCTTTCTTTAATAATGGCAATGAATGCTAATCAATCGCATTACATCACAAAATATCTATCGTCAAATGTAATTTTTGCGTAAAATTTGAAAGTTTATTAACAAAAGAAATGAAAATAGCTCTCGAAATTTCATCAATATTTGTCTTAAATGTATTTATTATGTGCGTTTGTAAATCTTATACGATCTTTTGATTTATTTCCCTTGTTTTCTATTCTTAATTGTTTTGCTGAATTTTCAAGTGAGAACAAAACAGTAGTTCTAACTTAGGAATGTGTCAGAAAAGTGAAGAGAAGAATCAAGTTCATGTACTAGCCTAAGGCGATCAACATCTTTAACAAAATGTATATTATTTTCAAGTGAAGTTTGGCTAAAAGAGAAGAAGAAAGAAAGGTATGAATACTCATGACATGACTTTACTGAATCGTTTCCCTGTTTTACACTTTTCTTTCCTCTAAATCTCACTTTCATGATGACTAACTAACCAGTCCTTTTTCCCTCACGAACCTTAGTAATAATCGTCAAGCTCAACCTCTCATCTGTTTTTCATCATTACATTTTGTTTCCTTTCGCCTTCTCTCTCAAAAGGCTCGGCAACTCGCTCTAGTCTCACTCGATTGTTATCTTAAACCAGAGCATTTGTTACTTTTTACATTTTCAATTTACTGTCATTTCAACGTAAACTGTGACTTAATAAAAAACTGGTATCTTTATAATTTTGTTAAAAGCTTCTGCACTCTTCTTCTTCGACATCATCAATCGTCATTGTTTTGTTTTTAATTTATCTTTTTTCAGTGTCTTTTTCAGTAAAAATTGTTGCTTCGTCAATCTCGAATCAATTGACAATATAAAGATCATTGGAAACAGTTCAACTGTGAGGACCAATTCATTCACACCATTATTCATCTTGTTCATCACCATCAAACATCTTGCCTGTTAAAACCATATCTTCATCGACTCGACTCTCAACCCACTAACTTAAATTATTGAAATAATGAAAGGTTCATCTGAAAATAGTGAAATTTGTAGCGAAAACGTTCTCAGGATTAAAGTGGAAACGTGTTCTTCTCTCTATGAAAAATGGAAAGATGAGAAAAGCTGGTTCCACAATGTACCTCGAAAGGGTATCACAACAGAAGTTGAATATATTGATACTCGACCAGATGCTGGTAACACACTGCCGGTTGTACTATGTTTACATGGTGCGCCTGGTTCCCACCAAGACTTCACACTGCTTCGATCAAGACTTGTCAGTTATCCAATTCGCATTATTTGTCCAAATTTTCCAAGTAAGTTGCTACAACATTCATCATTACTTTACAATATTTAAATCCAATTTGTAACCATCTATTAACAATTTACCTATTTTTTGCTTTTGTCATTCAGCATATTCCTTGACTAAGGCTAAAAAATTTGGACATTATGCTGAGGAAAAGGCTGAATATATTTTAGACTTTCTCAAAGCTCTTCAATTGACTAGAGTTGATATGCTGATCAGCCATTCATCATCAATCTATCCTTCAGTAATCATTCTTGAATCAGAGTATGGATCAACCCTTAAATCTCTTGTATTTCTTAATCCTTGCGGTCATCGACGAATCCAAGCAATGAAATATCCATTATTGGACAAAACATCAGCCTACTTCTATCAGTATAAATTTTTCCGTTTCTTCATCAAACATTTTGGTAAACCTGTTCTCATTATTGCTAGTAAGTTTATTTCACTATTTTACTTGTATATGTTAGATGACTCCATCAAAAGTACCGGTATTGTGATTAATATACCAGACAGAAAGTCGAGTGGTATAACTTGCTTACACAAGTTATGCGACTCTTTTCAAGTCTTTTCACTGTCCAGTATAATTTTTATAACAATTGTAATGTCATTATATTAACCTGGCTTCTTATTTTCCCCACTCAAGACTGTCCAGTAAAGGTGGAAAACATGGATAATTTATTCTTGTCTGTAACCACAGTTAACCACAGTCACTACAAAAGGGTAAGTTTTATTTACAATAACTATACAATGAGCATAAAAGCTGGATGAATTTTATAAATAATACATAATAATCATTACATTTGAAAGATAATGTCAGTTTCTTCAATCATTTAAGCATAACGATCTTGATACTTTCCATTGCACCCCATTTTTGATACAAAACTCTGGCCCTCTCCATAACTTTCAATCTTGACTTTAAATCAGTTACAGTTTTACTTTCAAGGTTTCACTTCAGAATTTCTTGAAATAGCAATTCATTGAAAAAAAAACAGAATTGAAAAATTCCATAGCTTCTCAATAGGCTATGAAACAAGTTTATTAGCCTTAGTAATTCAATCCAGTTTTTTCCATCTTCTTCATAATTCCAATTATCTTAATGTCGATAAACTAGCTTCACTATTAACTTTACAAATCTATTTATGGTTTGTTTCCAGTTCAAGATCAATGTTGAACATTTTTATCTGGAACGAAACGTTTTCCAAATATTAAAGAACTGAAACTTGGTAATATTTAATCATTTAATCATTTGAACATTATTTGGTTTTAAAAAAATTAGTGTTTACTAGTTACTAATGATGTTCAGTTATCTGATTCAAATTGCTGATCATTTACAATTAAAAGGATTGCATCTGTTGCTGTAATGAAATTTATATTGTCTGGTTACAAAATCAACTAATACAGCTTATTGTCCTTGAATAATTTTTGGGTTAAATTGTTGAAATTTGTGGGAAAATCCTGTGACCCTGATATTGAATTAAATATTATTTGAAAATAACTCTTTTCAGATGCTCATCATGATCAGATTTATTAATATTTTCATTTCCTTTCTTGAATTGAACAAAATTTCCTAAACATTTGAATTACGTTATTGCTTTCACTTTTCTGTTCTGGTTTTATCTGACAACTCAATTGGTAGTTATACATTTATTGCTTCTTGCCAGTCTTCCAGCATTTTTTTAAAACACTTTTTGTATTTATTGTTTACATTTCACTAAAGCTCCAATGAATCTTATCATGACAGCTTCAGGATATTAAAATACAAATTGTATTTAAAAATCTTATTGTTTTGAACGCAACATTTGACGTAATAAGATAAACAATAGCAATTAATCCATCTTGAATCTTGATTTGTATTTTTTACCAAAGAAACACAAATCAAAAGCTTGAACTCATCCATTTTTTCATACATTTTATTTTGTTTGACTAAAAAAGTTCACTTTTTCATTGATCAATCCTATTGTTTTAGTCCGATTGATTACTCACAAAATTTGCCAATTTTTGTCTCTTTAATTGTTCTGTCGGTAAATTTTCTTGGTTAATTTGTGTTTTCCTGATTGTGACAATCATTGATTTATTCCTGTTCAAGTCCTTCCTTAGCTTGATCATCAGTTTATTATCAACTGGTTTCTTCGTGTCTAACAGTTAATATTGCACTTTATTGAAAAAATGGAGAAAATTTACTTCGAAATAAGGCCTTAACTGTTTGACGATTTGAATTGTTAGTCGACTAATGTAATCTAATGAGGTGCTCAATGTCGTTTATGCAGAATAGCAGATTAGTTGATTGAAAAATATCATGAAAGGCAGTTAAATTGTATTAATTCGTATCAATGTTTACGTTTATAGCCTTTTCTGCTCAAATTAGATTCAACTTTCCCTTTCTTTACACAATCAGGTCAAGTGTAATGATAATTATTCGTGTGCCAAATGCAACAAAATAGTTTAACCCAAAATGATTTGTGAATTTGAATCGTTTAATGTGATAGTTAATTTATTTAAATATAAACTCATCAATTGGACCTAAAGCTAACCTTGCAATTGAATCAGTTTGTAAACCAATTCACCATTTGAACAGTTTCCAGTTAAAATTAAGGAAAAAATCAATTCTTCCTCAAACTAATAACTTGTAACTTATTTTATTTTCCTGCAATACAATAACAATAATAGCTGCTGCAATCATTCAAAACTAGTTTACAAAAATGAATTTCAGCTTTTCCTTAAAATAATTCATTAAGACTGCTTTTCCCTCTTTTTGATTAACACTTTCATGATTCTTCTTTATCTGTTGCGTAGTTGATGTAATTTTATGCATTTTATAATACAGTTATTACAATCAGTGAATCGTTGACACTTTGCTTAATGAAGACGCTTGGCAAATGCTCATTGATTATCTCTGATGTTATCAAACTTAATTCTCTGTATTGATAGTGATTTAATTGATTTCTTCTTCTTTTATTTCTAGCTTTCGAAGAGATTGGAACAGTTGAAAGCCAACAAGGAAATCGCAAAGATGTTGATCTTCTCTGAAAATGACAAGCTTATACAGAAGGAAATATTTTATGAAATGGCTAAAATGCTGGGAATTGAATCGGATAATATTGAAGTCTACGATCACAATGGACTTCAACAGAAGTCTTCAATTGACAGTGGATACCCAAAAGGCATTGCACTTCAAGACGGAGGACATTATGCTTTTCTTAGTCACTCGAAAATTGTTAATGAAGCTATTGCTGGAATGGTTGAAAATGTTCTGCTAACTGGTATTCAGTAACTCGATGAAAACCTGACCAATAGTGGCATCGTCGCTGGCAACTCTCTATGAGAAGGATCAATATCAGGACCAAATACCTAGAGAGAAAGACCTTTGGTTTGGTTAATTGTCTCTACCATCAGTATTAATCACTATGAATATAAAGTCAATGTCTTCACTAAATCATTTTTGTCTTCGTCCCACATCATGTCTTCTACCTCTTCATCCATTGACACTTCCTTCTCTATGGCTAGTCGTTAATGCTTTAGGAGTTGCTCATCTTTTCAACTTAATTAAATCACGACCGATAGTCAAAGAATCTGGAAATGCGAATTTTTCACTTGGATCGCCTGGAAGCTATTGTGGTCATGATGACGCCCCAGTTTTTGATTATAGTAGTTGTTATGGAAGATGAGTCTTATGATGGTGACAATGTCTAAAACGTAATTTAAAACGTCTTGATTAGTCATTCTGCTGCGTAATTGAAATTTGGAGTGAGATGATCACCGAAATTGATCGTAAAATGAATCTGGATCTTCATCATCGTTCTGGTTTAGCTGCATATTGTATGGCCTTTTCATATGTACCTCTCAATACTTGTCCTGATTGACAGTTGAACAATGATTTAAATGCTGATTCACTTACCAAAAAATAATAAATTAAGCCTTTTAAGTCAATCTGTCTCTAAATCTTTCAACATTAAAACCTTACGTTAACATAAACGCATCTCTTCGGCCAATATTTTTGCTTGCTAGGAATAGCCTTAAATCGTGTCATTTAAGTTATTTGATCAGGAAATCAAGTAAGTCTAAGCAAATTTGGATTATCATTATTACCATGCATCTTTCAAAAGTTAATACTACATAATTCTTAATCTACCGAATCAATTTAATAAAGAAAATGAAAATTCGATCTCCAATAAATTGATTATTAACTGGAACTATGAAAGAAAATGGCGAAATGCTCTTATACTCAACGTTAACTAGGTCTTCAGCTTATACCTAGCAATCTGTAATCATTTAATGTATTTACTACCAGTGATTAATTAGTTTTTATTAATGTAATAAATATGTTTTCAATCGAGAGTTCAATCAATAACTGTAGATCAGGCTAAATACTGGAAAGGAAACGATGGTAATAAAATAAGAATTAAGATATAAATGTTACAAGATTTTTTATTACTGATTTTCTTAATTATTGAATTGATGGGTGGGATTAAAAATGTTAATCATTGTCAATTGCTCACCATTGATAATCAAATTTAGCGCCTCCAAATGAAAAGATAATGGGAAAGTCTAAAGAAGGAGTAACTATTGGACCTTTTAAATTTGTGGCCAATCAAAAACAACATATATTTTCAAATAACTGAAGTAAATTTGACACTAATTAATGTGCTTATCTTCAGGGTTAATTGTGTAACCAATTAGGAATATTTAAATTAGCTGAATATGAACACAAGAAGGGAACACAAAGTGGTAAGTAAATAATAACAGTAAACACTTAACCTATTCAATGTTGTCTATAAACATTTTGATCTTAAAAATGAACCTTTGCATACTTATTTTTACTGTTTTTTTTCTTCTCTTATATTGTTACTTTCTTTTTTGTTAACAGTTAAAAGCAAAAAGCAAAAAGACTGATGATGACGATGAATGTAACGATGAAAGTAAACATGGTTTAAGCAAATTAAACGATAACTACGGATCATTCCGACATGTGATTAAACAAGATATTAATGGCATAAAAACAGTTGTTCTAAGGCTTCAAGGGCTACTGCATAATGTACGTTATATTCCTTTACACATTGAAGCACTCAACCCACTCACTTCTTTCTTTCTTTTTTAGTCTGTTTCTTTTTTGTCATCTTTCCCTGTGACCTGATCTTGAATGATTCCAACGATATTTGATATCATTCGATTGTCTTTTTCTTCTCTCTCTCATATTTCTCATCTCCTTTCTCTCTTTCTCTCTTTCGTTCAAACTATCCCCCTGAACCGAATTGACTCATACCAAACCCATCCGCATCTTTTTCCAGTTTGAATCCTCAAATCCTTTAGATAAAGAATTCACATCTCTGGTGAAAACAAGTGATAATACTACGAATAAATTAAGCAACAATGAATTTGGTAAAAAAGAAGTCGATCTTATACAAGAAAATATTGATCTAAAACGTAAAGTGACGCTATTGGAACAACAACTGGAAGAAAAAAATAGAACCATTAAACTTCTCCAGCAACAAATGGTCAGACCTGAAGCATCTGGTCGTCGTACATATGGACACAAGAAACAGTTACATTGAATCAAATTGCATATAATAAAACCTAAAGTAAATATTTCTCAGTTTATTAAAGTTAACTAGCTAATTGATTTTCTGATCATCTCTTAATCATCATCTTTCGAATCATTTTTCTCTACTTGACCAAAGAATTGTATTAATATTTCTATAGAAATCTTTAAAAAAAACATCGCATCAATATTAAATTTTTGTCATAGCTAATACAAAATATTATTTAAGATTTTACACCATTGATATCTTTATTTTTGAATGATTAGACATTCGTTAATGTTAAATGTATGGATGTTGCATCGTGTATTGAATTGTCTTCCTTCCGATTTCCTTTTCAAAATTCACAATCAATTGACTTTTGGATTTGATATTTATTGAAATCACAACCTTGCTGTGTCTAGTCTATACTAGGAAAGCGCAAGATTGGTTTATTCTGGCTTTTCGAACAAAATCAGAGAGTAAACAATTAAAAACAATTTTTAAATTGACACTTATAACAATCAATCTCTAGTGACATGATTACTAAAATAGCAAAGAGGAAGAGCGTAAACAAGAGCAAAATTTCAGCTCTTGTTTATGTATATTATTTACAAAACAAATCTTTTTGATTCGCTGTAACCCAATTTGTCCAGATTTGGTGTGCAAGCAAATTTAATCATAGGTGGAGGTCCACACATCAAGATGATTGAATCATCACTTGGTGGAGGCATGTGTTCCTTGATCATGTTTTCATCCACAAAACCAACAGAATATTTCCAACCTTCATCTGCCTTAACCAATGTGTACCAGATTTTAACCTGATCGCCATGTTTTTGGCTAATTTCTTCCAATTCCTCCTTAAGTAGAATGTCATCAGGATTATTATTGGCAAAAATTAACCAAACTTTGGTATTATCTTCAGGATTGTCAATGATTTCGTTTATAATTCGGAAAAGAGGAGCAATACCAGTTCCACCAGCAATCATGCCAACATTCTTGTAATTGAATTTCTCGGCTGCTGATTTGCGAGTCTTTTTTATCAAAAAGTCGCCCTTTGATGCATAAATAAGTTTTCCTTCTGGTCCTCGTATGTCAATTTTATCACCAATAGCCATACTTTCCAAATACTGAGACATTTTACCACCATCTGGATAATTTGGGTGATCATTTTTGAAGTATACCTGGAAAAATAAATGTAAAAAATTAGTCAAAAGTTCTATAGGAACAGTAAAAATTGCATATTTTTTATCTTTAATATTAATAAAAATAAACCAAAATTGTGACTTCTTTCAAATCACGTTGACAAAATTATGAAATAAATTATATTTTCGCCTCTAGATAGTGTTCAAAAAGCACAGTGTACTTGAAAATCAGAGTAACTGGAGTATGATATTCAATCTCTATTGCTATCTAAATACAACGAGTGCATCTTGATAGTACATAGATCAAAAGAAAAAACTGGAATCGAGAAATGTGAACTGAATTTATCACATATACTCGCTAAGTTATTACATCTAATCATTAAAAAACTGGTCTTTCGTTGGTGCAAGACAGTCTTACGTTTTTGGGAAACAATAAAATTGAAAATTAACACCAAAGTGACGAATTTTTTCATTGTCTAAGCAAGTCTTTGTTTTCTTAAAACTATGTTTTGCTAATTTGAAATTGGCATATTGAACGAAATATGGTGAAATAGACAAGAATTGAAGGTATGAGGTTCCAAAAATGCACATTGATCTAATAAATATCCATGAAAGGTATTCTTATTTCAAAACTATAAAATTTAAATGTAAAATAACAATTATCAAGAAATATCAATAGATATTTGGTGGAAAAAATAATTCTGAATCAAATTGTTAGAGGAATATTGCAGGAATTTGCTAGTGATCTAAAAGTTGGTATTGACAACGAAATTAAAAGGTGTTGACAGTTTGTACAATATCTAAAAATCTACCATCGCTATCATGTGAGCCATATCTGAGGTATAACCATTTTTGTCTAGTTTCAGATTAAAATTACTAACCTTGATTACGAGATCAAAATAGCCTAGCGTTTCATCACTTGACACGGGAGAGTATGGACGTATGATGAGTTCATTATTGCCTTGAGCAGATAGATAAATATGTTGACCTGGGTTAACTCCAAGGACATGTCTTTCAGTTGGTAATCCGAATCTGAATCTTCGAGTATTCCAATTGATATTCTATATGGAAGAAAAAAAATACTGTAAGACAAAGAGCATAAAGACATGGAAAAGTTAAGGATTCAAGGACAGTTCACCTCTTTTGCAATTAAAGGAACTTTGTATTTAATCTCTGGGTCTTTAAGAAGAACCTGTTTGGCAGTTTTACTTTTTTTGAACCACATGAATAAAACGACACCAACGACTAAAGTTGATAGAGTACAAACTATGGTTGATTGGTCCTAAAAATGTCAAAATTAAATAAAACAAGAATGTAACGAAAACGAAAACAATTGATCTTAGTAAAGGCTAAACACGGATAAAATGCAAGCTAAACATACCAACATAATGATGAACGGGAAAAGTTGATGAAATAATTACAGATATTGACAGTCAATGTCAAACAGAATAAGGATTGATCAAAATTTATTGAATAATAGCATTAGAGACTGAATCATTTTAGTACAAAAACATGATAAATTTATTGCGTAAAGGGAAAGTATAATAATTTCGTCTTCGCATGGATCAAAGTTTTCTTCCAAAATCTAGTCTCACCTATGAATATTTATGTGTTTTTTCCTGTTAGACATTTTTAAATGTCTATTTTTTTACGAATAAATTATAATTAACTTTTGTATTAACTTACAAATAGATGTTACCCAGTGTAAAGTTAATGTTTAAATTGTTATCCCGTCAAAAGGAAGGGAGCTGGAATTATTTCTCTGCGCTTGATTGCTAGATAATCTTTTAATTACAATAATGTAAGATTTTTCAATTTGCTTTATTACTCTTATATTTTATTTGATAACAAAAATGGTGACTTGGTTGACTTGAAAGGGAAATATCACAATATAAAATTTCTTTAAGCTTGTCAAATTATGAACAATCTGTAGTTATATCAATTTACATTGGGTGAAACAATAATTTTGAAATGAACCTTTACAATAATGGATGAAAGCAAGTTTGAGAGAAATGATAAAGCTGTAACTTAAAACAATGATTCAGAATTAAGTAAAGAAACCAAAAAACCATAAGCTGAACAGGGTTGAATTGATTATGTAGCTTGGCAAAACCTTCAGTATTCATTTTGGTCAAATGAAAGTTTTACTTTCAATAGACACAATTGATATATTTGAATAATTGGTTCATGTTGAAAGAATATTACTTGATCGGTGATATAACTATGATACTTCAAGATATTCATACCATCCGAAAGACATTTGAATTGTGTGTGAATGAACTTTAGCAGTAAATGAAAGTAAACTTTAAATTTGAGAGACAAATAGATGGCTAAAACAATTAATGTTCCTATGGATGACAATATTCAATCTCCACCATCATAAAGAAGTTTTCCTTGTATCTGTTCATATTTAAATCTAATTTATCGTTATTTTTGCTGGAATTTCCATTGGAGATGAGAAATATTTGTACATTTAAAGTGTGTTTGTGTTTCCTTGATGCCAGTTACTGGTGTGTGAGTTAGTTTTTGAACAATGAAGTAATACTAGAGTTATTTTGTTAAAGATCTGCATAATTAGTACTCAGTCCTTATGATAGTTTCCATGGACTATGTTTTGAACTTATTCAATTATTTCGACACTTTCATCTGAACTTGATTCATCAGCCAAAGCCACTGTAGATGAGCTAGATGAAGATGAGTCAGATGAACAGCTGTTTGTTCTATTACCAGTTAAATTTTCTAGAAACAAATTTTGACGAAATTCTTGGGGTAATTGGTGAAAATCGACATCACCTTCAATAAGCAAATCCAGATTCTTGACGACAGAGCTATCGAAATGGTTATTTCTTGAGACATTCAGCGCTCTTCTTTTATGTTCATGATGTTGTTTTAATAAAGCAGAAATAGTAACCTTGCATTTGGGCTCTTCAGGATTCTTTAGAATATAATACACCTTTTGCCTATCAATAACACCATTCTTGAACAGATTTTTAACAGGAAAATCAGCCTTTTCTCTGTTTAAACTGGCTCTTGGTGTCATTCTTCTTGTTTTTCCAGGATCCATTACAGATTAGAATTGATTTTTGCCATCCCTGTAATTTTAAATAAAAGATGAAACATTATAAACCAAGAAAAATAGGGGAGGCAATAAAAAATCAAAAAAAAAAGATGGCTTCAACAAAATGATCCATTTTTGAGGTCACAACTAAAATAATTATTTACCTTGGATTAATGATACTTGCATAATCTTGAATCATCAGGGAACTGTTTCTTGCAGTTTATGAGCTATTACGGCCCGAAGATGATCTATTTTGTTAAATAGTTAATTTTGAATAAATGCAATGCACATTATTAGATAGCAATTGAAAATAACTAAATTCTGATATTTTACTGTCAAGTTTGTTCTCTTCCAGATGAAAAAAATAAACAAACAAATGAGGCGCCGTCTAACGATTGGTAATGAATGTAATACCTGAGAAGATTTATTTTATAATGTAACTTGAAATTATTGTATTTTTAATCATTAGTAAAGCAATGTTTGATTTCAAATGGTTGATCCATATGTCTAGTTAAATCTAAATTGGATTTATCAGAGTTTTAATCCGTCCAACTGTGGATATTGATTGTTGATCATGTTTGCTCGTGGTTAATGAATACTGAATTTGGTCCTTTCTGGTGTGTTATTGGAGCGAGTTTGAATGAGAAGTATGATTAACAAACAAATGTTTCTGTTTTTGTATTTTAGGTGAAAAGATATGAAATAGGAAACAGGTCATGATTTTGTTATTTTTTAGTTGACAATAATTTTAATTTTTTAATGAATTGATGTTTTGGAATGATGATTAGGTGGTTTAGTTGTTTAACCAAATGACAAAAATTTTTTACCCTTTCTTAATGTTCCAGTGAAACTTGAACCACTATTGCGATAGCTTCCCATGCTGTCTCGTGATTTCGTGTAAGAGACTGAATTTCTTAAACTATATCTCAGGTAAACTTGACAGCCTTGAGTGGATTCGGGTGTTTCAAGAATAGATGAAATAACAGATATCCATTGTTTCCTTTCTTCTTCCGTTTCTGCACTGAAAAGCCAAGTTCTTTCTGGTGTTTTCATTATAAATCCATACATGTGTTTCTTCAATGGAGCTGGAATGCCTGATGATATTGCAAATTGTTTTCCTTTTTCACCTAAATATATTTCACCTTTAGGAAAGGGGTCCTAAATAAACACAGTTTGAATAAATAGTAAACCAAAAAATTCATATTCAAATTTGTTTCTCAATTAACTTACCAATGGATCTTCTAAATACATTAATTTACGATAATCTAGTGTAAACCAACGTTTCTTATAAGAGTCTCCGATTTTTGGCCCAGTCTTCCAAAGATAACCTTCTTTAAGAAAGTCTCGAGTCAAATGAGGTAATAATTCAATCGGCGGGCAAGTCGGATAAGCTATTTGAAGATATTGATATTTAGCAGCTTTAATTGCCATGTACCAATCAATAATTTCCTAATGAGTAAGACCAAATAGACTCCAAATGAAATGAAATTGTTTAAATGAATAGGCATAAAGTTGATTATTTTACTTACCTTTCCGTCATCAGCATATACGTAAATACTTCTTGTGTAAACGTCTTTAAGATAAGTTAATTGGAGAGCATTTGGACTTTTGATTGTTTTAATCTTCGCCGGATCACAGAAGGTTGCATTTAAATCAGGAATGTTAATCACTGCTTTAGGAGTTTTGCTGCTCTGTTAAAAGTAACAATAAACAAATACAAACTATAATAATAAGTTCAGTGTAAAATGTTGATGTTAAATTGATGGAAGGAATTTAATCTACTTACACTTTTTATATAATATTTGAGTGTCTGATCAACTTCAGATAATACGAATTTTCTTCTCTCAAGTTTCTTGCCCTTTTTACCTTTCTTCATCAGGAATCCCTCCATGTAACCCCGACTGTAAACAGTGTTAACCTGATGCATAAACTCTTTACGTTCATATTTAGCGCGGATCCATTGTTCCCGGAGTACACTGAAAATTGAAAGAAAAAGGTGTAAATTTAACAAGAGCAATCAATCACAGTTAAATATTCTTAATTACTTTGGGTCATCACGATTAGGTCGACGATAATAGGGAGGCACATGTTTCTCGTAGTGTTCCTTGGCTAACTCATTGCCATACTGTTCCATAAAGGTTAACAATTCTTGGTCCCAATTGTCATAATCAAATGATTTTACAAACGAAATGTGTGATCCTAATCCACGATGAATACGAGCACATTCTGAGCACAAGAAAACACCAATTGTTACAGAAGCCCAATCAGGATCTAATTATTAAGAGAAATGTAAAAAACAAAAGCAAAACAAAGAACCAAAAGATATAAAGGATTAGATAATATTAAAGATTACAAGTATCGCTTAATCCATTAGATATTTGATCCCGGTCAAAGCAGATGAACTTTAATACGCACTTGGATGATTACAATCAGCACATAAATTGTTGTATGGAAGTTTAGCCAACTCTTTTAAACGATTTATATTTACTTCACTCATAACAACAATTTAAAAAAGTGAATATGATTCTTAAATCAAAACTATTAGGATCTACGATTTCCACTGATCAGTTTCAACAGTTTAATGTATCAAGATATTTTGTTTTGGTAACCAAAGTGGTGAAAAAAGCCATTGTAAAAGTAAAAACAAAAGTGTAAGTTGAAAGGAAGTTTACAAAATTAATTAATTTCTGTTTTTTTCATTGAAATAATAATGTAGTATTATCGTCATCGTAATATCGTCAATCCCCATTTTCAATCATCATCCTTTGTGCAATATTACCTCTATCTTTTCATTTCATCCATTTCCCGTTGAAGAAATATTTCCTTTGTACCAATTTTCCTCAGGATATGCACAATTTTTCAAAATTTAGTGACTTCATGTGACAAATTGGGATCAAATTGACTAATAAGTTAACAAAACAACAAAACTAACCAATCAATTTTTTCATTTAATTAGCATATTAGGGTCTTTATTCAAAGGATGTCTATTCATCAAATCAAGGATGATCAAAATGAACCAAGCCAAAGCCATGGATAGAATAACTTAAATCTCCTTTGGAAAACATTCACAACATGAGATTAAGAGATGAAGAAACGGTCAAGAAAAACAAAAAATGGTATTAATAGAAAACGAAATCTGAGAAGAAAGTAAAAATGTTTAACATAATTTGGTTACCTTTAGCTTTCTTTATCTTATGGTCTACCTTTTTGGTACTGATTTAATGTGTTAGGATGAAGAAATGATTAAGGTAAAAGTTTAACGGTTCTTTAAATTGTAAAAAATGTATAAAAGTAAATTCCAGCGAGTTGAAGTTTGAGGTAAACACAAATGAAACACAGGTAAAACTATTGTATTTTAGTCTTCTTCATCTTAAAGTATCTCTTTCTGATTGTTAATCTAACTTATTTTATAAATGCAACTCGTGACAGTGCAACTGTTTTTGCCCTCTCAACAATGACCTCATCAATTCAGATATTCAATATCATGTTGAATTTACAGGAAGATAATCTTCAATTCTTAGAACTTTTTACTGAATATGGTAAACTTGCCTTAGAGGCTTCACCCGATGTTAAACCCTTCCAAAAACTTATGTTCTTAGTTCGTGATTGGCCTTACGCTGATGCTCATGAATATGGTTTAAAAGGAGGACAATCTTTACTAGATAAGAGGCTGGAGATAATGGAAGATATGCCTGAAGAACTTCAACGACTCAGGAGAAATATTCGAAGCTGTTTTGCAGATATTGAATGTTTCTTGATGCCTCATCCCGGATTTGAAGTATCTACCAAAAAATTTGATGGTCGAACGAAAGATGTTTCACCCAAATTTATCGATTTTCTCAAGACTTTGATACCACTTTTGGTTTCACCATATACAATTCGTCTCAAGAATATTGGTGGGGAAGAAGTTTCAGGTCGTCAGCTCCTGGAATATTTCAAAGTCTACACCTCCATCTTCAAAGGTAATTCATTGTTGTTTACCTGTAATATTATGTTTGGCTAATCCTTTTTATCTGCTTTTTAGGAGATACAATACCCGGTCCCAAGTCCATGTTGGAAGCAACTGCGGAGGCTAATAATCTAGCAGCTATTGCATCAGCTCGAGATCTTTATATGTCAAGTATGGAGGAAATGTGTGGTGGTAATAAACCATATCTCAATGAATCGTTGTTGCAACGAAAACACGAGCAATATCGTTCTGAAGCTCTTGACTGTTTCTTAAAATTCCGTAAAATGGGTGGAAAAGAAATCGAAGAGATGTATATGAAGCAATTGGAAGAAAGTATATCCACTGCTTTCACTCACTTTTGTGCCCAAAATAAGTCAAAAAATATGCTTAACTTATTTGGTTCGAGTTTTATCCTTTTGGTCTGGTCTTTTATTCTCTATTTTTGTTCAAAAATCTTTGAATCAATCGCTCTCCCACTTTCCAATCTATTCTTTCTCTGTGCAACGTGTTCGTTTGCTCTCCTTCTAACTTATACCAGTTCTTTTTTTCCTGCATTCAGAGAGGATTTCCGTCATCAACAGTATCAATGGATACTAAAGATTACCAAATCAATGAAAGACGCTAACTTTTATTGCATTTTTTTCAAAAAAAGTTGAGTTAAATCTTTCATCCAAGCTGCTTCCAAATGAACGAATAATCAGAGATAAGTTGACCTTGACAGTTTCGTTGAATCCAATGCAAGCGTTAATTTAACTGTCGACAAATAGTTATCAGTCGCGTGGGTCCTTGCCCCTAACTAAACAGGATCCTTTAAAATGTATCTTCCGGCTTAGCGGATAAAAAATACACCAAAAATCAAGAATAACAGCAAGAGAAAGACAAAAACAATTTCTGGAAATTTGCGATTGTCTTTTTGATGGATTTATGTTCAATTTATTTCCGTCAACAGTGTTCACCATAGCTGAAGATTCAGTGTTAATTTTATTTCGTACAGCCTTGGTTTTGTTTAACAAGTTGAAAGATAAGATGAAAGCCAAAGTACAATTGAAACAAGTTTAGAGAATACGATTAAAAGAGAAAACAGTTGCGAATTTTCAGTCGCCATGGACGATGACATCTATTCGCTGGAACGTTTGCGTCCAGCTCCACCTAAACCACCAAAGTCTACAAATGTTAAGACAACTTCATCGATTAAAGAACGAAACAATAAAAGTTCCATTGGTGTTGATTCAATGGTATCGACATCACCTGTAGGAGCAACACCACCAGTTGGAGCAACGGTATCATCACATCGACAACTAGCTTCTCTTCAATCTTTAACAGGTTCAGTTTTGACTCAACAATCCTCATCAACCTCCAGTCAACAATTATTGCTTGAAAGATCATTATCATTGCAAGAAACTCCATCTCAGGGGTTAGTGAATGGCAAAAAACAGGTAACCAGTCGTCTTCAATCTAACCCAATTACCGACTCAGAGAATCGTTTGGCCACTCTATTGGAGCGTGACTCTTTTGGTCCTAGAGCTCTCAATGATTCAGCCACTGTTTCTTCATCCATTGAAATGGGTGGTCTAATTAGTGCTACCAGTTCCTCTTTACTTCATGGGATTATACTTCTACTCATCATGTTAGCATCCTTAGCAGCTTTTGTAGCCTCCAAATTGGCTGATCCATGTGAAGACTTTTACCTTTCTGATAATCTTGAATGTTCAACTTTAACCGCCATATGTTTTTCCGCCGTCAACATACTTTCCTGTCTTTATACATTTACAATTTACTTTCTCCATTTGATTGGACAATGTGATTACATTAGCTGGTCTGCTCGACGAAAGGTTGCTGCTGAAATTATATGTACTCTTGGTATGATCAGTGCCTTGGTTGCATCCATTTTTGCTTTATACACTAAAACAATTGCTTTGCAAAACTTGGTTTGTGTGGTCGCCTCTGCCTTCTCAATCATCACAATTTTACTTTACGTGCTTCGAAGTGGCTTGTTGTTGCGTGAAATTCGTATGCTTTGGTCCAAGCCTTTACCTTCAAGACAATCTTCAAAAATTTCACGTAAAACATCTGTAGTTAACAGCAATCAAGAAGGAACATCAAACAACACTGGATCTAAAAAATGGTCAACGTCCAGAGGCTCCTTCTCAAGAGCATCAGTATCGTCAGCAAGTGCTCACCAACACAAGTCCCAGTCTCAGTCTATAAAAGTTAAACGGGAAAATAATCAGATTAATAATGTTCCAGTAAATCCATCAAATCAAGTGGGCCAAGAACAAGAGACTGAACTAGAAGACGATGTATTTATCTCATGATGGTTAAATGGTGGTCGTGCCGTAAGAAGTTGGTTTACAGATTTTCTGTACCGATTGAAACAGCATCCAAACCAGGATGGTTTCAGTCGATTAAATGAAACTGACTTCAGGCCAGAATCTGTTTTGATGGAATCAGCTCTTTAAATGATTGAATAAAAAACCATTCAAGATTAACTTTTTGAATATTTGACACGATCACCAACAATTGATACAACACACTTATCCAAAATGATATTTCAAATCGACAGTCCCCAATAATACTAGAAGATCAACCAATTTTACCAAGATACATATTATAATATAAGTGCCGCTTGATAATACGAAATTAATGCCCACAGTATGTAATTTGGATTTCACAGCTCGACTGAATAATATCTTCACAAGAATCCCACTGAAAGGTGAATCAATATTAAAACAGGATAACCCATTGATCAAAGACTTTGAGTTGCTACCAGTTCTCTTCCAGTTTGGGAAATAGTTTAACAATGACTTTATACAAGAAGCATCTTCAATATTTGGTTCAGATAATCCATCAACAGGTTTAATAAAGAGCTCTTTTATTCTGGAATATCACTCAGCAATTGAATCTGCATATCCGAACCTTATTTGTTGAGAGAGACAAAAAAATAATGAATTAATATGAAGTCTAAAAAATTAGAGATACAATTTGGCTTGTTTTGAAGCCAATTCCTGGTTTGAACAAAACCGTGAAACAATGATTTCAATTATAAATGTATTCGAAAATTCCTCAGTCGCAGTCCAAATTTTTGTTACACCATTTTCACCTTAATCAACAATTTTTGTCTCTTCCTTAAACCTAGTTCATCATCTGTGTAAATAAACGTTTAATATTACCTGTAATAGTGTTTAATATCTTACTCATATTCATAGTTTCATCAATTACTCAACACAAAATTATTAAATTTTTACAACATTGGCCATAAAATTACGATTTTGCCAATTTAATTGTGTTGATGAATTATACAATGTTTTAATGTGTGTTTCCTAATCATATGTTTAGCCTTTATTGTTTTACAATGCTCAGATGATAAATAATGCGACTTATACAATTGTAAAATTTTTGCCAAAAATAAATAGAACATTGAACCTAAATGTCGACTTGTCTACACCTTAATTCAAGCATAATTGTTAGCTGATAATATTAATAGAATGTAACAGCTTAATCAGAACACTCATCTTGATCATAATAGTTAATATTGAATAATAATTGAGGATTTCATTAGTTATCCTTGAGCCTAAAACAATCTTGTTCAATTGACTTACTTGTGTTGGATTAGATTGGATTTTAATCACTTTCTTCAACTCAAGTAGCTTGTAATCAAAACATAAAAACAAGAGACTAATTGTTAATCTAAAGTAGGATCAACTTACAGTTTGTTGAGATCAATGTAAAAAGTAACATCAAGATCAACATGAAGACGCCAAATGAACTGAAAGTTAAATCACATTGTATCCATAAAAATTAAAATTGATTTTTCATCCCAAGACAATAGCTTCACCAAATTGTTCTAGATTTCACAATTTTTTATGAATAGCGAAGAGTTGCTTGCAATAAATAATTAATAAATAAAATAAGACACGAAGAGTATATCATGAAATGTTAATGTTGAAAGCTTGCAAATCAATAAACTGTTGACTCAGATTTATCCAGCCATCTTAAACGGTTCCCTGTCCGTTCACCAAACTAATTCTTTGAGTAAACAAAAGCTTGAAAATGTTTTACAGCTTTTAACTTTCTTTTAATTTCAAGTCAGAGTCGATGTTAATTTTTGGGTTAATCAAAGCCCATTATATCATAACAAAGGTCTAAGTATTCAGTTAATGGAGTAGCGTTATTGATATAACTATCAGTTTAAAATGTGATCATTAAGTCGAGCATATTTTGGTGAATGACCAAAACTAAAAATGATTAGAATGTAAAAAAAGTAACATCAAGATCAACATGAAGACGCCAAATGAACTGAAAGTTAAATCACATTGTATCCATAAAAATTAAAATTGATTATGAATTTTAATAAAAAATAGATCAAAATATGTTCATTCAAAGCTTAGATTTGAAACAACTAATTGATAATCTCGAAGCAAAGCTGGAAGATTATTTTTGTTTAGAGCTGTAAAACATGTTCTTGTTTTGTTTGCTCAAGAATTAGTTTGGTGAACGGACACTATACCATCTTAAACACTAATGTCTTGTTGGATTTTTCTTGAAACAGAAGAGTGTCGATTGTAAATGAAGTAAATTTATTAATCGGTTTTAATTGAATTTCAAATGTATCTGATTTGAGTTTATTGAAAATTTAAATATTAATAGCTAATCATTTGAAGATTTTATAAAGTAATAATGTTGTTGTGTTGTTAGTGTTCTGTATGTAATTATGTAACGACCCCCTACCTAACAGTTAAATCTTTTTTCATCTCTGTTTTGGTTTGGTTAGGAACTACACAATATTACTTTATTCATTGAGTTGGCAGATCTTGTCTTTTTTAAAATTGTGTTTCTTGATTAAATTAACAATGGTATCTAATTCAAAAGGTGATTTTTATGATGATTACCAATCTGATGATGTTTCATCGACCATCCCAGAACCTGGGCCTGTTCAAATTGTTCAAATTGTTAAAACAGAGTCTGGAGGTCATCAATTAAAACTAGACACGGAGGCTCTTTCATCAATTCTTCTCCAGGATAAGGTGAAGGATAAGCCTGTGGCTGTTGTCTCAATTGCTGGAACTTTCAGGACGGGGAAATCATTTTTACTCAATTTCTTTATAAGATATTTTAGTAGACAAGGGGAAAGTGATTGGTTGGATGATGAAGATGTTCCTTTAAAAGGTAAGTTTATGATTTTAATGAAAAGGCGCTTTTAGGTTTCTCTATCTAAACACTCTATAGAAAAAGTTTGGCTTTGATGTTTCAATTTAGTGCCAAGGTCATTTACATGTACATATTGTTTGATTCCTTTCCTTCTACTTGCCTTTATGTTTACTTTTTTTCGTATCTTTTCATTTGCTTTTTGCCACATTCATCATTTTCCTTGTTAGCTTTAATATTCAGTTCAAATTTCTTCTTGTTGATCAGGTTTCTCTTGGAGATCAGGTCCGGACCGGGAGACAACTGGTATCCTTATGTGGTCAGAGCCCTTCATAATTGAGAAAGATGGCAAAGAAATCGCTGTTCTTCTCATGGATACTCAAGGAACTTTCGATGGCAGACACACAACTCGTGACAGTGCAACTGTTTTTGCCCTCTCAACAATGACCTCATCAATTCAGATATTCAATATCATGTTGAATTTACAGGAAGATAATCTTCAATTCTTAGAACTTTTTACTGAATATGGTAAACTTGCCTTAGAGGCTTCACCCGATGTTAAACCCTTCCAAAAACTTATGTTCTTAGTTCGTGATTGGCCTTACGCTGATGCTCATGAATATGGTTTAAAAGGAGGACAATCTTTATTAGATAAGAGGCTGGAGATAATGGAAGATATGCCTGAAGAACTTCAACGACTCAGGAGAAATATTCGAAGCTGTTTTGCAGATATTGAATGTTTCTTGATGCCTCATCCCGGATTTGAAGTATCTACCAAAAAATTTGATGGTCGAACGAAAGATGTTTCACCCAAATTTATCGATTTTCTCAAGACTTTGATACCACTTTTGGTTTCACCATATACAATTCGTCTCAAGAATATTGGTGGGGAAGAAGTTTCAGGTCGTCAGCTCCTGGAATATTTCAAAGTCTACACCTCCATCTTCAAAGGTAATTCATTGTTGTTTACCTGTAATATTATGTTTGGCTAATCCTTTTTATCTGCTTTTTAGGAGATACAATACCCGGTCCCAAGTCCATGTTGGAAGCAACTGCGGAGGCTAATAATCTAGCAGCTATTGCATCAGCTCGAGATCTTTATATGTCAAGTATGGAGGAAATGTGTGGTGGTAATAAACCATATCTCAATGAATCGTTGTTGCAACGAAAACACGAGCAATATCGTTCTGAAGCTCTTGACTGTTTCTTAAAATTCCGTAAAATGGGTGGAAAAGAAATCGAAGAGATGTATATGAAGCAATTGGAAGAAAGTATATCCACTGCTTTCACTCACTTTTGTGCCCAAAATAAGTCAAAAAATATGCTTAACTTATTTGGTTCGAGTTTTATCCTTTTGGTCTGGTCTTTTATTCTCTATTTTTGTTCAAAAATCTTTGAATCAATCGCTCTCCCACTTTCCAATCTATTCTTTCTCTGTGCAACGTGTTCGTTTGCTCTCCTTCTAACTTATACCAGTTCTAAGTAAGTATACTTCTAACATTTTTTTGTGTTCGTTAATTGATTTTTTAACCAACACATTTCTTGTTGATAACGATACGACTAAATATTTCTCAACTTTAATTTCTAACAATTGTAGATTTCTTGGAACTCTTCCCGAGATTGTTATGGCGGTTGATGCAATTGTCTCCCAGGTTCATTCGTGGATCCAAGACTCGATGTTATTAATGGTACAGAGGTATTTAGAGAACAGAATGTTGTCAGTGTCTCAAGGAGCTTCTGGAGGAGAAGCAGGAGCAAGAGGAGATCGAAGGCCACTTGTTCAAAACACGAGATAATGTCCATGTGAAAAGTCTTTCATTGTATGGCTATAAAATGTTTATAAAAAATTGTATGGCAATTCTTTTTTCCTAAATCTATTGCGAATGTATAAAAGGCAAAAATCTTTTAAAATTACCTTAAATACAAAAACCCGATTAATTAATTAAATTAACCGGATTTATTTTATTTCTTGTAACACTCATTCAGAGAGAAAAAAAATGAGGAAAGTTTCCTCTTGAATCACCTCATTTTGTAACGCAAAACACACTGATAACTGAATTATTAAAGAAGTGCCATCAAAAATGCATAAAATTTGCAGCAGTAATTTCACAGCACAAACATATTGATGTGGTTTAATCATTAATCAGTGCAAAATTGCTCAGTTCCCCACACATTTCACAACTGTTTATGATAACTAATTGTTATACTGTTAACTTAATTATTGAGCTTTCAGTACAGTTATTTGTAAAATTCAGTTAAAAAGATAAGTAAATTGTGAGTTGGGTCAATCAGCCATAAAATTTTGTTGTCTCGTTTACGGCAGAGTAATTTAAATCATTACGATTAAGCTTTACTTTACTGAGAAAACGGGAAATAGACTCACTCAAGTTTTACCTTTAAAAATAGATATTCGTGTGATGGATTGTTGTATCCTGGTCTTACCATTTAATCATTAGTTAATGAAAACATTTTAGTGCAAAATGTTTAAATTTGTCAATCGTTTTGGTTCCATTTTTAGAGTTCAACTTTGAAATCAACTTCCCTGCTAGTTTGATCCAAAATTTATTTCATCTGTTACAACAAGCAATTTTAATCATCATTAAATATTACTTGAAACGTATTACAACAATGTAGTCAATCTCTGTTCTGTAACAATCAAGTTCATCCTTGAATTTAATGTCAACAGGTGTTATTCAAAATTCAATCAGATCAATCATTGAAGTGCCATTTCAATATTATTTGTTTTTCATCATCAGAGTAATTGATTGAACAATTTGAATATAAAACAAGCAAATTTATTTTAAAGCTCCGTTACAATAAAATTTTGTATCTGCAAAAATTGAGATTATAAATTTGTAAGAATAGTCATTGCTTTTGGAGTAAGAAAAATATCAAAAATATTAATATTTTAACTTCCCATGAAGTTGATTAAATGTATTGAAATTGACAAACATGACAAAAATAATTCGTAAATTGAGATAAAAATCGAGTAAAATACTTGATAATTTTAGTTCCAAAAGATTTGATCATTTTCCCCTTTGATTGATTTAATGGCAAAATGTGATCTCACATGAACAATCAACTCAATTGGATATTTGGTATAATTAGTGATTGCCTTTTTCATCCAATCTCGAGCTTCTTTGTACCTTTTCAACTTAATGTTTGAACAACCCAACTCAAGACAAGCACATGGAAGAATGTAATGATTTGCTGAAATATTTTGCTGATGGTCAAAAATCTCCATCAAAACTGTTGTAGATTCCATTGATTTATCAAGATGTCGTAGACAGACTCCTTTCAACAACAGCAATAGGCAATAATCATCGGTTGATTCTTTAACCACTAATTCCCAATGTAAATAAGATATAAATATTAACAGAAATAAACAAAAAGTGGGAATGAATTAAGTCTTACCTTTGGTGAATAATTTCAACTGTTTATCGACTGTATTAAGAATTGGTTCAATTAGTTGTGGAGCATTGATGCTTGAAAATATATTCCAGATATAAAATATTTCCTTGAAGAGAAGAAACAAGAAATAAAATTAAAATCATTATCAATATGTAACCAGAAAATTTCAAATCAAGTCGATGAAAAAAACTTACATAAGCGGGAACAACCATTTTACCGCCATTCTCAATGAACTTCTCAGCCATTCTGCATGCAAATTTTTCTCTTGGCGTGCTTTTACCAGCAAAACGTCGTTTCAAAGTAGGAACTTCCCTGGTTTATGAAAAAGATATCAAAGCATCAGCAAAGCAGTAAAATTTTATTCTTGAAACTAAACATTTCAATGGTCTCATAAATTCATACCAATATTATGTAAATTGTAATACATTAATTTTTAGCGAAAAATAATAAAATATTTCGTTTTTTACCCTCTTTGATCAACAAACTTAATTTAATAATGTTAAGCTAAAGGGACTTTTGGGTTGATTTTGAGCAGTCGAACCCATTTTTAAAATTTCACTTTAGTCATAGAGCAAAGCTTTGCATCGAAGATTCAATCTTGTTTGGAGTTACCAGCGTTATAAAATGAGACTGCATATTAATCTATCATTTATAATGTTAATTATTATTTAAGTGATATTTTACCTCATTGCATCGTTTATTTTAGCAGATAATGAATGATCATTTGTTTCCTCTCTCAACATGTACAGATAGACTGCATATTGGTACGTAAAAGTGCATGGTGACCATAAACTCTCTTTCCTCATCTTATCTGCATATTCAGATGCTTTTGTCCAATTTCCTTGAACCCTGTAAATTATTATTGATTAATTAAAAAATGAGAAAATGATTAGTGAAATAGTTGATCTTGAAAAAGTTTGAAGCATAAAATTTCCTACAGATTTACAGCTTATCGGCATATGTTATTCTGATTCATGTGTTTCAATGATCAAAATCGTTATTTTAATTTGATCTCGAGAGTTTCATTCATTAGGTGTGATTTTAATAGATATGTTTAACTGTTTAAAGTTATGATACATACGCATAGTTCCACATAATTTCCCAATTGCAAGCATTATGAAGTTGTTTCCACTCATCTTGCATCTTAATTGCTTCATTGAAAGATTTGATTGCATCATCACAGTTCCCTTTCAATTGATACAATTTACCAGTGAATAGTGGCAAGAAAACGCTCTGAAATAAAAGTTCGAAATTGGTTTAATCTCTTCTAATATTTAGATCGCAACACACTCCAACCGTATTTACCTTTGGACAATGACTGGCTTGTTTATCCAATAAATCCTCAATTCTGGTGATATCCTTCTCTCCCCATCCAATCATTGTTTCAATGTGACTGAAGTTGATCAAAAGTAATATAATTGCAAATGGACTTCGTCCAGTCCCATCCAATTCAGCAGCAGCTGTTAATTCATCAATTCCGATACTTCGTTCCCCCGAGAAACCCATGAATTCAAGGATTCTTAAAACTCTTGGAGGAGACATTGAAAGAGCCTGAAAAGTTATCGAGTTTGATATTTACATAACAAAATTTACAAAATTTGCAACAACTGGTCACTTACCAGGTTATAAATGCCAGTTCCAGCATGAACACCGGATGCAAACTCTCTTCGAGTTACTTCAGACTGCCATTTGGTTCGCTTTTGGATGATAGTTTGACAGATTCTGTTGGAAAGGTTTCATTGCATTAAAATAAATGTTTTCACGACTCTTTTAGACCTTACTTGTACGATTGAAAACCATAACGGAAACGACAGGCGCCTTTGATTAAGCTGAGGAAACTTTGATCTTGGACGAAAGTAATCAATGCTAGCATGAATACAGAATCAGCATATGCCAATTCAGCATGAATCTCCTCTGGAAAAAATAAACAAATCAATAAACTCTTCTCTTCAAAATGAATGATTATTAAGAAATGATTTACCTTCAGTGAATTCATCATAATTTGTTCTTCTAAGGTAATCCATCCAAGAATAATGTCTTTTCCGAGCTGAACTCAAATCAACAGACTTTTTCAATGCTTCTATGGCAAACTCAATTTCTGGCTGCAAGAATCATCGTTGCGTGATATCCAAGAGACAAGAAAAAAGACTCAATTATTTCAACTTCATAAATCGATTGTAAAACTTGGTTCTTTTCCTGGATTTGCTTTTTTAAAACCCAAGGATATTAAGAGTTACAAATAATTGACCAAGCTACATGTAGTTACATTGAATAAAATTTAAATAAGTATTCAAAAACTTCAATGAAATGGCTTCTGTAAAAGTTATTTGATTTCCTTAATTATCCAAAGTCAGACTTTCATATAAAATCGATATAAAGTCATTCATAACGTCAACTCCAAAAGATCTCATAATAGCAAAAGCAAAGATGACGATTGCCATATAAAGATGTCGGATTAGGTTTAAAAGCAAAGATACAAACCTTTTCAAATGTCATCCAAGCTCGAAGCCAAGACATGGTACCATAGCTGAGTGTCAGGTAAAGATGTTGTTCGTTGTCTTGTTTACATAGTTCCAGCGCCTTCTCAAATTGGTTTTGAAAAAACAATCTCGCGGCTTCAATTACTCTAACAATCTGGCCATGAATGGAGTAATCTTGATCACCAACTCCAACCAGCTTGTCACCCTCACCATCGGTAGTCGATGATGAATGTTTCGACTGGCCTTTGCCAAGTTTAGAAGCACTCTTGTCCTGTTGAAAACATGAGAACATTAATCAAACATTTAGAGCAAAATTTGATGAAAATACGAAACCTCTTTTGACGCCATTTCTCAAGCTGAACCAAAGATACTTGAATGATGAGCTTGACACTGTTTAATGTTTACTGTTTCATTAATAAATCATTAATGATTCAACCTTTTCACTTGATCTGCACCTTTGACTGTTAAATTATAACACGATGGGAATGGAAATATGAATGCTGAAAATAATACAAGAATGAAAATGATGTTGGGTTTAGTTGCCCTTAGCATCTAATGCAGACAATCAACTTTATTTCAAGCAACTTGAAATTATTAATATCATTTTTCTTCGTCTTCCTTGTCTCTTTCCATCTTCCTTAATTAATTCACTTGATTCGACTCACAAAAATGCTGCTCAAAATTTCATCTTACATGAGACTTGAACTTGCTCGACTACAATTCAGAGCCAAATTAACTTCTCAAAGGGACAACTTGCCAAAACAATGATGAATGAAAATAACCAGTTGATTGTTTCCAATATCAGATTTACATTTGCATTCATTTAGTAACAATTTTGTAATTTAACTTAAATTACTTTAAATTGTTTGACGAAATCAATCCTAGAATGAAATGTAAACACCTTAATGGAATTAATGTACTCTTTAAATCAAGAACTTATTATGCAATGACGAGAATTGATACTTTCATATTTAATTTCCTCAAACTATTGATTCAAAATATTTCTCACGAGATAATTAAAAACTAGACCGATTCACTGAAGATGATCATCATGACTATTTGTGGGCTTTTTGAGTTACAAGGTCTGATTGATTTACACTCGAATAATTTGAATAATCAATTTAATTTACTAAGACTTCTGAAAACAAGCAAAGTTGTTGCTAAAAAGACACAATAGTCACTTTTATGCAACTTTATTGCACCAAGTTGAAACAAATGGACAGCTACGGAGAATAATTGATTTCTTATATATTTAGCCTCTGTCTGTTAGTAGGGCAATAAAATCTGAATCCATTTGAGTCATTTAAAAATTGTTACGATCGACAATTCTCCAGAAAATCGACTTCAAAGTTGAAACTTCGATCGTCATTTGCACATTTATGCAATGAGATTTTTTCATGAAACTCCTTTTTACTGATGATAAGTTTGATTGCAAACCAGAAAATACAATAATTCTGAGAAATGAAAGTTTATTTTTTCTGTAAAACGGATAAGTTCGATTTTTATCAAAACCGACCAATTTCAATGACCAAAATACTTAGAGAGCTTAAACTTATTATTTGTGCACAAGAATTGATAGCAAACATTGTCGATTGAACGATTTTGTCAATTTATCGATAGTTCTCTTGATTTCGGCTATTGGCCTTAAAACTTTAAGCCTCAATATTAAGGGAAAGGTACAACCTAGAATCATCATTCTTTCTCCGACCAATAGATCTAATTGTGGACTATTACAATATAAATTTTAGATGATTTAATATTATACAGAAAAAAAGTCATAGCATTTTATCACTATGCTGTCAGCTACGAGACTTGATTTATAAAGCTAAATGGTTACTTAAACACAAATGCTAGCTGTTAGAAAGATATTCATTATTTCATGAATATGCTCATATAATGTTATGACCCATAATAAGATCTATTGATTGAACAAAGAATGAAGATTCTAGGTTGTACCATTCTCGAAATACTGAGGTTCAAAGTTTTAAGGCCAATGGCCAAAATCAAGAGAACTATCGATAAATTGACAAAATCGTTCAGTCGACAATGTTTGCACTCAATTCTTGGGCACAAATAATAAGTTTAAGCTTTCTAAGTATTTTGGTCATCGAAATTGGTCGGTTTTGATAAAAATCGAACTTATCTGTTTTACAGAAAAAATAAACTTATATTCCTCAAAATAATTACATTTTCTGGTTTGCAATCAAACTTATCATCAGTAAAAAGGAGTTTCATGAAGAAATCTTATTGCATAAATGTACAAAAGGCGATCGAAGTTTCAACTTTGATCTCGATTTTCTGGAGAACTTAGAATCTTAGAAATTTTTAAATGGTACTAATGGACTCAGATTTTATTTCTCTACAAACCGACAGAGTCTAAATATATCAGAAATCAATTATTAACCGTAGCTGCCCATTTGTTTCAACTTGGTGCAATAAAGTTGCATAAAGGTGACAATCTTGTCTTTTTAGCAACAACTTCTGCTTGTTTTTACAATCCTTAGCTAATTGAGTGGATTTCTTGCAGAACTGTCGATCATAGAAATTATTAAATGACAAAAAGGACTCAGATTTTGTGTCACTACAAACCGACAGATTCCGAATATGTACCAAATCAACTCTTACCCGATTTCTGTTCATTTGTCTTTCAATATTTTTGTTAAGTAATGCTAAAATATTGTAAAATATAACAATGTATCAGTTTGAAGCATTTTTGGATTGTTAGATTGCTTATTTAAGTTTTCTGCATATCGCTAAGATCATATGAAATAACTGTGACCTTCAAGTCAATAATAAAATGCGTATGTGTGTTTCATTTGCCGTTAAAAAAACTCTAGCATATGGTGCATGGTCCTTTCCTTGGGCTATGGAAGTTGTAGATTCTGTAGGATAACAATTTGATTGACAGTTTTCTCTCTGATTTTATCCTTGCTTGATATTCATGTCTGTATATCTTTCTGATCTGATTAATTTCAGCCTTCAACGATTGCTCAACTGATCTTATAATGCTTTATATGGTCTTAATGGTCTGCTAATGCTTTCGATTTTCACTTAAAGTAAAGTTGTCTGGAGTTTGCTCATCAGTCATTAATATAAAATGCCAGCGGTCCATTCAGGTTTCTTTCTAATGATCATTGACATAATGGATATTTTGCTTTGCTTTTAGATGCTGCATATGCTCATTCCCATACATTGGACATATTTTCCAATAGACATGGTTCATTGAGAGATTTACGCAATTAGTCTTTGGTACAGGCTTAAATTACCACAATTTACACGTCGCTTTTGTCATACATGTTTCCTAGTGGCCTATTAAGTTTGTTTGCTATTCTTATTAAGTATATTTTTTGGTTTTACTAATAAAAAGACACAGTTAACACAACTGTTTGATTTAAAAGTTCCCCTGGTCAATAGTTGATGAAAAAATCAAGTTCAAAGTTGTAACTTCGATCGCTTTTTGTACAATTATTTCATGAAACTCATTTCCTTAATGTAACTTTCGGTGGATAACCAGAAAATGCCCTTAATTCATCAAATACAACTTTCTGTTTCTTTAAAATCAATTAGCTCGATTTTCCCTTAAAGCGACTGCATTCTGTGACCGAAAGAGTTAGATAGCTGAAAATTATTACTCGTCTGTAAAAATTGTTTGTACATATTATGGATTGTACATTTTTCTCACTTTATCGATAGTTCTCTTGATTTTGGCCATTAGCCTCAAAACTTTGAAACTCAATATTACGAGAATGGCATCACCTACAATCATTATTCTTTCACAAATTTGCTTCTCTATTAATCAATAATGCAGTTCAATTTAGTGACTTTCCATTAGTGCATTTGGTTGATGATGTTTGGGTTATAAATGCACGAGCAATAACTTATTTAACAAAACGAACCCATCTCATTTCTTCGTAAATAAACCAATTTTCTGGTTTAACTTGAAATGTAATGCAAAGAGTACTGACAAAAGATCGTACATTTAAGTTAAGAATTGAGACTCAATGGGTTTGTAGGGAAATAAAATAAAAATAAAAATCCATTGGTACTAATGAATAATTTATCCAATGAATAGTTTTCAAAGAAATGGAGTCAAAATATGATCGAGCGATCAAAATCAAGCGATCAATCGATAAATTGAAAAAATTATTCAATCCATGATGTGTACAAACAGTTTTTACAGAAGATAAGTTTCAGCTATCTACCTCTTTCGGTCACAGAATGTGGTCGCTTAAAGGGCAAATCGAACTAATTGGTTTTAATGAAACAGAAAGTTGTATTTCATGAATTAAAGGAAATTTTCTGGTTAGCCATCAAAATTTACATTAAGGAAATGAGTTTCATGAAAAAAACTGATTCCCTCGTTGTACAAAAGACGATCGAAATTTAAACCTTGAACTTGATTTTTTCATAAACTATTGATCAGGGAAACTTTTAAATCACACAGAAAGACTCAGTTTTTATGTCCATACAAACTAACAGAGTCGGAATTTGAACGAGACTCATTACTACCCGTTTTCACCCATTTGCGTCAAGCTGTGTCAATTTGTGTATAAATGTTACAATTGTGTTAACTATGTCTTTTTAGTAAAAGCCATTTTGTTGTTTTTTAGATCATAAACCATTCAGATGAACAAGGCGTTTTTATTCTGAATTTTTGCATTCTTCTAAAGTATTCAGGACTTATTTTGTCGAGCCCATTCGTACCATTTTGCTAGCAGACATTTTGGTAGTTCCTTGTCATCCTGAGCATCCCTCTCTCCATGAAATCCTTATTTAAATGAGAAAGCACAGTTTCTCGTCGAGGATTTCTACTATTTACATCATGCACATGATCTTGTACCATTTGCATGTTCGGTAACCAAATTCATTTGTCTTTTTTCATATTTCATCTTTTTTGTACTGGTTTAGTGTGAATCTGACTCGCTAGATGACTCTTCTAGGCTGTCACGTAAAAATCAAAACAAACAGTTTTAAGGAGTAAACTCGATGTTGATAATTAGCTTAAATTGTTTTCCTTGTTATCTGTTGTTAATTCATAGTCTCCATCATAATCTGCTTTCATCATAAAATAAGAATACTTTCAGTCATTATAAGTTTACTCTAGTGTTATCCTCTTTTGTCTCGTTCTCCAAGTTTGTTTACTTATTGGTCAACATTGAACAAAAATACATGCATTTCTTTTGTTACCTTTATTTTACCTTTTCAAAGTTTTCTTCTAACTTTATTTTTGTTTAAAGCATCGACATTTTGTTCGTCAACAATTAACATAGCTTTGAGCTTGATTGCTAATTGACGAAGACTATTAATTTATCCTGTGAAATTGTAACATGTGTAATTGTTGAATCTATCAAATTAAGACGTCATAGTTATTTTTGAACTACATGTGTAATTGATATGATGAAAATATCTAAAATTCATTGTCATTTTATCTCCACATAATTCTGTGAAATACAAGTAAACAGTTTGCCAGTGAATCAAGAAACATCTGTTTAGTGTTTAATTGACTTGTAATCTGTCAATAAATTTCATGTGATTTTGAAATTTAAGGCGCAAAAGTCAAAATGGATTGTTTAATGGTTTTTGATGTTAACAATTATTTACTCTATGTGAAACACAATCTCGATTTTCTGGAAGCATTGTCCTCGTTGGTTTTTGATTGCAAATTAACAGATCTAGATTCACCACGAAATATCAAAGAGATGTTTTTGAAAGATGATAAACAATTGGAGAATATGATTGTCCTTTTATTTGCTCCATATGTAGCTTCAATTAGAGTTTTGGGCAGTGAAAGTCCATCTTTGGACGTATTTGCTGATAAATATCCATCAGTTAAAATAATTTATTCTCAAGTAAGTTAAAGTCAATTGATTTTTTCAACTAATATTAATTGATTTTTGCATTTTATTCTTCAGTTTTTAGATTACATATTCCTTTATATCGCGGATTCGACCAATTTTACACACGAGAAAAAAATGGAACATAATTTGACTACTTTCGTCGCTATTTCTAAATTAATGTTTGGAGTTGCTTTAAGTGAGATTAAAGGAGATGAGAATCAGATGAAATTATTAACATCAATTTACAACAACTGGTTAAAAAATTCAACTTGCCCTGTTTACATGGTTGAGGTGGGTCAATCTATTTGCAAGGTTGCTTTGATTATCATTTCTAATCGTGTCTATCCTCGTCTTTTAGGCAACAGAAAAGCTATTCATAAGTCAATCAGTACAAAAAATATTCAGTGATCTGGTCCGTTCCAATATAATGAAGTTGTCATCTCATCTCGATCGTTTTTCAGTGGAAATTCCATCTCATGGTTTATTATTTGTCGAACGGAAATTAATTACAAGAACATCGAGGTATAATTTCATGGATTAGATGCTAAACCCTAACATAATTTCCAGCAATTGCTAAGATCATTGAACTATTCATACCTCGTGCATAAATGATTACAAATGTGATAATTATGTCACATTTATTGATAGTAAAACTAATTAGAATGATTGATTGGCTTAACTCAGTTACTAAAAGCAAATTCATGTTGGGTCATCAACATTTGAGTTATCAGTTACTTAATTCATAGTCAATATATTGATAAATGTTTCACACCTTTGAAGGCTGACTATCCTTGATTAAGATTTCTTCTTGATTTACTAATTTCCTTTTTATTTTCAGTCGCAATGCTGTTAAATTAAATAAAGGAGATTTGGTATTACTTACTCTACTGGCTGATACTTTACAAGGAACTCGCGAGTATTATTCAGAGAAAGAAGACACATTGAAAATCTCATTTGATGATTTTGATGAAGATGGGATTGGAGACAAAACAAATCAAAATGAGAAAGATTATGAGGTAAATATTCGCAGAAAACAATTATATAGATCAAACAATTCATCTGATATTGTATTAATTCACGTTTTTCTTTGCAGACAAATGAAAGAAGAACATTTACCGAATCTTATGAATCATCATCGTCATCAAGTGAAAGCAGTCCGATAAAGGGCGAAAAGCGAAACTATCGATGGAAAGAGTTTGATCATCGATTAATATTCCTTCATTCATCCATTGACCAGAGATATTTAGTCCCTTTTTATTCACGTTTCATAAGAATTTCCAAGGAAATAAGTTTCATTATTTTATCTCAATTGCCAACGACCCTGATTACATTTCATATTCACAATTTACTCAGAATACTCAATATACTTCAGTATCGACCCAAAGATCTACGTCGCTTCCATTCATTACAAGAATTTGATGCCTCATTGACCAAGTTGAATCGACATTTGGCTGAAAACAGTCAAAAAAGCGATCTTATTCGAACTTTGATCTCAAAATTGAATCAATTATCCAAAAGTGAAATCCGTAAACATATTTTGAGTCGCAATAATGAAGAAGTCTCAGCACAACTTGATTCCCTGGCGTCTTCAGTTTCAGCTATTCTTAAAACAGTATATTGTGAAAAGGTTTTTCTCCACCATCAAAGATTAATTGAGCGGTTTATCATGGATCCAACTATGTCCGAGTTTATGTTTTCACTCCAAAACAATTGCTTTAACGTTTTTAAAGATTACATTGATTACTTTCATGTCAAAAGTCAACGCAACATGGCACTTGAAGCGTACAGCGATGTTGTTCCCGGTTTAGTTGGCTTCATCTATGTTGATCGAAATCTGAATGAGTTAATCATGGCTAAAGTAGATGATGGTGCCGATGCTATTGGTGATTTTAATTTGCTCAATCTCAATTTATCTAAGAATGTTTTACCTCAATTAGTCGAGACAGCGTATTTTAATTTGTCAAATGGCCAATTTACATCAACTTGGTCTGGAAATGGCCTTTCCTTTAACTATATCATTTGGTTTGAGACTGAAAATGTAAGAAAATCTACTAAACTAAGACATTGTTTAATTTATATTTTCTCTTTTTTTCAGGGAGAAATTTTGAAAATTCCAAAAGAAAGATCAGAAATGACCGGATATCCAAGCATGATGAATGGAAATTTTGTTGATAAAATGTTAGCCTCTTATTTTCCAAGTTACCGTTTAGGTTTATCACCAACCAAAGGTGGAAATTTATTGTGTTTTGAATTATTTTACGTTCAAAAGCTATCCTATTTCAAGCCTGGACGTCAAATTATTGAAGCACGTAAATTAGCTCGACGTTTATGGGCAGTTACATCATCTTCAATCAGAGTTTTATCTATCTTTTAAATTTCCAAATTATTTTTGTGCCTCAATCTCAGTGAAAGTGAAATTAGTGAAGACTTTTTGCTCCCCTTAGTCATTAGATTGCCAATTTTCACATTTGAATTACTGTGAAATACTATTTATCTGAAACCCTTTCTGTCTTCAAAATTATTTCTAGCTCCTGTCATGCTTTTCACCTCCATCTCATAATTATCATTGACTCTCTCTCATTCATTGTTTACTCTTGATCATTTATTATTCGCATAGCTTTCTAACCTGCTAAATTGACCATAATATTTTGGAATCATCATTTTCTGCCAAATCTTCATTAATTTTTGTAAAAAAACTGCACAAAACTAATTTTAAAATTTTTAATTGATAGACATCAGTTATAATTTGAACCTACAACTCTCTGCTCTTCATTCCATCCATAAATTCAATATAATCTTTGTTAAATTAAATGGGTGAATCACCATTTCTATCATTAAATTACCATTTATTTATTCATATCTATGATAAAATTATCACTATTATATTACATATTACAGTACAATAAGAAAGATTTATAAAAAAGTTCTGTCCATTGATCAAGTCAAGTATTTGAAGACTAAATAACGTCATTATTATAATGGTTACTTTTGGTAAGGTTGTGTTTAAGTAGATATTTGATGAGAAATTATTCACTTATCAAGGTTACAAATTGTTTTTTAATGGTACAAGAAACAGATTAAATTGGTGTTTGAGTTAAAAGATAGAAGTTGGTGGTTCGTAAAGATTAATTGTACCTTCCAACGTAATACGAAATTGGATCAATTTGAGATTTTTATTCTGAAGATTGAATGTTGGATTTCGATAAATTACTTTTTTTGAAGACAAACTATTACACAGTTCAATTCAAACTTAATTCAGTTTTTTATCGTTAAAAACATTAAACAAATAATGGAAACCATCAGCGCTGGAGGGAGCAGTTGTTCACTCAGCTGAATGAAGGTAAACTCGGCTGTTGAAATATTCATACTGGTGTTCAACTTGGGTTAAGGTGAGATATTTGCAGTAGTGAAGTCTTGATGTAATGTTTATTATTCCCAAATTTATTACAAAATGTATTCTTAAGTCTTTTTGGATACTTAATCAACCAACTGTGTTTTTAAAATCGCCCTTATCATCAAATTGACGTGGTAATTCACGTTATAGGCTGGAATCAAAGGTAAGTTCTCAAAGAAATTACTTTCTATCCTTGATGTGTCTTTGACTATAAATTAATGTTGCTATTTTTTATTCTGATTTGTTATTCTTTTAAAATCTCTTTAGTTAAACCCTTCGAAATGTTAAAAACCACGGAAAGCCTGATCAAATGGCTTGAAACATTTGATAATATTGATCGTAATATTTCTATTGAACAACTGTGTGATGGCTACCTGATAGCTCGTGTATTATCTTCAATTGCTCCAGATCATTTTAATAATGAATGGTTGACCAAAATCAAGGGTGATATATCTTCTGACAACTGGAGATTACGTATATCTAATTTAAAAAAGGTTTTAGATAAAATAGTTGACTGGTATACTGATGTGCTTAATCAAAATATCTCTACATGGATTAGTTTACCTGATATTAATGTTATTGGAAAGGAGTGCAATAGTGAGCAATTAGGCCGTTTACTTCAGTTAGTAGTCGGCATTGCTGTTCAATGTGATAAAAAAACCGAATACATTGGTGTCATCATGGGTCTGGCTGACGAAATTCAACTCGTTGTTATGCAAGCTGTCCAGGAAATTATGACAGTTGGTAGAGATCGGGAAACTTCAATATCAATGACCTTTCCTGATTCTCTCAACACTGACCAGATTCAAATTTTAAAAGATCAGCTACGTAAAGCACTCGATGAGCTATCAATTGCAAATGAAGCCCGTGAATTAGCCGATCAACGGTTATTTGAAATGGAGAAAGCTTTAAATATGTTGAAGGAAGAAAAAGAGGCGTTGATGCAAGAAAATGATAAATTGGTACAAAAATTATCCGATGAAACTAACACAGAACGTGGTTGTGAACGAGCCGATCCATCGGATGCAAGTCTAAAAGATAGACATTATAATAAACTTCAACTTCGAATTGAAGCGTTACAAGAAGATCTGTACAAAATGGAGTCTCATAAAGAAGAATATATGGCTAAAAATGAAATCCTTGAAAACGATTTAATGGAGTTGAGATTAAAAAATGAAGATCTTCAAAGAAAGGCCAAGGAGGCTCGAGCATTGAAGGACGAATTGGACATTTTACGCCATGTTTCAGAACGTGTTGATAAATATGAACAAATGATAGAGGTTTATAAAAATCGTTTGGAAGAGATGTCTGATCTTAAGAGACAAGTTAAAACACTGGAAGAAAGAAACAGCCGCTTGGTTAAAACAAATGTAAAATTAGAGGAAGAGTTAAAACGAAGTTCGACTTTGAAATCACAAATCGACATGTATAAAAAACAAGTTCAAGATTTACATACAGAAGTTGCCGAACAAAATTTGCGTGCTGATAAGATTGACTTTGATTTTAAGAGGCTGCAAGATAAATGTACCATTCTCAAACAAGAGAAAGATAAATTATTACAAGAAAACGATCGTCTCAAATCAGAGCTGGAAGAAACCCGGGCTAGATCAGACAGTGAATCAATACTACAAGATGCAATTGTCAAAGATCCCAAGTGCCTTATTAATGAAATTAACAATCAACAAATGGAGAGCGTTGAAGATATTCGTGAAAAAGTTATCAAGCTGGAACACGCAAATCAAATGTTGCGAGACAAATTGAAAGACAGCGATGATGAAAAAGTGGTCCTACTACAAACCAATTTGGGTGATGCAAAAGAAAGAATAACGGAATTAGAAGCAGAAAATCGTAATCTCAATCGTTCCATGCTAGAACTTAAATCACAATTACAAGATCTTACAGCAAGTGGGACTAATTTCCCTGCCAATAACCAAGGCCAAGAATTACCTGAAGAAATGCCCAGAGATCTTGAAACTGCATTACGACGTATCAGTGAGCTACAACTATCGGTTAGAAAGAAGGACCATGAAATGTCTGAACTGGAATCAAAATATAAAAAAGCTGTTACAAAAGCTCGCCAAGTGGTCCAAAATTTAGAACCACTAAGCCTTCAATCACCTACATCTCGACTATCCTCAGTAGTAAATTCCAATGGAGGTCCGATGTCAGCACCTGTTCCTAATCTTTATTTTGGTGAAAGTAATAACTCATTATACCTTAGTGATGATGTTAATGAGCTTAAAACAAACTTGCGCTTAAAAGAGAGACAAATCTTTGATTTAGAGAAAGATTTATACAGCTGTAAAGCTTTAAAAAACATGGAAGAAAAACTGATGACAGTTGCTTTTCATAATTTGGTTTGTAATTTGTTTTGTTTCCCACTCTTTATCATATTTTGAAACTCCCTTAATGTTTGAATTTAATTAATGTTAATTCTTTTTTTTCATGCTACCAGGCCGCTAATGTTCAACGACGGGCAGTTAGCCAACGTATAAGTAATTCCAGGTCATCATCAAACGCATCACTTTCTGCTGCTGAATGCAGTTCATTCTTGAACAAGCAAAGAAAAGCTCAAACCAGAAGATTAAATCTTGCTGCAGTCTCCCCTAGGTTTGTTTTTCATTCATGGTTTATTGTGCCTTCAAAGCGTAACCCCTTTTATTTGCAACAATAATTTATTAGCTTTCAACTTTAATTAACAAAACCTTGCATTTAATCAGTAGATAGACAAAGCAAATGAGAATACAAAAAGCAACTTGAACGGATTAAATCAAACCGGATGAAAATTAATTTGCCTTTTGGTGTTTCTACATTTTTCACCTTTTGCAACAGCCCTTGTATTGATAGTTAATTGTTTGCTTTAAACAGGTTTGATTTGATAGTAAATTTGAAAGTACAATTTAGATTCTATGAAAAAAAAGACTCCAAATTATAATAGACCAAAATAAATAAAAGCCAACTGTAATACTTGAATGATTGGCTGGAAGGTTTGGAAGCGCATTTGATTCACTTTTTATTAGGTGTGAAAGAACCGAAAAAAGCTCAAGTATCAACATACATTGTGCATCATCTTTTGTTAGAACAGACTTTTTTATTCTCATCCATTTTTTGGTGAATCACCTGAATTTAGATCAACCTTAAATTCCCCTTTTACAATAATAATTATCACACAACATCCCCATCATTATATAATATAGTTTTCTATCTACTACTAGACTAACTCCAATTTACCCATCATCCTTTTATGTCATTTATGATTTTCATTGTTGCATATCGTTTTTTTGCCGTTATTTTACTAACATTTTTTTCATGCTTGATTTACAGTGAATTGTATGAATAATTTCATGAGAAACTAAAGATAAATGAATTAGCATCTCGGAATGATAATTTGGATTAATCAACGATTGCCTGAAACTTTCAAGAATGGACTATTTGTTGATGTTATTAAAGCATGGAACGATGTATCATTTTTGGAATTAATTGAAAACAAAATGATTCCATTCGCATAATTTGTTAACTGCATGAATCGTTGGCCTTGTTAAACATTATTTTTTTATCAAGACATCATTATTATTCATTACCACAATATAATCATGTAAATTAAGTTTGTAGACTATTTGGTTAACTTACCTGTTAAAATTATCACAAGACACTCATAATCTTGATTATAATAACTTCACATTCTTCATATTGCTCATTTGGATAATACAAACTGTGTAAAGTTGCACATTTAACTGAATCTAAATATCAAGTAAATTAACCATATTTTCTTGAATTACTGAATTTCCAGCCATTTTACTTTACATTCTAATACAATCCAAAAGGTCTGCAAACTTTCATGATTCTTGAACGTACAATTGTTAATCCTAAAATTAGTTTTAAATTATTTTATCTAATTATTTATCCAACTTTCTCTAAATTTTTTCATTATTATCAATTTATAAACAGTCTTTTCTCAACCTTTTTGTGCTTTTTGCAGAACTTGGTTCGCCAATTCATGATTAAAGAATCACTTTTCATGATCAACATAACCAATTTGATAAACTCTATTCTTTGAATCGTGTCAATTTTTAATAATAAACACCAAGTAAAGTGAAAATAAAGAAATTAACGAAACCAATTCACAACTTTGTCATGGTAAGGGATCAAAATAGTCAATATGAGCTCCATTATCGTAATTATCATTCTCGAGAATTTGAATCATCCTTTCAGCACTATCTTCTGGATCAAGGAGGTTATCTTGATTTCGAAAAAAATCAGTCAAATATCCTTGATTAGCCAAAGTATTTGCCATGTCAGTTTTCAAAGGACCAGGAGCATAGTTTAAAACTCTAGTAGTAGGATCTTCAAGAGCCACTGATCTAAAGTATTGGTCACGAGCTGCTTTTACTGCAAAATAAAAAAAATCATTAGTTTAACCATTTTCAATTGTTTATGAAATATTTTTACTTACTTGAACCATAAAGTGCTAATCCTTTCATGGGTTGAATTGCTGCCAATGAGGTTATATTAATGATGTTACGTTTGGGGCAGTTTCTATACAATCTTAAAACTGATGCAGTGAATAAAATGGCAGAAGATAGGTTGACTCTCATATACTCATCAAGCTCTGAAATATTAGATGGACGATAAGAATCAACTAAATGGTCTGGATTGTTCAATGTGCCAGCATTGTGAACAAGAATAACTTGATCATAATCCGATTCCTCATGTTCTAGAACAGTGTCAAAGGCAGTCATACTAGCAGATTCATTCAACTGAGCAGAAACCGGCTGAACCTTGAGAATAGCAGGGCCTGTATTCTGTATTTCAGTAGTCACTTGACCAAGGCCTGTGGTAACCCGTGACAATAAAAGAAACGAGATCCTGGCTGAATATGGTGCATGTTGGTCAGATGATATATTATGAAATTGGTGAAATCTAGTTGCTAATTTTATAGCAATTGCTTTACCAAGCCCTCGACTGGCTCCAGTTATGATGATTAAAACTTTATTTCCCCACCAATCTTTAGACTGGCCAACAGTTTCATCTTGACCAGAAGATGAAGATGTTACATCGCAAGACATGTGTACTGGATTATTAACCTTTCAGAGGCCTTTAAAGTTAATTGCTAGATAAAATTTAAGAGATGAAAGAAGTCATTTACTTGTCAAAATATTCAGACGAAATTTAAACACAAAATTTCTTTATTTGAAAACCAAATAAAAAACAATGTAACTTACCTTTCATTGCTCAACTGCACTGAATCAGATTTTATATAATTCCGAAGAAACAGATGCAAAATTTACGAAAAAAAAAGAGTTAATTTGATTAATGATAACAAAACAGTTGCCAAAAAAAACAAGATGACAGTTAGTCTTGTCAAAATGATACAAGCCGGTAGCTGAGACAACTAGCCGATGAATTGAGCCAGCTAAGTGTCACATTTAGTCTTAAAATATCCACTGGAAATTTTCCAGTGGATATTTTGCGCTGTCTGTGATTTTAATTTCTTGATCAGATTTAAAATTGATCCAACCAATTAATCATTTTGTAGTTTTTCAATTTACTATCATTTGAATTTTCTATCAACCCAATGGGCTCATTAATATTTTTCGTGTGTTGTAGCTAAGGTAAGATAACACATACAATCATTCTCGTTTGTTTAGAACCAACTTTCATAGGAACAAAACCAGAATTCAAAAGAGTAAAACCGGCTGACTGTAAAGACACAGAGCTTTCAAAACAACAAAACCGCGTTCAAATGACCAAAACTCATTTTCATAAGACAAAAACTCTCGAGGTAAAAAAGCATCTTTATTCAGGGTGTAGACTATTTCGTTGTTTGCTTCTTTTCTGAGGCATCTTGGAATATAAGTTAACATTTTAATAAATTTTGACTTATTCATTGTGATTTAGAATCTTCAATGGAAGTTCATTGTGCTTGCAAAACTTACAAGGTAACTTCACGAAGTGGTACCAACCGATTTTGATGTTCTATAGCTCATTCGAAAGCGCTCGTCGAGTAGATAAAGAGTTTTATTTTTTAGCTGCTGATATGCACTTTTACAAAGGTTACAGGGTTTCCTAGCAAAAATTTAAAGCTGCAAATATAGTTAAAAGATTGTTAGAAAACAAATCAATCAATTGGCAGATCATTACATAAAATAATAATGTTGATCTTTTATATTGTCAATTATATTGATGAAAAGATGTTTTTGTTTTGCAGTTTAAAGGTTTAATCAATATAGCTTATATTGCAAGAGTCCTTTTAATTCTAGTTGATAACCATTGATTATTAACCTATTGGATGTTGTTACTTAATTAATAAGTAAAGACTAACCTTTTGGGAGGAGAAAGCTTTCAAAACGTCATAATTTTGTTCGAAACAATTGAATGATCTACAATTAATATACTAAATTGCATTCAATTGCGAACGGACTATTAATACGATTGATACAATAACTTATGAACCAATTACTAGTAAAAGTGGCCAAGTTATAATCAAAAGTATAGTCAGTATGAAGATATTATTTTTAATAGTTAATTTTACAATTTATGTGACCTGTGTACAATCATTTTGTGGTAAGTAATGATCTAATGCGACCAACATGTTTAACTGGATCAAATGCTAGAAAATATTTTATATCGATTAATCGATTGATTAGTTAATTAAAAAGCTAACAAACATTGTGACTCACTTTGTTTTGGATAATTTTAATAGATTGTGGTCTTGAAGGTATAAGATCAAGAATTTACAAAGGAAAGGTTACTCAGACACACAAGTTTCCTTGGATTGCTCATTTAAGGTAAGTCATTTACAAGTATAAACAATTATTGGTAATTTAAAATTAAATTTTGATTTGTCTTTTTTCCGATGATAGATTCACACAACCTGCAAGTACTGATTATTACCAATGCGGTGGGACTTTGGTTGACAATCAACATATTGTTACTGCAGCTCATTGCATATTTGATTCAAATGGAAAATTTTATCAACCTGCTAATGTCCAAGTTTATCTAGGAATCTTGGACAAATATCGAGATATCAGGACATCTTTGGCTGTTGAGCGATACATTTATGATGGTCATTATGCACCTTCTTCACCATTACACTATGATATTGCCATTTTACGCTTGAAAGAACCAGTTCAATTTTCTGCAACCGTCTATCCAATTTGTATTCCATCTTCGGACGATCAAATTTATCGAAGATTAACTGTTGCTGGTTGGGGTGATACTGATCCATCTAAAACTGGAAGTGCAGTTTTAAGAGAAGTTGATGTTGATTTTATTCCAAGTAAGTTAGGCAATTTGTATATCAATTTATTTCCGAATCATTCGCTAGGGTTAACGTTGTCTAACCATTGTCCAATTATATAAGATCTCTAGAACTATCGACTTTTGTTTGTTTTAAATTAATTGAGCAGATAAATCTATCAAACTAAATTAGGTTTACTTAAGAAAATCCTTTTCAATATGTTAACTATCTGGCTGGAAGATTCAACCAAAGACATATTACAAAATCTAATTTCATTTTTGCTTTTTGCCACAGAATCAACTTGTTATGAAATGCAATATAACTATTGGATCAGAAAGAGCAATTTTCAGCAATATTACCGATTTAATTTGCCCCCTATCCATGAGAATCACATTTGTGCTCTTAATACGCTAACCAGTGGTGCTCCATGTATAGGTGATTCGGGTGGACCATTGATGTTCAAAGATCCACAAAATGGTCGATGGTATCTGATTGGTGTTGTTTCTGGTGTTGCTTCTAGTACTCGGGATTTTTGTGGAGTCGATTTGGGTGTTCCCGGTCTATTCACATCTATTTCAAAATATCGATCAATGATTTTACAATCAACTTATGGAGTTTGTATGAGACCCTATTAGTTATAACATCATAAGCTTTGTGTTTGAGTAACCATTTAACTTTATGAATCAAATATAAAATCTGTTAGCATAAGTAATACGTGTACAATGCTATAACTTTTCTCGGGATCTTGATTGATTTAATATTTCAAGTTATTAAGCTCGTAATAAAGTCTAATGATCGGTTAGCTAACGATGATTGTAAGGACTGCCATTATCAAAATATTGCGGCCCAGAGTTTTTAGGCCAATGGCGAAAATCAAGAAAACTGTAGATGTGAACAACAATTATTCAATGCATGATTTTTATCGAATGATAGTAAATTTAAGCTCTCTAACTCTTATGATCACAGAACGAGGTCGGTTAAACGGAAAAGTGAAGTGATCTATTTTACAGAAAACAGAAAATTTTATTGCTCCAAATAAGTGCATTTTCTAGTTAACTTTCAATAGTTACATCAGTAGAATGAGTTTCATGGAAAAAATCTGCTTCCATAATTGTACGAAAGCGATTCAAGTTTCAACTTCAAATTTTCTCGAAAACTGGCGATTAGGGAAATCTTTCAATCGTCCAATCGGACTCAGTTTTTATGTCCATACAAACGCACAATTTCAACTCTCAAAACTCGAAATTTAAAGTTTTTCAAAATACTCATTCGATCCAGTCTAGCTTTTTGTGCCTTGCCATTTGAGTTTTAAATTACTTTGAATACTCTTGTGCATCTGGTGAATTGATCAACTAGTTTGATTTGCATTCATTTGTATCAAAACAATCAATGTAAAACTTTCGATATTCTGTTTTAGATGAAGTTAGTTTTATTGAATTCCCATTTATTTTTAAAAACATGTAGCAATCAAAAAACTGACCCTTGGACTCTTCCTACCGATCAACCTCAGCGAATAACAAACAACTTACAAGTTGCACCAATTCACGAGAATCTCGCAAAACATGAGACTCAAATCAAAATGATTATCATGATAATTTAACTCATAAGTTCTCAAACGATAGAACCAAAAACATAAGCCAAAGATTAAATGAAAGTTTACTTACTTCTGCAGTAATTTTTTGACCGGAGAGAGTGATTGGCTCTGGAAGAACTCGAAGCAATTTGGAGATAACTGTAGTCGAAAACTTTCCTGCAAACAAGCCTTAAGATAGGGAAATTGACTTAAATGTTTACCATTTATATCAACGTTAGGACCACCAATGATGATACTAACAAACTGTAAGTTCCAAAAATTATTTTGCTTGGTGAAGAGGCTTCTGAGCTAAATGTTAGAGAAGAAAGCACAAAGATGTGTTGGGTCCGCCAGCTAAATTAATCTGTTGAAGCAGTTGAATAGAACCATAAAATCCTTTAGGTCGAATCTATAATAATTATGTGTTAATAACTGTTTTAAAACTTCATTTTCTCGATATTAATTTATTCAAACTATGTTGAAGTTGATAAAAGCGATTTCACATTATTTTGTAGATTCTTTTCGCATCAAATGTGACATTGGTCACCTTTACCATCTCTGAAAATCAATTGAAAGCCAAAGAAAAAAACAGGAGTCTAGAAATGCAAAGGCACCTAACCAATCAAAGAAGGGCATTTAGCATCTATGATAACCAAGGCAACGGCTGCCGCAGGAGTCAAGTAAACCAAAGGCACTCGTCATTTTGAGCATGCTCAAGTACTTTAACTTTTTACGAAAATTAAAAAGTTGATAAACTGTTTTAAATTATAATGAATTTGATTTAATTTTGCTGATCATCAACACAAAACTTTACATGTTTTAGGTAATTTAAGACTGGCTTGGTTCCATTCATTAACTTTTCTCATGTTTCTTATATTAAATCTCATTCTGAAAATACTTTTAATAATTTTTAAGCCAGGTATTAAGATGGAAGAGTGGGGGAATTGTGGGGAATCTCCTCAATTTGTTGAAAAAAGTTCATAGGGATATATATTTTTGTGAAGAAAATTAGGTTATCAAACAAGGAAAATAGCTAATTGATTTTAAATCTGGAATTATCTCATTAACTCATCGTAATTTAAATTCATTCAGTAACCGTACGGAATGATTTTGAAATGATCGCAAAAAGTTAAAGTACTTGAGCATGCGTAATGTCGGGTGCCTTTGCATTTCTAGACTCCTGTAAGAAAAAAACAAAGACTAATTAATTAATCTCAACTAGAATTATTTGGCTAAAATTTAAATACATGGCTGCATTGGATGCAAATATCGACAATAATTTTTCTCTTTCTTTAACAATAACTTCGATTTTCCTTTTCGTTCAGATCGAAAGATAAACTATTAGGAATAGGTTTATTCCAATTATTGAGCATATTGTCTGGTACCAATCCGACCGCCCAAACAACCTGGTTTCGGTGATTCTTTGCAATCCTCTTTTTACCAGGTAAATATCCTTCCCCAATTACATCAGCGACATCGCAATCAATGTGATCAGGCAAGGACGCTGTAGGTTTTGGTACACCGCAGTTTAGCTTGCCACATTTTGCAAGAGCATTCTTCGTCTTCTTCATCACTTGAAATACCACCGTCTTGGTCGTTCACGTCACCTCCATTACCTTCAAGCGAATTACCAGTTACACCAGATCTACTCGGATCACTCCCAAATAATCCACCATTTACACCGGAACTGCCAGAAGCACCCCCAAATAATCCTCCACCTACACCAACACTTCCAGAAGCAGCACCAACGACTCCATCAACAATACTTCCAATAACACTTTGGACTTCGATTAAAGGCTTGCTCTCCATTCAAATAACAGAAACGAGTCACATGCCCACAAGTAATAAAAGAATCAATCAATTTTAGGGTGTTTCCGATGAAAAATGTTATCTGGATCCAAAAAAAGTCGATTCAGATCAATTTAAATCGACATTTTTGGGCTTAATTTGTTATAAAAATGATCTAACGGCTGAAAAAAACATTCACATGTCAAAAAAGTCACCGGAAGTGGATTAAACTAACATTTCACCGGAAAAATCCATTGTGACGTCACAAAACGTCACATTTGATTGACAATGAATCGGATTCAATCTCAATAAATTTTTGATCGAAAACACCTTTAATTAATCTTGATTTTCTCTAATTGATCAATTATATTAGCTAAAATGAAATACAAAAAGCCATCAACAATGTACATTTAATCTTTTATGAATCAATAGAAATTAATGAAGAACAAATTTAATCGTAAAAACTTGTCAATTTATTTTATAATACATTCATCTATTACATTAATGTCAACATATCTGAGCATTTTAATCAAAATTTCAGCTGAAGGTGCTAAAATGAATTGCTATCGAGTATGCAATCACTCAGTTAATATTTTGATTGAAATGGCCTAATCAAATCTAACATTGATTAAAATACTGAGCACAAAGAACCGCAAGGTATAAGATGATTTAACTTGCCCATAGTTTCTCCAACTTTGGAAGTAAACTGTCGATAAAAGGCATTTTTAAATTAACTTGTCGCTTTTTCCTTTTCCCTGCAGCTGGTGAAAATACAGATAACATGTAGATAAATATGGGTACAAGTGGCATCATGATTGCTCCGATTCCGAGTAGAGTTAATATCGGCAAAGCGATAACAGCTATTAAAACCAAAGGATCGACAAAACCAAGCGAGAGAAGACTTTTTTCACCGGGAAGAAAGCTCCTCGGTGGACCAGGTTGGTGTATTGGTGGCGGATACTAACGCAGATAAAAGGTATAATTTCAAGATATCAATAAGTATTTAACATTAACTTTGTTTTCTTGTTTACCTGATTAGATGGGAAATGGTAAGGAAATAAAATGACTCCACTTCCAGAGGCATCTTTGGTGAACTCAGGAGGCTTGTAAGAATCGTCATGATGTTGAGCTGCTTGGGAAATTGTATCCGTGGAATTGGCTATTGAATTTTCAACTGATACCAATAATAATAACAATAACAATAATATTAATAACAGATAAACGTTTGTGGTTGAGTTAAACATTAGCAGTTATAAGGAATAGAGATTATTGAAACTTTGCTAATCATTACTGGATGACACAAGATGTAAACTGATTAATATCATGCAAGTTTTCATCGTTTTAAATAGAGAATCCAAGACTCGGTTAAGATTCCGTGAAGTTGTTGAAACAAAAAAGTTGGCAGGTTATCAGTGTAGGTCACTTTGTATTGTTTAATATAATCTTTTCAGTTTTAATTTCTTACCTTAATCTTTTCAATTGTGATAAATTTGCTAGATTTTAAGACATCATTTAAACAGAGTTATCAGCTCACAACATTAACAGCTACATTCACGGTATTGGAGATGAAAGATGCTGGTTCAATTGATCAACCAGATGGTAAATAAGTTAGGTTGGTCCTACAATTGTGTATATTTATGGCATTTGTTTTGGTTCTGTTATATTAACCGATTTTTACACAAACCTAATTAATTATGCCCGAGTTACACCAAACGCCATGTCCTAATAACATGGAAAGGGCAAATTCAAACGTTTAATTTAATCCAGATCAAAGTGATCTCTTTTGTTATTAACTGTGTCAATGCTTGGTGAAATATGAAGACATTTAAAACTATCCATCGGATAACCATGATATAATCAATAAATCATAGTATTATCACACTCAATGCTTTTTATATTCAACTAATATACGGCGCTTTTGTGCCAATCTTTACCCTTTTATCTTTAGAGCCGTTTGAGCTAGAAACTTCATATTTTAACTGTGATCTACTCATGATTGAAGTGTCTTAAATTTGGAATTTCGAAGTAATACAAAAACATTTTCGAATTTCGGCCCTTTTGTGATCATTTTTTTGATGCAGATATTTTTTCTGATTTGATTAAACCATTTGTCACACCACTATCAAAATTAGTATTCAAGTTATTCAATTAAAACAGATTGTTGTCATTTTTGTTTTATTTCACTGCTCAATTGAAGTGTCAATAATCATATTGTTTGACAAAAATCAGTTTCCATCGAGTCGAATAAGCCTGGTATTTTAAGAATCTGTTCAAATGGAAATCAAATTCTGGTAAAAGGTTTGTCGATTGAATATCTGCTTCGACGAGAAAATTTAAACTGAACAGATGGATCAAGCTTGATTGAGATGGTTAAATTATTGGCCAATGCTAATCCAACTATCATTCGAGAAGCAATGTTTGATGCTGTTTACATGGGCATTAGCTATTTTAATGGGAAAAATCTTTAAAAATGCAACTTTACTTACAAGGTAAATAACCTCGTTGGTACGAGTAGATCAAAACGAAAGTGGGTTTAATGAAACCGTGTCAGAAAACTCTTAAAAACTCTAATCTCCCATGGACCCAGTCAACCAAAGTCTTGCGACGCATTCAAACTAGAGAGCGTGTAACCAGCGCATAAAGTTGATACGCAGAACCATTGCCTCTTCGCGTCTCTTTGCGTTTAACGCAAAAATTTTAATTCAAACAAAAGTTAAATTGTCAGCTTCCACAATTCAGTTCAAAAATTATATCATTTTTTGATATTATAAATTAACCACTAGCTCAGTGGTTAAAGAGTTGGTCAAGTTGATTGAGTGTTTTATGGGTCGAATCTCGGTTTGAAAATCTTGAGAAAATTTAAATTTAAACGAGCGTGTAGCGCACATAAATTTCAATAAACACAAAAGCTGCGCCTTATTTGAACTTTACCTTCTGCGCTCGTGTCTCTGGCGCGTACGCCGTAGTCGACTAGGGAGGAAATTGATCTGAAAAAAGTTACAGAGACACAAGGGTTTTAATCGCGGAGGTCAAAATGATTAATAAATTGGATTAGAGATAGATATTTTTATCAAACTAAATTATTAAGTATTTTATGATGGGCCGCTATCTTTTTCCAATTTTGACGGATCATATCGAGAGTGTTTGCCTGAAGAGCTTCATGAAGTTTGAAAATAGACAGTCTTGAGAAATACTGGCGAATCTATAATACTTAATAGTTAATATCGTGGGCTATTAAATGTTTCAATCAAGTCTAACAGTTTATAAGTAAAACAGAGTTTAAATTGAGTCCCTCTGGTGGCTACGGGTTACTTTAGGCACTCATTTAGCATTTATTCCGTCACATTTTGCTCTGTTCTGTTCCTAGGTTGTTCTTAGTTGAGATTTTTGGAACAAAACAACGAAACAGAATAAAGAACAATTGTTCTGGCACTGGAGTACAAGAACAATACATGACTAATGGATGAAGAGATTCAAGATCTCTTACCATTAATTTGATGAGAGTTCATTATTTTGGTTGAGTTTAAACTCAACTCAAATACGGATACGATATCCTTTAATATTTTAGTTTAGTTTATTATATTTTAATACAGAGAATTAATTGTCCAAAATTTTCAGCCAAAAAAAACAAATTAAAATCGTAAAATTTGTGAAGTCAAAGATTGCGCTAAGAGTCGAGCTTTTAAAGATAGCAACTATCTTCTTGAGGATCGGATCCATGTTTGGACGAATAGGCTCTACCTTGATATTTAATTCAGTTTTCATCATCGTCAATTGTCCTAAAATTACTATTTATTTACTAAATTTCGGTAATATACGTGATTCTTTACTTTAACTCTATTGCTACTTTCAATTATTATAATGTTTTCAATCAAATGACATGAAACCTTGTACACAATGAGATATTTCTCTTTTTACAAGGTAAACAACTAGTGGCTTATATCTCTGTTTAAATCATCTTTTCCTCGCTTTTATATTCAATTTTCTCATTCGCCTTTAGCTACCACGTCCTCACGATTCTGACGTTCATCTTAATCCTTTGGCCATCTGAGTATTAATAAATTATTCCAATTCAGCGGTTGATCTATTCATCATGAACGTGTTTGTTTTCCTGTCCTTCTGTGAATCTCATATTTTGAGTTTATGACAAATTTCAATCCATTTAGATTAAAGTGCATAAATATTTTACTCCATCTATTATTCCAATATGTCTCAACCCACTTTGACCACTAGCAATGCATCCGGTAAAAGACTACTTGATTCACTACAAATGGATCTGCGAAACATCTCCAGTGAATCTAAAAGGAGACATCCAACCTTAAAAGAGGTAAGTTGGTCACTACCAGGCTTCATATTTTGTTCCATTATTCTATGTGTATTGAATTAACTTCTCATGCAATTCTCTCGTTAATAGGCTGCCGAGGCTGGTATTGTGAAACTGCGAAGTGTATCCAACAAACATCCGGATCTTAGATTAGGTAATATTTTGGATCTTTCAATTTTTATCACGACTCAACCTCTTCATTACTGAATCATTATTAATTCTATCTCTATCATTTCCCGATACAGCTCTATTGTCAGAGAGTCCAGAATTATTAGAACCATTTTGCATGGCTTGTGAAACAAAAATACCTAAAATGGTACAGATAGCTCTAAATGGTATTCAACGTTTAATTACTTATGAGGCTGTTTCTTCTACTGCCACCGTCCATTTAATCAATTGTCTTTGGAACCTGATGGAAAATGAAATCGAAGAACTAAAATTGCTACAAACAATGACTCTTCTTATCTCTACTAATGATATTGTCCAAGGAGAAACATTAGCTAAAGGATTAGCACTTTGTTTTCGACTGCATTTCACCAAGAATCAAACTGTCAACAATACAGCATCGGCAACAATCCGACAGTTGGTGTCCTTTGTATTTGAAAGAGTCCAAACTGAAGATAAAACAGAAAGTCCAGATGCGGCCAAAATAGAAGTCAACTACGAAGAGCTGAAAGTGGGATCGAAAAATCCCCCACAGTCCCTCCGTCCTGCTGCAAGAGATGCATTTGCATTATTTCAAGATTTAGTGCAATTAGTCAACGGAGATCAACCTTTCTGGTTGATGGGATTGATTGAGATGACTCGTACTTTTGGATTAGAATTATTAGAGTCCATATTTTCTAATTCATCAGATATCTTCTTTCGGCATGAAGAATTTAGTTTCTTGTTGAAAGAAAAGGTTTGCCCGCTTGTTATTAAACTTTTTTCTCCTAATATAAAATATAAACCGCATCTTTCAATGCTACACCAATTGCACCAACATCAACAACAGCAACAACAACAACAACAACAATCTCAACAGGATGCTCAGCAAAATAATTCAAATTTTTCAGACAAACCAATGTTCCCTATTTCTACGAGACTTTTGAGAATAGTAACTGTTTTGGTGCAAAATTTTTATTCACTTTTGGTCAGTAGTTTTAATTTCAAATATTTTATTGTTGATTTTTACTAATTTTTCTAATTTTTCTACAGATTACTGAATGTGAAATTTTTCTTTCTCTGTTAATCAAATTTCTCGAGGCCGATAAACCCAATTGGCAACGTGCTCTTGCCTTAGAAGTTATCCATAAGATGAGTCAACAACCTGTCTTATTAAAGTAAGCTACATTTTTTTAATTGTCAAGTCAACCAAAGTTTAACTATTACCTTTATCATTTTCAGATCATTTTGCCAGTTTTATGATATGAAACCAAATAGCTCGAAAATTTTTCGAGATATCATTATTGCTCTTGGAGTTTACTGTCAATCGATATTTATCTCACCACCTATTACTCCAAGCTTACTTTCATCCTTAATAAATGCTGCTTCAGCAGCATCTTCATCAAATACACCTCCTAATACTCCAAATGCCAATCAGATAAATTCATCTAGTGGAATTATATCTCCTCAACCTGCTTTTCTTCTACGTGGGACTTGGGTGCCAATCATTTCCAATCTTAGCACTGGACAGAATAAAAGCTATTTCCTGGATCAAATGGATAAACTTGAAGCTCCTCCAGTACCTGATGGTTATGGTTTAACTACAGCTTTACATTGTTTTTTCGAAATTGTTCAGAGTATATCAATTATAATTGATGGTCCTAGTCAAAAAATTGAGATTAAAGAGAAAGAAATTACTAATGAAAAAAACGATAGCTTCAAACATAAATTAGCCAATGTTAATAATTTAGAACCTGAAGTCAGAAATCTACATGAAGCAATATTAAATTCTAGTTGGAGTGGATTGGTGGCTTCTCTTGCTCTTCTACTTGATGCATCAACTGACGAGACTGTTACTGATTCAATATTGAAAACCATGGAAAAATTGACAGCACTTTATGGCTTATACAATTTAACAACACCTCGAGATGCTATTATCACAGCAATGTGTAAAACTTCATTACCCATTGGATACAACTTATCGATACTTTCCTTCAAGATTCCCACAGCATCTGAAGGTTCATCGCCAGCATCTCTTACGCCTTCTGCTTCAACGGGAACTTTAGCTTCAAATTTAGCTGGATGTCACAGTAGGTCATCTAGCTTTGATCTATCTAACCATTGGGCCACTAGCAATATTAACCTTTTATCAAACAATTCATCATTGCTTCAACAAACTCAACCTCCACCTAATTCTTTATCATCCAATCTTTATCTTCGAGGAACTCCGCAGTCAGAATCATCTGATTTCCGCCAACAGGTGGTAGCCGTTGGAACGCCATTACCTTCAGCATCATCTTCTAATTCAAGTTCACAGGGACCAGTCATGTTAACAGCCAAAAATTTGCAATGCATGAAAGCCATTTTAGCGGTTGCTCATTCATATGGATTTGTTTTAGGCTCTTCATGGCACCTCATCCTAACAACACTACAACACTTAGCATGGATACTAGACCTTAAACCAACAACTGGTGGCTCGTTGAAAGTAGGTAAACCAGGAACGGAAGCTGGAGCGTCAACCAGTTCACTGATAACGACTGCTGCTATGTCTGATCTTCCCGTTCTTTCAGCAATGCTTTCACGGTTATTCGAATCTAGTCAGTGAGTATATAATTTCAATTCAATTATTGTTGTCTAAATCTATCCCTATCTAAACGTGCAAAGTCTTCATATCTTGTCTAATTATTTCCATTCAATCATTAACATTTGTTATTGAACCTTACCTAACTCAAGTGTGAAAATCCTCTAAAATTCCTTGAATAATAACCACTAACTTATTAAAATGCTTTTATCCTTAAATGCTGTCCCAATCAAGTTATGCTCCTTTGGCAAACTTACTATCTCGTGTTTTTTACTGTTCGCAGTAAGTCTAAAAACTAAATTTATAAATATGTTTCTATTTTTATATGTTCAGTTATAAATGTTGATTTCTTTTCCATTCATTTTGATTTTTTTGCCCACTTCTTAAATTTGCCAAATTTCTAATCTTTTATCCTTTGTTTTATAAATCCATTCTTGATTTTTTTAGAGAACTGGATGATGCAGCCTTACTTCATCTCGTTGAAGCTCTTTGCAAACTTTCAAATGAAGCAATGGAAATGGCTTACAATAATCGTGAACCTTCTTTATTTGCGGTTGCCAAAATGTTAGAAACAGGCTTAGTTAATCTCAAACGATACAAAACTTTCTGGACACCAATGACTGACCATCTTCTTAAAGTCTGCCAACATCCTCAGCTAAAAATGCGTGAATGGGGAGCCGAAGCTTTAACATGTTTAGTTAAAAATGCTTTGACTTTAAAAAATCTAGAAATTGGAGAGAAATTTAAATTTCTCAAACCACTTCAAGATATGTCTTATATAAATCATATTGATATGCGTCAAAAACAATTAGATTGTGTCATACAAATTTTACAATCATCAGGAGATACCATTTCCGAAGGTTGGCCTCAAATATTGGACATTATTGGAGCTATCAATGAAAATCAAAGTGAGAGTCTCATCAGAATTTCATTCCAGTGTCTTCAATTGATTATCCGTGATTTCCTCTCTTCAATTCCGGCTGTTTGCCTGGTTCTTGTTGTTGATACTATTGCTAAATTTGGTTCACAAACTCAAGAATTAAATGTATCATTGACTGCTGTCAGTTCACTTTGGGATACTGCTGATTATTTATTTTCTAACCGTAAAATGATCGCTGAAAATCTCGAAGATGAGGTCAATGTAGATCCTGATTCTCAAATACCAGCCTACGATTGTTTATGGATGAGTTTATTTACCAAACTTGGAGATTTGTGTACTGATACTAGACCTTCACTTCGAAAGTCTGCTAGTCAAACCTTATTTGCCACTTTGAGTACTCACGGTGAAATTTTAGATTCACGTTTATGGTCATCTGTTCTTTGGAAAGTACTTTTCCCTCTTTTGGATCGTGTAAGAAATTCCTCTAACACTGCAAGTAGTGATAAGATTACTGAAGTTTCAAAATCAATGGGTATCTCTGGTATCGGTGTAAATGGTAACACAGGGTCCATTTTACTTCATCATTCCAGGAATACAGCTCAAAAACAATGGTCCGAGACTCAAGTTCTCACTTTATCTGGTGTTTCTCGTATTTTTAGCCTTAAAAGAGACCAATTTGTTTCGACTATAGATGATTTTGAGAAAGCTTGGATTTTGCTGCTAGATCATATTGAAACTTCTGCTCAATCCAAAAATTCTGAAGTCTCAATTTCAGCATTAAAGTGTTTCCAAGATATTCTTTCATCATCTTACAATATTTCCACCGGCTCAACTTCCTCTACAATGCAATCAGTTAATAATTCAATTAATGGTGATACAACTGGCTCCTCTTCATCAGGACCATTATCAACCACATCGGCAACAACCAATCCACCATCTATTCCACTTGATTCATTGAGATCACATAAAACTTTATGGATAAAAGCATGGAAGGTTTGGCTCAATATTGGTACTCAGTGCTTAAAATCGTGCTACGAAGAGTCTTGTGACAATGGAGTTAAAAATTCGCATTCACTTTCAAATGCTTCAACCGTTAATGTGGCTTCTATGAAACAAGCAAAATCAAATGAACAAATGTCATCTCATCTTCCTTCACAAACTTTTCTTGCTTCTTTAATTCAAATTTTCCCTTTCCTTTTACAATTAATCAAAGACTCTTTCTCTACTACCGATTTCACCAACCTTTTCTCCGTCCTTGAGAAAGCTCTCGCTGTGCCAGTTGATGTGGCCACTCAGGCTTATATGATGTCGTCCGCCACCACGACACTTCAAGAAATTCAATCTGGATCTGTATCACAAATACCTGTAACACCTCTTCAAGAATCTATTTTATTTGTTATGGAAACTTTTCAAAATGATATTGTCGGCAAAGTATCTCGAGGAGATTCTTCTAATTCTTGGGAATCATTGCTGCCATTATTAATCAACCAATATCTCAATTTTTCACTCTTTGCCTGTCATTCCCCAGCTACTTCAATAGTTACACAGTATCTTTTAAATTCAACCAAAAAGTATACACCAAATGTAAGAACGCATTCACAGTCTTCACTTAATTATTTTTTGAACTATGTAATTATTGTTATTAATTTGTTCTATTTAAAATTTTAAGGCTGATTGGACCATGGCTAGTCTTGTTCCTTTTGGCGAACGATGCTTGAGATCTGCTTTAATTTTATATCAACATACAGCCTCCTGGAAATCTGTTATAAAAGGCAACATTCTTCATTCGTTTATCAAGGTAGATATTCATTTCATTTACAACCATATATTAAAATTGTTTAATAATATTACAAATATAATTTAAAATTAAAAATCATAAACATTTACTTTTTTAAGGCTCTTAAGATTCCATTATCAATGAAGTATACTTGCCCTTCTCAATCTACATGGAAATTAGCGCATCAAACTTTGCTCAACTGTTTGTCTATTGGTTTGCCAATCGCTCGACAATTCAGTAAGTTTCTTAATTATTTCACACTCATCATGCATCTTATGCTTACTTTTAATTATTTTCTTATCACTTTAGGCTCTGATTTCGTCAGTTTATGGGCTGATTTAGCATCAACTCTGGAAACATTTCTCTTTTCTAATAGTAAACCACCTTTAAATCAAAGTTTAGAAGAACAACAATGCGATGAAATTTTGGATGTTAAAGTTGTTGAGTTGATTCGTGATAATATTCTTCCTCATGCCGGACAAATGCCGAAAGAATTTGTTTTACAAATTGTTTCAATATTAAACAAAGGTTCTATACACTCGGCTACAAATGGATCACCAATCGGTTAAGTTTATTTTGAATATTTTTTTGTTTTTTAAAAATTTGTATAACTTTTTACTAACTGAATTTTCTTGCTTTTATTTTATTTTATCTGTTTTTTGGCAGATACAGAATCAACAAGAAAATTACGCGAAGAATTTGCTCGTTGCTGTTTTGATACTCTGCTGCAATTTTCTTTTCTTGGTCCAAAAGGAAATCCTAATCTCTTTATCCAAGCTCCCAATTTATCAACCCCGGGATCAGCACTGTCTGCTCCTGTTACCGATATTGGTTTAGTTAATAAACTTGTCGTCACATCTTTATTACAACGATTCCATGAGGTGGTCATTAAGTATGTGGAGGATGAGAAACTCAGTGGTAAATGTCCATTACCTAGACACAGAATGGCCGAAATTTCATTCGTATTACAAGCTTTGGCCACATTAACTTCTTCTATGAAGAAAGCACCTCCTGATACAGGTAAAAATCAATTTAATTGCAAAAGGCATTAATTTTTTATATTTCAAAATGAAACTAATTGTTTTATTATCCATTTTTTTCAGTTGAACATGGTGTCTGGGAACAAATGATTTCTCTTTACCCTCATTTAGTTGATTGTACAATGTCGAATTGTGCTCAAGTTAATCGAGCTTTACGAGAAGTATTACATGAATATAAAGATCTACTTCATCCTCCATCACACATTAAGCAAAACAACAACCAAAAAATTTTTATGAACTCAAGATTTGATACAAGAGTTGATACCTTACGAAAGCTGTAAACATGGTTTTACCAGAATCCAGTATATCTCTTTTTTTAATACTATTGAAGTTGACAGATAACTAAGTTATAGCATCTGAGAATTATATATTTTACTTATTGTATCTCTCAAATCTATGTATTCATTCCCCTTTTTAGAGGTAATTTATGTAAACACCAAAATCTCACAATCTCTGTGAAAATGCAATAGTAATTTATTTTCAAGGCAATGCAATTAAGAATTAGAAGAGTCGTTGAATTTTTACAAAAAAAAACTGTTTTTAAGCTGATAATTTTTTGATTATATGAGCTTGTATGTTTGAAATACCATTATCTTACTAAAATCATGGAACCTCTTCTAATTTTTAGACGATTGCGACTTGCCTTGGTTAAATTAATAAATATACTTGTATTAAACAACGGGCTTTTTATTATCCAAATGGTAAATTATTTATTTGATACGCAATAAAAATTGTTTGTAAATTCATTTCATTCAGAATAAATTGATACGACAAGACTTTCGTTGTTTCGATAATTTTTTCTGCACATTTCAAATTCAAAATAAATAAGCTCATAATTAGATTTATTATTTCAATCAACGCAAAATCTAATTAACTATTAAGTTGATTACATGATGAGACTAAAAACTACCTAATACTAGGAGCATAATCAATATAATTTTGATATCAGCTTTATGAAATGCGTTTAAATAGCCTTTTGGTGCTTCAAATCAAACATCAACCGATCTAAATCCATAATAGTAAAGGTTGAAATTAACTGAATAATAAAAATCAATGAAAAAGGTGTTACATTTTAAATTTCCCTCTCTTAACTGTAATCATCAGCCTGTCTGCAAGGCCGCAGTAAAAATCTACTGTTTACAGCGTACTACAGTAGTAACTGAGTTGTTGTTGTTTTCTTTCATTATAACAAATGTGCTGAAAGAAAGTGTTAAATTATGTTGGAAAAACGGTACAATCATGACGAATTAATCATCATTCGAATATACCCTCTGATGGTTTGTTCATTATCATCAACCCAACCCTGAATTGTATAGATATCGGCCAATTAAGTCAACTGCAAAAGGTAAGATTTTAATTTGGTCAATTCTCTCTTTTCATCTTTTTGTTAAATTGTCTATAAATATCTAGTCATTTCTAATAATATGATTTATAGTTAATAATCATTGTGTGAAATTTAGTTATATTTCTTTTTATGGCTTATTAAATGAGTTTTTACCTTTTACAAGTTGATCTTATAAATTGACCTACTCTTCTCATTACATGTATATCATAAATTTTAATGAACCTTCCCTCTCGTCAAATGTTCATCTTTGTTTTACCATTTTTATCATTTGTTATTGAAAATCATCACTATATTTCTGTTTCATTCAGCTTTTTTTATTTTTGTTTAGCCTTCAAATAGGTTCCAGTCTTATTCAGTCTCATGCAACCTACACTGAATTATAATTAAACAGCCACCTTTTTTATTTTATTAACTCATCTGTTCGTATTTCCTATCTGCATATGATGAAATTATAGCTTATTTTGGTTAATCTAGTATAAAAAACCAGTTATTACACCTTAATAGTAATCTAAACAATATCATCGAATTACATTTTTAACTTTTTTCTCAACTGGAATTCTACAAATATTCTGATAAAATTTCTCTTTTCTTTTTAGTGCAACATTTTCAAAGATTTCAATTGGATTACAATTTGTAAACAAGTTTAGATTGTGAAAAATACTAATTTCAACTAAAACGTACATTCTTAGGAAACGCTGGTGAAAATCAGACGATAAACAATGAAATTTAGAAGCTGAACTATTACTATGAATAGTCATTCTAGTAATGCATATCATTTAGACAGTAGACTTAATGGTTCTCATGTTAATGGTTTTGGTTCAAGCTTCCCAGGAACCCATCGTTTTAATCAATCTGGAATATTGCCAGGTGTTCCGCTTACATCAGGAATCTCAGCCACTCCTCCTATGATGTATAAATTATCACTTCAAGAAATAAAGAAGTGTCTTCTCCAAGGACACCTTTCTTACCTTAATAGGGACGATACACCGGAAAAATTGGCTCATAAAACCAAACTTCAAGGATTGATTGTAGAGTATTTATCAATGGTTCCGCATTGCGACAAATTTGAAAATACTGAGATTGCTGAATGTTTTGATAAGAGTATTATAGAGAACAAGGATTTTACTGCTTGCCGAGCTGCTTCTGCATTCGAAGTACTTGAAAAGTACGCCACTAGCCTTTTAACCAAGCCTTGGAGGAAAGAGTTTCGTACAATATATCCCTATGGTGGTTATATGAAAGGTTTAGTCGACAAACAACTCCGAGAAGCCTCTAAAATTCTCTATTTAATGGGTTATCGAAATAAAAATGTTAATGGTGTCATCGTCTACTCTGCCGAATCTTCAATAATTGACCCAGATACCTTAGCTCGAGTATCGCTTGATTGTCTAATTGCTTTTGTCGAGTGTCAAATGATGATTCAAATAGCTGATGCATTAAAAAGGAAAAATATCTCTCTGAGCTGGCTTCAAATTTTAAATATCCGAGCCAATTCGATATGTTCTATGGATCAATTGGTTAATTATGTTTTTGACTCTGACAAGTTGATTGATTTTGAAACTGATCCTTCTTCAAAATACGGCAAGCAAACTTATCCTGTTATACAAAGTCGACGTTTTATTTCTCAACAACCCCAAGTCAGTCAATATCACCAAAATGGATGCCCAATGCTTCGGGAAACCAGAAGAAAACATGACATCGCTCCTTCAAAAGAATTAGTTAACCATTCAAATGTTGATAATTCTCGTGCCCGTGATCTTATCCATTTCAGTGGGGAAGAACAAAGAAGTCCGAATGTAATTTATCACGGAATCCATACACCTACTGGTTATATTGCTCCTCCACCCATGTTTGCTAGTGAATTATCCAACGCAAATTCTTATGCAGAAAATCATAACTCATACAGCTCTTATAACCCATCATGCCTTCATCAACATGTACAACATCCTCAACAATCTACCTCATCATCCTTTCCTCCATCTTTAGCCACCAACTATTTGGCTCAGCCTAAATACAATGATTTAAATTTAAACAAAAGTGATGTAGATGTAATAGATGGTGCATTGAACTCTTTTAACTTCAAATCTTCAGGACCAAAGCCTAGTAGCTTGGATCGTCGTTCTGCACCATTAAGAGCTTCAAATCGTGATGTTATTAGATCTGATGAGTCTTATCGTTTACCGGTTGAGACTAGCGTAACCAACTCCAACGCATCTTCCTGTAATACTTCTAAAATCGCCAGTAATTCAACTGGGAACAATGCTTCCAATAAAAAACTAGAAGAACGAATTAATGCCATCCTTAAAAGTTTCTCCGATGAAGATAAATCAAGGAAGCCAACAAATGATGAGCCACGAGATCGAAAAAAGGACAAAGTATTGGTCGAAAAAAGAATTGAGCCTTTAGACCGTGTTGGTAAAACTCGTGAAAAATCTTTCAATAAATCCAATAATTCCTCTGAGGCCAGTAACATTGATAATGGAGCCTGGTCTTGTGCTTATTGTACCTTTTTGAATACTAATCAAACTGATATTTGTGATATGTGTTCCCGTAGTCGAGAAAGGCCTGGACTAGATAATACGAATCTAACAAGCTGTGGAAAAGTTTGCAAAGTCTGTACTCTTGTTAATTCTGAAGAAGCTGATCATTGTAGTGCATGTGAACACAGTTTACGAAATTCACCTACTTACATTTAAAGTTACTCCAATGGATTATAAAATAAATTGTTTTAATCAATCTACACTCAAGCCTAATTTTTCTTAACGGATTCTCTTTTTTGTCGACTACAAAAATGATAAACATGTTTCAAATTATTAAATAATATGTATCACCCTTTTAGACACAAACTTTGACTCTTCAGTGATGAAAATTCAAACGGTGTTACAGAGTGTAGATTAATCTGAATATCTGTTTTTAAACTTAAAAAGCAAAGCTTAATGAGCTTTTAATTTCTTCTTGCCTTTTCCTTTTTTTAAAAATGCTTTGGAAACTAACATTTCAAGCCACTGAATTTAAGTAAAGCAACAAAGTCAAACAAGTTGCACACTTTGCTGTATGAAATTTTTAATCTTTAGGTCAAAATAAACTTCAAAGGATGTTCTTTCGAATGATTTAATGCACTGAAAAATCTTGTGTGATTCATGAGTGATTCTTTCTCTTTCAATTGGAAGACTTTAGGAAATAAAACTGAAAAAATACCTTCATGAGTTAAAATTTCAATATTAAGGTAATTCGCATGTCAGGACTGAACATCTGACGATCCTTGTTAAAACAAACTATCGAATGAACTATAGAAAGAATAAGTTAAAAGCTTTTGAAAGTGGGGAAAGTACACTGAAACATCTAGCAGAATAACCTGTTTGGTTGGAATAGAGACCCATCTCAAAAGTTCGTGCTTTTTTCACTGAATTTACAGAATAACCCAACAATTAGTTTTATCACAATTTAAAAGGGTTTATTTCAATATTGTCAACAAAATGTGAATTTACTAGACAATTAATGAAAAATATTTAATCTGTCAGTTTGAGTCCAAAACAGCTAAATTCATTTCTTCAAAAACACAATCAAGGGTTAACCAGAATTGCATTAAAGCAACAATTTATACCCAAAAATATGATGAATTAATGAACAGAGTTAATATTTCTACTATTAATTTTTTGATTGTTTGAATACTGTGTTTATATCTTCAAGCATTGTTAATCTATAGTAGACATTAGTTTTGTTAATTTCAGTATTTAATCCCAACTAACTGGCTATTACCGTTGATAAATCCTCCAGACTTTTAGTCAATCCAAGGTACGCAGTCAGGTTTGGAGTATTTCATTGTAATTGTGAAAACATTATTCAATTATGAGTTTGCATCTTGCAAGATTCACCATAAAATCTTCCTCTGGCGAATGAAATTCAGTAAGTAATAGAAGCAGATACTTGCCATTACCCATAACCTAACTTTTTACTTTTTTCACTTTATCCATGAAGAAAATGAAACAAAAGGAAAAAAGTGAAACAAAAAGGGTTGCACCTGAAGAAGAGAGGAAAAAAAGATCTTAGTACAAAATAAAATTATAATAGCAATGCGATGTTGGTGAAGACTGAAAACAGTTGAGGGAACGGGAAAAAAAGTATTACACAGAATACAGAATAAACATGCTCACAGGTTTTTCATGGTGATGATGATGATTATTCTTTTATCCTTGTCTCCTCCTATTTCTTCCAGTTTATCCTCATCTTGGAGTACGTTTTGTCTTTTCCTTACAGTGTTACCTGCCCAGTTTGATAAGCCAGTGGGGAGAAAGATGAAAATGATGGGTAACAACTTATAATCTGGTGTTGATTTAGTTTTTAGTTTAGGTCAACATGATCTGTTCACTTTGTTGTTGAGATCAACCTAACAGTACATAATATAAAGATTGTCCCTGTACATTGTTGCTCGTCTTTTCCCTCTAACCGATTGCTTTTGTTTTTTTTATGTTAACCCATTCCACCAACTTTACATTCAATGTCTCCATTAATCTTAATGTGATATCCAACCATTTCCATTAATTGTCACTCTTACAATACGAATCTGATCATCAGTTATCACCAACCATTTGAAGGTTCATCCATTTGGTTCACACCATTGCTTAACACCAATCTTGTTACCTTATTCATTTTTCTTCCTTCATTCCTTTTCTCTGCATTCTCATCATCTAATATTTGTTCCTTTCCTTGGCTTTTTTTCTGGTTCTTTATATTCACACTCTTGGTTTTTCATTTTCACCATCTCCATCTTTACTCTCTTCATTACCATAACCACAATCAACAATATAACCATCGACACAAGTTAAATTCATTTTAATTTGTTCACCCATTTAAACAATTGTTAAGACTTCAATATCTTTCTGTTACATCTATGTATCCAGTGAATTGTAATCATCTTACCAATCGTTCATCTCCTCTCGTCGCATTTGGCTCTACTTTTGTCTTCACCTTACAAGTCTCCAGTTAACATTTCTTGTTACAGAGAAATGGTTTCGTTTATTAGAAAAGATTTCAACCTTACATTCCTGGTAACATGCTTTCTAACAGGTAAGAAATACATTGTTACATAACCTTTCCTTTTTCATTATTCATGGTAACTCATTGACATCTCTATTTCAATCATCCCAGCTTGTTATAACAGTCAATCATCCCATTCAATTTGAATAATTATAATTTGTAATGTGCTCATATTCACTCCAAATTCAAATATGATGAAACCACTATTATGAGGTGTTAGGTTAACCAGCATTGGGTTAACATGTATCTGATCAAATCTCAACAAAAACTATTATTGATTTTGTTGGAACCATTGTCTTTCCATTTGTCATATAAGTTGGTATCTGATTGGTGTCTTGCTTAGGAGTAAAATTTTTGTTTCAGTAAAAATCTAATCTCACTGACAATTTCAATCAACTCCAAGTTTCATTACATATCAAATCAAAACGGCTGATTCAGAGCTCAAATCAAGCTGTAAATTTGCTTGTAGATCTGAGCGTTTGTAGTTAGTATGTTTTGTATTTGATGATTACCAAAAGCAAGAAAAGTTGGAACCATAAATAGATTGAAATTAAATTATGGTTGTATTTTATTTAAATTTTTTGTTTCAAGTTTAAGTTGAAACAACTAAACCGAATTACCTTTAACAGAGAACACTTTTTACCAAATTTCATTAATAAATCATGATTATCTTTAGTGGTAAGTTAAATATTGTAAGCATTTCTTTCGCTGTATCATCAGCAAACCTTATCCAAGATAGTAACAGAAGCAATCAGTTGAAGAGCTTTACCTTTAACTTTCAACTGTTACCAGATTCATCTTCATCTTGTGAGTTTCTTTATACTTTTTCCTCATCTTCTTCTTCTTCCCTTGTCATCATTGTATGCATCTTATCCACCATTTCATCCCAAGTTCATTCCGAATTCTGAATGCCTTTCCTTTCCTCCATGTTACCAGAATAAGAAACATTATCATCCAACAGCAAACAAAAAGAAACGTAAATGATAAATTCAAATATGAAAATAAAAATAGTGATAAAACTGAATGATTTACATTGATTTACAGCAAAATATAATAAAAAAATAACATTAAGATCTAACAATAATGCATGTTTAATTTATGTTTCATGTTAAAATAAATATATATCTGGTCATTTCTGCTATAAACAGGAGAAAGCTCAAGAGCCCAGAATTTATTGATTTTATTTTAATTTTCTAATATGAATAAACAGTGAACATTATTTACATAGACAAGTTTATGAATAAAAATTAATTTTAAAAATATAATGTAATTTATATTTATAACTTGCTTCAAACACCAAAAAGGAAGATTGAAGGTAATGGTTCAAGTTATACTTTTAAGCAAATCAATCAAATTGAATGAATTCAGGGAACATAATTAAGGTGTAAAACATAAAATTCATAGATTCAAAGTTGATAAATCAAATTTTCTTGCAAAATTTGATTCAGTAAAAGTTAATAACAAGCAACTGTTCACAATCTCACAAGGTGAATCAAGTCCATACTTTGTACAATCGTTGGATACTGCTAGATAAATAATGGTGCTAAATCCGCAGTTTCACAAATTCATGTGTTTCATGAAAATCAAGTCCAATTTAATACCTTTGTTCATTGACATGAAGATATACAGATTCCTTAATCAAAGATTGTTTCCAAATTAAATCTGTAATCAAAGTGCTTTCCCTTGATAACTTTATTAATATCATAAATTGTCATTTTCAATTCAGAAACTTAATGAGAATACTTACCAGTAGATTACACCACTTAATGATCTTCCAGTTGTTGACAGTTTTTGGGATTTGTTTTTAATGCATCTTAATGATCCTAAGAATTGTGACAATTTATAATTAGGTTTTGATTATTATCGTATTATTTATTAATGTATTAATTCTGATTGATGTGAAATTTACTTTATTTTTAAAGTTACAGTTAAAATGAACGAAAATAGAATGTTAAACCTTTACATGAGTTGAGATAAGTTGATTGATTTTTGTGTTCAAGCCTTCAATGCTACTAGAGTTACGAATTTTTTCCCCAGTTTCATTTACTTTCTTTGTTATCTGTTCATCATTTAAAAGTTGATCTATTGTACTTAAAAATTGGTCTTGATTAATTTGGTATGGATTTAAACAACGACCTATCCCTGTATCTTCAACTCTACGTCCATTGTCATGTTGATCTCCAGACAAGGGTAAAACAATACAAGGCTTGCCAAAATAAAGTGTCTCGATGAAAGTGTTATTACCTCCATGATGAATGACCAAATCAACTTTGGGTAAAATTGCCATCTGGTTAACATATTTATTTCCAACCATATTACCTGCCAGTTGAAATTTGTCATGAAAAGGACCTTTTGAAATGATAAATTGGTGCTCTGATTGACCCATAATTGAGATGAGACGTTTCATCAGTTCAATGTCTGAAGATCCCATTGAGCCTAATGTAAAAAATACTTTTTTCCCTGGTTTATCAAAGAAAGACTCATCGAAACCAAATGATTCTTGTTTCACTTTACGAACAAGATGATCCAATCTAAACCATTTCTCAGGAGGTGAACCCAGCTCGGAATAATCAAGATCCGATGGATATACGTATACATTAAGATATGCAGATGAGCTGATGAAATCATAGGGATCTGGTTCAATATTTTTAGACAGCAACCATTCGTCGAATTCACTTTTAAGGTCTTTCATTATTTCCGTCATAAACACCTTCAATTCCTTGAAAATGGAAATATCAGTGTTGAGAGCGAGACCGAACCCACTCGGTGGTACATTATCACCTTCATAGATTCCCAAAGGATTACAAGAGTAAAGACGAGCCCAGGGTCGGCCTGATTTAATCACTGAAGGGATGGTCACATAAAAATCCATGATAATTAAGTCAGGCTGTGTTTTTTCAAATATTTCTGGTAACTGAGGATCAATCAGTTTCACGAAATTAATAAAGGCTCTGAAAGATGGTACCATTAATTCAATTTGTTGATCCTTTAGTGGAGCACTAAAAGTATGGGCCAAATCGTTCATGAATTTTCCCCATTTGTAAAGCATATCTTGATCCTCAGGAATTGTTGGATCATTCAAAATTTCAACTTTAAATTGATGCTCCTCAACAGGTTTTTGCCATTGTTTGACGACTGCAAATGTACAGTCATGACCGAAGTCTCGAAGCATATTTGCCAAGCCAATACAAGCGTTGACATGACCATAACTTGAAAATGAAAAAGATTAAATTAAAATTAACAATTTATAAAGTCATTTGATTGATACTCACGCATCCATTGGCAAGAAAACTATTTTCATTATGATTAATATTGATGATTAATATCAGTTTTGATGACAAAACAAATTGAACTAAAATGAATTCGTCAATTAACTGTTGACCAGAAATTAAGAGTCTGAATCTCTGATGGTTTGAGCAAACAGTTGATCTGAAAAATAACTTTATTGCTCTCTGATGATTGGGAATTAGCT